CTGACAGACAAACCCAAGTACTGTAACCCTCGCTGCGCATGCGCACCGAGGGTTAATTATACACCTGGCTACAGCAGCTCCCAGACAAACCTCCCAGCAGTGTGTCTGCCCATCCTCAATTTATGTATTCACATCCAATCCCAACAGCGAATCGAGCAAGCACTAAATAATATTTACATGTGAAAAGTGTAATCTCTTGTTTCTTGTTGCTATATAGGTCTATAGTAAGGGTGCACCCAAGGTATAATCACTAAATCACCTGCTTACAGTTGAAGCCCTGGTCTAAGGACATCATAGTAAGGGCGCACCCAAGAAAGGTTCCGTTTAACCCTTATTTGGAGCACTGTAATTATTATGTCGCCACATTGTGGTTACCTCTCCATTGTAAGAGAGTAGCGGAGATACTTCGCAGACCACACCCCCATTTCCATGGCTACCCCTCTTCCCTAGTTCCTGTCTGTCTATTGTTGAATTTCTGGAGAGAAAGAGAGGGAGGGAGGGAGGGAGGAAGAAGAGTAAAGAAGGGAGGGAGGGAGAGTGGATTGGGGGGAGGGTGTCAGGATGGACTAACCGATGAGGAATGAGAGGCAGCCTCCTCCCATCTTCATCCACAAACACTGCTCCTGCTGCCAACACCTGAATGAGTAACGACAACACCTATATTTTCATTCCTTTCCACATTCACCAAAACATCACAGGAGTAGCCCAGTGTTGCACTGGCTGTGGGCTAGGGCCTGTATAATAATGCATTGTGCAGAAAGAGGATGTGCCGCTAAGTACCACAGAACATTATGACCTACAGATCAGACGTTCTGTGGAGCTTGGTGGGAGATTGCTTGTTCTGCAGTGCTGGCTATGGTGTGGAGCTTGGTGGGAGATTGCTTGTTCTGCAGTGCTGGCTATGGTACGGTGCTCTCTACTATGGAGACAGAGGGAGAAGTGGAGTAACCTGTCGATAGTGTAGGTCCAGAAGAGCAGCCCTGGCGGTGGCTGGAGTGTCTTTGTCACCCCCGAGGGCATTCTTCAGAGGGCTGAACTCCTCCTCCCTCAGGACCTCCAGCACTGCAAACCTCCTGCACACAGACAGACAGACAGAGAAGACTTACAGACACATACATATCCTACTAGAACAAAATTTAATGCAGCACAGTTCAATCTCTAGTATGTTTTTCGTGCATATTTAGAATCACGTACAACGTTACAGTACAGTCGGTTGATGTAGATACTAACAGATGACTAGCAGGCTCGATTCGCTCAGAAATAACGGCAAAAAATACTTGTGGCAAAATAATTTTCACGATCACTTTTTTCTGAATTTGTGTTACACGAATGTTGTCAGCAGGGCAGACAAATGTGATAAAACACTTTTGTGGTTTCATACAAAATTTGCAGAAGTACTTTGTCGCAATAGTGATAAGAGAATAAGATAAGATAGAGAAATGCTCACTTCGCAAACTGAAACACGTCGAAAACAAACTTCTCCATTTTCACTCCATTTTGCTTCTCCGGCTCCACTCTGGGTCAGGGAGATGAGAATAATGGGAAACCCATAGCAATAAACATCATTAGTGACCTTTGACCCTCATCGTTGACATGAGGAATCTTTTTTCTGGCAACATGGTGAACGAGGTCATCCACGTGATCCCTGCATTACATCATCATTACATCATCACAATAGAGGGGGAGTCCCCACCCACCTGCAGACTCTCCCCAGGAACTGAGTGGTGAAGAAATGGTTGCAGATGTTGCCGGCAGAGAAAGTCAGATTTCCATCGTTGTTTCTCTTCTCTGCCGTCTTCTGGCTGATTTCACTGTACTCAACCACCTGTTGACAGAGGTATGTACATAATCAACTGCTCTTCTGTTTTTATCTCTGTTTACTGCATAACTCATTTAAATCGAGAAATCTGATTGGTCGACACGAAGTACATACATGATTTCCCGTCGTATACTTGGGGTGCTCCGGTGGCAAACCTTGTGTTTCATGTACTACTGTTAGTTTACATGCCGTAGCTGTAGCCAAGCCCCCCCCCCGTAGCTCAGTTGGTAGAGCACTCCTCTAGAGAACAGAGTGCAGTGGGTTTCGAGTCCCACCTAAGGCCAGCTTTTTGAAAATACTTGGTTGAATGCACTTGCCTTGTGTCTACGACCCGTGATTAATTCTGATGAAGTAGAGAAGAGTGTCACCATAAGCCTAATTCAAGATGCTGTATATATACACAAACAATCAGACCACAAAAACTGGAGCCAGCCACTCATCTCAAGTGGCGGAGTATAGTGGTGAGAACACACCACTATACTCCGCCACTTGAGATGAATTCTCAGCACAGAATGAGCTGGTCATGGAGGTGGAGGGAGCGAGTGAAAGTTACTCACACTACAACAAGCCATCTGGCACAACATTGCTACTAGTGTAGGGGGATATAGTAGCTCTCTCTCGTACTCACTATACTGCGTTAGATTGTGGGTAGGTGCTCACAATAGGTGGGTTTACATAATGGATGAGAAGGGTTTATTGTAAGGGAAGGATAGGGTATCACTACATGGTATGCTGCTGGATCTGAAAGACACGTAATAAACCAATGTATCTGGACCTGCGAAATACAACCTACGCCGTTGTACGGATTTGCCAGCTGTAAAGAGCATGTATAGGTCTTCCCCAGAGGCAATCCTAGTGGACCATCTCTCACCTGGTATTTGCCGTCGCATTCGCAAACCACACCCACTCTCTCTGTCGGGGATGCCTTCTTCACAACCTGCAACAATAAGCCAACAGTATGATTTGGTAGCTGTACATAGAGGGGAGTGAGCAAACTGTAACAGAATCTTGTAGCAGAAATGTCCCCAACAAAATCTCACACATAGCGAAATTAGAGTAATTTAATCAGTCGATAGTTCCCCGCCATCACTAACGCCAAAAAATGCCATATATAGCCATCTCACAAAATGCCATATATAGCCATCTCACAAAATGCCATATATAGCCATCTCACAAACAATGAAACTAGAGATTTCTTCCTTCCAGCCAGACTGCATCGTTACAATCGGGATAGACAACGGAAAACATGGCAATCACATGCGTAACAGGTGAGAGGAGTGACATTCACACAATCACATGACTAGACAGGCTCCCCCCTATATACTTAGCTCCGACACAAATTTACTGAACAAACACAAGTGTGTAACTTCCTCATAATATAAACCGGGGTTTACTAAACAAAGGTCACGAATTTCACCAGTGTTTCGTTGTATTCAGTTCAACCTAGAGATACCAACGTGTCTACTCAAATAGTCATGCAATTCAGATGACTCAATGTGGCCAGAGGCAGTAGATATGGGGGCGTGGCTGACCTTTGCCCCGCACTCAGCTCCCTTCTCTACGCAGAATCCCACAAAGACAGGATCTGCCATCTTGACTAGGATATTGTCGACACAGTAGACGTGGACATATAGCACACCTCGATCCTGCATGTCCTGTACAATAACAGAGACGGAGAGGGGTTAAACCAAGAATGTAAAGGGTCAATACCATGTATATATACAGCTCTGATAAGGGACCCTCCGAGATAAGGATGACCTCTCCACAATGGACAAATAATGGCCCCAACTTTTGCCATTTCAGGAACAAACGCATATTTCATGGAAAAATTTCACAGATCGCCTGTCTGGCTATAAACAATATCCCCACCAACAAATTTTGTGCACGTTTGCTGAGGATCCAATAACAGTGAGAATTCCAAAGTGTTTTTCCGTCAGCAGTCTACCACTATACAATACACAGGTGTACATATATACCTTGAGTATGTCATGTTCAGGCTGAACAAGAGCTGCGTAGAGTCCACCATTCCCGTCCGGTGCCCGGGACATCCTGTGCTTCTCTGCCAGGAACACCCTGCCCTCGAAGTCTAGTGTGGGAAGAGTGTTCTGTTCGAAAATGACAACGTTTTCTGGAGTCAGTCCAAAATGGTTGTGCTCTTCAAAGAACTTCTCTGTCGGCTCTTTGGTGTGTTCGCTGGTCATGATATACCTGGGGGTGGGGGGAGAGAGGGGAGGGGAGGGAGAAGGGAGAGGGAGGGAGGGGAGAGTGAGGAGGGAGAGGAGAGAGAGGGAGAGAAGAGAGAGAGAGGGGGGAAGGAGGGGAAGAGAGGGAGGGAGAGGGAAAGAGAAAGAGGGAGAGGGAAAGGAGGGGAGGGAGAGGAGAGAGAGGGAAAGAGAGATGGAGGAAGAAGTGCTATGGAACTTTAGAGTCTCTCCACTATCTTTGCCTCCATGTGGGACAGTCACCCAGCGCATGGAGAGTTGAAGAGTTGTGTTCTCACCATGGAATAGTAACATCCTTGTCATCAGACTGACTCGCTGCTAGTGATTGAAGTTTGACAATCCTCTCAGCCTGAAGCTGGTAGAGAGTCTTCCCCGATGGGAGGTCCACGTCATACATCCCCTTGGGATAGTTCACTCCAAGCCTCGTGCCTGAAGTTGTCGACCTCACATGATGTCACAGTCTAGCTCTCCAGGTTGTGCAGACCTACCTTGTCCTCCAGCTAGCAGCAGCACCGCCACCTTGTTCTCACTTATGACCCTCAGACCTGTATATAAGCCACACTGTATGTACTACTAGCTAGCTCTGTATAAGACTGAGCGCCTACCCGTGTCGGCCCAGCGAGTAGAGTGAGCAGTGTCTCTGGCAGTGGAGCCATATATGGAGCTGTCCAGAGGTTTCAGGAGCTCGTCTTTCTTCTCCTGACAGTTGGAGAGGCTTTGTCGAGCCTTGGCGAAGTAGCGCCCCAACCTGGCGAAGTCCACGCCGCGGATGTCGGCGTAGAGCTCCGCCTTCCGGCCCTCGTCCAGCTCAGGGAGGAATTTGAGGAGGTGGTCCTGGTTGTGAGCGACTAAACTGGCCTGAACTGCTTCCCAGTCCGCCATTGTTAGCTCTACTGGAGACACACTCACTGGACGAGCTCGAGAGAGCTAGAGAGAGGCGTTACAGAACCCCTACGCTCGCGCGGCGCTGGGCCGGCCCAGCCGCACGGCACGCAGCTAGCTGTTTATTGGGGGGCGTGGTCTGCGCGCGCCGCTGGAGCGATGGGCGTACCACCGGCGATCGAAGACGTGTATATACACTGATGCAGCCCAGAAGGTTGGCCGGGTAGTTCGTCTGCACTCTTCGTTCGCTGCTCTACGGTCGAGTAATAGCCAGCTGAGAGGGGGTGAGTGATGGAGGACTGTGTGCACGTAAAGCAGGTGAAGCTGGCGGCAGATAGGTCCTTCCTGAACCCTCGCAACTGGAGCTGCAGCGAGTGTGGCACCACAGAGAGCGTCTGGGTGCGTGACTATATAGCTAATAGTTCCTATGTCACTTGTTCTCCTTTTTTTTGCTGCCTTTGGTGTACGTGTGTGACTGCAGGCATGTCTGCTGTGTAGCCATGTGGCGTGTGGCCGGTCGTGCGAAGAACATGCTCTACAACACTTCCACCTCTGGCGACATCCTCTGGCCATAGAAGTCAACCTCAGATATACATACTGGTGAGTGGTATACAGTGGAACCTCGATATGGGACCTTCTGAGATAGGGATACAAAGGATACCTATTTACCCCATGCTAATACTTTAGTGTATTATTTGACCTCTGAGATAGAGACAACCTCTCTACAAGGGGCAAAATCATTGGCCCCATAGTGTCCCTTGTTCGGAGGTTCCACTGTATATACCAGTGTACCGCTGGTGTATGTGTCATACCTGGAGCCACTGTCTACAGCTATCTATGTGACGACTACATTCTCAACGACAATGTGAATGGAGACATTCGTCTTGCCCAATCCCTCCTCTCACAGGTTATACAGCACAACACCTGTTTACATCTTCACTTTACATATCGTTTTAGATAGTGCTGTGCCAGTAGTAGAACATGCAGTCGAGAGACACCAACATGTTTGTATTAGTTAGAGCACCGTGTGTGTGTGTGTGTGTGTTTACTGCAGAATTTATAGAATTAGAGGTGATAATTCAACCAAGAGCATTATCAACTCATGACCTCTCTCCCCCTCTCTCCCTGTCTGTAGCCCTCAACCTCTCTCCCCCTCTCCCTGTCTCTAGCCCTCAACCTCTCTCCCCCTCTCCCTGTCTCTAGCCCTCAACCTCTCTCCCCCTCTCCCTGTCTCTAGCCCTCGGCCTCTCTCCCCCTCTCCCTGTCTCTAGTCCCTCACACCTCTCTCCCCCTCTCCCTGTCTCTAGCCTCAACCCTCTCTCTCCCCCTCTCCCTGTCTCTAGCCCTCAACCTCTCTCCCCCTCTCCCTGTCTCTAGCCCTCAACCTCTCTCCCCCTCTCTCCCTGGATGCAGGTGGCATCTCAGACCTACCAGGAGTCCTGTACCAGAAGTGGTAGGATCATAAAACCAGCCACTCAACTCCTCAGAGCTGAAAGCAGGTGATGTGACTGTTTGATTCAACAAAATTAATGGTGCTGGGAATTTATCAAATATCTGTGGTTTCTTCATGTGTCCACTAGTATAGTGCCCTGAGCTTAAAACACTTAAAGAGAATGTGGCAGTTGGACTAAAAACAGAAGCTAATTGTATTTTTGCTCTGGGCCTTATTTGATATATGCCACAATCCTTTTAAAATGTTTTTGTTTAATAGTGGGCATTAGTATTGGTGGTATGTACATTTGTGTGTAGAATTGAAGAGGCTAATTCTGACAGAGCAGACAAACGCTACACCGCTCTATGTCACTGGAGGTAAGGAACATTTGAGAGGAGGGAGGGAGAGGGAATCATGTGTCTGCCTACAGGTTTCTTCAGTTGTTCAGAGCCTTCAACACTTGGAGAGAGAACGTCGCTTTGACCAGAGCATCCCAGGTAACCAATCACTGCAGCCACACCCACTGCCTTACCTGTTGCCCCTCCTACCCCAGACTGCCCCCTCCCTCCCTCCACCCCCTGCCCCTGCCAAACAACCTCTAACGAGAAAGAAACTCCTCACGCCTGGAATGACTGGTCTCCGTAACCTTGGCAACACGTGCTACATGAACTCCATCCTCCAATCCCTGGGGTATATACACTGCATGTGGAGTAACTTTACTCCACCCACTACTTCTGTGGTAATCTGTACAATGTTAACAGCGCTGTCACCATGTACGGTAATACTTTTCGTAAGACCTGCCTTCAAGTTACCTTGTGTGGTATTCATTAACTGTTTTTGTACACATTATTATTTGTAATTACAGTGGAACCTTCGATAAGGGACCCTCTGAGATAGGGACGACCTCTCTACAATGGACACTTGTTTCAACCCCATGCTATTACTTTAGTGTATTATTTGACCTCCGAGATAGGGACAGCCTCTCTACAAGGGACAAATCGTTGGCCCCATAGTGTCCCTTGTTTGGAGGTTCCACTGTTGCCTTTGTTCCAGTCACCTCCTGCGGTATTCGTTCACTGTCACTGTCACATGGTACAATTGGCATGTGTGGAAGAATCGAGCATGTGTACGTACTTTATAACCACTGAAACATTTCACTTGCATTCACTTGCCAAACGTGGATGGCTGTACTCCAACATCTGTGACTGATGTCTATATGTTTATCGTACAACCAGACACCTGAGTTACTTTAGAGAGTCGTTTCGTCAGCTGGGGAGTCATCAGGAGGAGGAGGAGGCCACTCCCACCAGCTGTTCCTCCATCCCCTTCAACAGACAGACCACCATGGAGTGTTTTGAGGTGAGGCGGGGTAGTTTTGTTCATGTGTTTCAAGGCCATTTGGCAGTATATTATGGGCTAAATACAAGGAACAGCTACTACTATAGTCTATTCCAGCTGAGTTGGCCGCGATACTCGTGTTTCCCTCATACTACTACATACTACTACGTATGTGCTACGATTCAACTGCTATTGAGTCCAATGGTAATAGGACGGTCAGAACGACTTTCCTCTATGGACATACAGCACCTAAACTGCAGCCTCCTCAACTGCAGCCTCCTCAGCGTGTATCCATTGTTAATCTTGGCCCTATGTACTGACACATTCCCTTTAATTAATGCTCACCTACTGAATTAGGAGGCAGACCTCAGTTGCGCTCTTTCATGCCCTCCCAAGGCTTTCAAATTAACATTAGTGGTCATTGCACACAGTTGTAAGGCCAGGGGCACGACTAGTAGTGGAAATACGCAAACGTGTGTCCTCTTCCCTCCCTCCCTCCTCCCTCTCTCCCTCCCCCTCTCTCTCTCCCTCCCCCTCTCTCTCTCCCTGTGTGCAGCACGTCCAGTCGCGTCCAGCCAAGAGACAGAGGTTGAGCAGGAGAGGTCAGAGGTTGAGTGAGGAATCTGGTCTGAAGGGAGGAGGGGTGTGTGGCAGTAGACGGAGGAAGAGGAGGAGGAGAGAGGAGAGGAGGAGGAGGAAGAGGCAACTCCGTGAGTTCACTCTCCACAGCCTGGGTCTCGGGGGAAAAGGTTCAGAGGGTGCAATACTCTGCCTAGAATGCAAAAGGGTCGTTGGTTCAAATCCACTCAGGCCAGCTATCTGAGTTAGCCTTGGCGTCGTTTTGTTGTTTTTATGTTTGCTGTGCGACCGTGTTGCTGTTAACACGTGTCGTACTGTGCGTAATGCTTCACTGAGCCATACACAAACAAAGCCATTATCGGCAGCTTTTTCACTAACAGTAAAGAAACCTTCTGGTGTCCTTCGTAGGTACTCAGTCTTTGCGATTCAGCGATACACTTCATCGAGATTTGGTGTATATATATTACTTTATCGCCACAAACTCCACACTTCCAATTGGTAGTTCACGTGGTAGTGTCCTAATTACAGGTTATCGCAGGAGGTACACAGCCTGATGAGGGTCATGTGGTCGGGGAAGTGGGCTGTGGTGACACCACACGCTGTCCTCAACGCAGTCTGGAGACTGGTGCCTGCGTTCAGAGGATACTCTCAGCAGGACGCACAGGAGTTCCTCTGGTGAGGACCGTGGTCTCTTTATACTTACAGCATTTGAATCTTGTTCTACTGTATGTATGCAATGTTATAGGTGTCATCCATCGGGACAATTGTACATATTCTCGTTATTTGAATTCCGAGAATGAGTAATTATACCACAAAAATACTGTCTGGGTGCATGCAACCGATAGAACAAAATTAATGTTTAGGCCACGCAAAATGTTTGCTTAATAGAACACGAAACACACTATACGGTTTCATTCGGACTGTTAAAACAAAATTAAAGCTATTATTAAGGGAATGTGGCAGTTTATAAGGGCTAATTTTAGAAATGCTACTAAAGATAGAACAAAACAATAGTGGCACAGTGAAAGAATCCAATTGAGTTCCAAATTTAATATTGCCACATTCCCTTTCAGGTTGGCCTAAAGCAACCCTTTCTGAATATCTAGACTGTAGCTGAAGTTCTGCTCCCCTTTCCCTATTCTTCCATTCAGTTTTTTTGTGGCCTATATAACATACAGTAGTATTAGTTTTCATGCACATATGTACCTCAAATACATTTTGTTGACGTTCACTCTCGTGGAACGAATCTCTTGCCCCAACGATAGAGCCCGTTGCTATACAGTGTTACTGATGTAGGACACACAGTTCTTGACGAATTTCTCTCTCTCCCTCCCTCACTCCCTCCCTCCCTCCCTCCTCTCCCTCCCTCCTCTCCCTCCCTCCTCTCCCTCCCTCCCTCCCTCCCTTCCTCCTCTCCCTCCCTCCTCTCCCCCTCTCTCCCTCCCTCCCTGGTGTCCCAGTGAGGCTTTGGAGGTCCTGCAGTCGGAGCTGAGGCTGTGGCCTGAGGTGTGTCTGGGCCAGCCTCCCAGTATCATCATCCCCTCACTCTTCCAGGGACACCTCTCCAGTCAGGTGGGGACAACCCTCTCATTAGCACCCTCACCGAAAAATGACTCTGAAAATGGACTCTTCGAATAAAGCTATAATGGGCACTTGGTTCTGCCCCATACTAATACATTAGTATTATCTCAGAATAAAGGACACCTCTCTAAAGCATAGTTCTTCCCCTTACTAAATAAAGGACACTCTGTGAATAATTTATGTCCCCAAGGTGTCCCCTTTACAGAGGTTCCACTGTATATATATGGGCGTTTCTCTGTAGACGTGTGTGTCTAATAAATGCCCCCCCCCCAGCCGGGCAAGTAAACTGTGTCGTTGACTTTAGCGTCAATTGGTTGCCCCCCCTGCACAGGTAACCTACAGGAGATGTCGTCACTCATCAATGAAAATTGATCCATTCTGTGATCTATCCGTAGACTTCCCCGAGAGGTTGGCATAAGATGATGTCATTGTTTCGTCCTATGACATCATGATGTTTGTCTCCCCCGTTGTCAAGGTACCAGGGAGACGAGAGGAAGCCTCAACAAAAGAACCATCATCTGCAGACCTGCTCGCTGGACGGTGGGTGGAGCTCTAAGTGACTTGTAGAGTCGCCATAGTTTTGAGGGAACAGTGGGAACCCCTCTAATCTGGACACCAATCAGGCATACAATAAAGAATGTCTATATTAGTGAGGTGTTCCATTTCAGGGTTGAATTGAATTGCAGGCAAGAACTGAAGAACTGTCCTTATTAGAGAGGTCTCCTAATTTCAGGGGTGTCCTCAGAGACGGGTTAGCTGTATAAACTCAGTGTGGAAGCTGCCTAGTTTACTTCTCTGGACCTACATACATAGCAACCCATGTTCCCGTACTGGTATATGTACTACTGAGTATTACGGTCCATTGTGAAACACTTTAGCAGAGGATGAACTGACAGGTGAAAGCCTTTACGGGTATCTTGTTACAAGTACCCCTGTCAACTGTGAGTAGAAGAAAATTTTGTGGTTGGCTCTAATGTCGTGGATGGTTCAATGATGGTGTATTCTGTGTGCAGAGCTGCTGGGAAAGTTCACAGCGAGGGAGGTTCTGGAGGAGGTGGTGTTCAGCTGCTGTCAGTGCCGTGGAGCAGCCCTGCCTCAGTCTGTGGAGAAGACTCTCACAATCTCCACTCCTCCTGATGTGAGAACTCCTCCTAATGTACTGTACTGCATGTAGTGTGGTATTGCCTCTCCTCCTGATGTGAGATCTCTTCTTAATGTACTGTACTGTATGTAGTGTGGTATTGCCTCTCCTCCTGATGTACTGTACTGTATGTAGTGTCGTATTGCCTCTCCTCCTAATGTACTGTACTGTATGTAGTGTGGTATTGCCTCTCCTCCTAATGTGAGCTTGCTTCTCGTATATACCACTGGAATGCATTTTCAGTGAGCTACACCTACTTTAAAATGTCTCTGCACTATACACCAATAACATAGCTAGAATACTGCCTCTCCTCCTGATGTGAGCTTGCTTCTCTGTGTACGTATGTCAAATTGGGTTCAAGTGAATCTGTTGGAGGTTGATTTTTAGTGCAATAGTCGTTGCTATTAGCCAGAACCTAATCACCAACTCACACAATGTGACACACTGTATGTTGATGTCCTCGTCACAGGTTCTAAGACTCCATCTCAAGAGATTCAGGTACGTAATGGACAACAGTACTGAAGAAAACACAGTTGAAGAGCCAATTTCTGAAATACACCGTGCAACCAACTGTAGCATTGCTGGTTCTCATGTTGGTGAGGTCTCACTCCCTGCATGTCCAACCAACCAAGACACCTGAAGTGAGGACACGTCTAATGAGGGCACCTTTTCTTCCCCAAGGACTGTTTTGTGGTCATTGAAACCCAGCCCTAAAGACACCCCGCTGATTTTCATTGCTCTCCGTATTAGCACGTCTCCACTGTATGTACACCATGCAGGTGGAGTGGTAAAGTCAGACACAAAATCAGCACTCACGTTGCCTTCCCAACGACCCTTGACCTCTACCCCTACTGCACCCCGCCCCCTAGCAACAACGACCCTGGTAACAAAGTGGGAGGAGTCGGAGTCGGACTGGAGCGAGGGGAGTATGTGTATGAACTTGCGAGCGTGGTGGAGCACCATGGGCCAGGCCTCTCCTCTGGCCACTACACTGCCTACTGCTGGAACCATGATGCTGGTAACGTTTACTGTGGTACAGTGCCCACAGGGACACCTCTCTGATACGTAAAAACCAACCATCTGGTTAAAAGGACATTTGGAAAATGTCTTTAATTCAGAGGTGTCCTTTATTCATAGGTAGAATAAATGTATTAATGTATGTATGCAATTACACTGTGAATAACTAGGTCACTTCTGGCAGTTCTGGGACATTTGGAAAATGTCTTTAATTCAGAGGTGTCCTTTATTCATAGGTAGAATAAATGTATTAATGTATGTATGCAATTACACTGTGAATAACTAGGTCACTTCTGGCAGTTCTGGGACATTTGAAATGTCTTTAATTCAGAGGTGTCCTTTATTCATAGGTAGTATAGTACTGGAAGAATGGACTGCATTTTTGGCGAGTGAAGTGAGCAGTTCAATATTTCGCGGTAGAATCTCGTAAACATTACGGTATGTGCAGTCCGTTCACTGTTACAGAAGGATAATTATATTTATGGGAAAATGCCGCAGTCAGACGACAAAGGATGTATAATATGGGGCAGAACCAAGCGTCCCTTACAGGTAGGCTTTGGCAAATTATGCTGGCATAAATTTAGGCATGCGTAAGCATTTAGGAATAATGCTAACATTATAGGCATCTATACTTGCATAATTTCGAGCACTTTAGGGCATTATCTGCACCCCCTAATGGTGTGGTGGGAGTACTCCAATTAGCACACGCTGCCAACGCTGTCGCACGTGCCCCCCCTCCCGTGCACTGCCGCACGCCCCACCAGCTCACGTGTTGACCTCCTACTGCACCACATGGCATGCAAAAATGGCATGCTGAATGTAGCACACAATCGCAAGAGTTTTGCGACTGGTGATGGACGCACGCAACTGCTAGCCAAAAAAGGAGATAGCATTTTAGGTCGAAACTTGAGCAAAATTATTTTGCCAAAGGCTACTTACAGGTTTGCGAGGTTTCACTGTACTTCCAAATAAGGGGTATATACTACCTCTCAAATTTACTTGGTTCTGCCCCACCTTTTACCTCTGAAAAAAGGGACACCTTTCAATAAAAGACACTTTGAGATGTCCCCCCGGGTGTCCTGGGTGTCACTATATCTCAATCTCCACCTGACACACACGCCAGTACTTCAATTGGCTTTTTCTGTCCTGCACTGCAGGTTCGTGGGTTCACTGCAATGACAATCGCATCAAGCGGTGCTCTGTGAAGGACGTGGAACTGGCACAAGCCTACATCTTGTTCTATGCTCGCCAGAGGGGCTGCTCACCACTTAGAACATCATCACCCATCCTCAGATAAACTGTGTTATAAATAGAGAATAATATTGAGATAACACGTGCAAATGCGCATGCGCAGCCGTAGTGTGCGCATGCATGAGCCGAGAGAAAGAAGGCGAAGCTAAGGTAAAAGGCCCGCCAACAACAGAGCTGAGTCTATGAGCCAGGGACGCTGAGTAGGGAAGAGGCTGGGCTAGAAGAGAGCCGCCGCGGCAGCAGGAGAAAAGAGAGTGAAGAGAAGACATGGCTGGCCTTGGACCCAGGCGACCTCGGAGAGGGGGACGCCCGCCCCCTCAGCAGAGAGAGTTTCCCGGTGAGCCGGCCCGCGTCTCGCCTGCTCTGCAAGTCTGTTTCTGACCTGGACATATGATAACATGGGTTAGACCGTACCATGTGGCCGGGGCAAGCTTGCGCAGTAGCTTGTGCATTGCTATGAGCTGCGGTCTTCGTCCTCTGGTTGATAGTGGCGTTACTGATGCATGCACGCAGGGGCGGAGGAGCTGGGGAGCAAGGAGCTGGAGATAGAGTCGAAGAAGTTCCTATTGGAGGTCAAGGTCAACGACCAGGGGAAGTTTGTGAAAATATTGGAGGTGAGGAGTGTAATTGGGAACATCGTGCAGATTAACATGTCTGAGACACTTGTGCGTTTGCTTGTAGTTACACACACACACTCTCTCTCTCCTCTCACTTCTCCATATCCTCCTCCATCCTCCCCCCTTACAGATGCAGACGCAGGCAAGAGGTCGGATCATTTTCTCAGCTGAGAAGGCGAGGGAGTTTCGAGACATTCTGAAGGAGCTTCTGGATGAGTACAACCAGCTGCCTGCTGTGACTGAGATCACCGAGTCGGAGCTACTCCGCAGGCAAGCTGCTCTAATCACCAGGGGTGGGGCTCGTTTGAGGGCAATGGTGTCTCTAGGCAACTACTGACTTGGAACAATTCACACAGAGAGAGGCTACGGTGGAATCCTCTTGTCCAGACACGTGTGGGAAGTGTCTGTGTGTCCTTGTTTCAGAGGCTATATAGTGTGCGTGGGGGAAATAAAAGGTGTCCTTATTAGAGAGGTGTCATTGCAGGGGTATCTCTTAAGAGGGGGATTTAATGAGCAGTCACCTGCTGAACTACCCTGGTATATGTAGCTCAACTAGCAAGGGACTTGGCGAGTGTAGTGTCATGGGTTGGAATCCCACACGGAGCGGCTCTTTTTTTTTCCCGGAAAAAGAAACTGCAGTTGTGTTGATTCCCTTGTGCCCTCTTTTCTTACACATGGAAAGACATATCCCCTCTCTCTCTCTCTCCCTCTCCCTCTCTCTCTCGCTCTCTCTCGCTCTCTCTCGCTCTCTCTCTCTGATCCGTAGCGAGACATTCTCGCAGGGCCGGAGGCGGTACTACGTTGATCTCCGTCAGAACCAACGAGGAAGGTTCGTCAAGGTCACCATGCTGGCCGGTGGAAAGAATTTCATCGCCATTCCTGGTATGTCATGTGACATCATGTGACCGACTGGTTAGTGTCACGTGACCATCATGTGGGTTGTGTTTTTGGTACAGCTGAAGGATTTTCCGAGTTTTTTGAAGCGTTCTCTTCTCTGGTGGACGAGTTTGCCAGTGAGGAGGGGGAGGAGGAGGGAGGAGGGGAACGGAGGGTGACGAAGGGAGGGAGAGGGGGCGAGGGAGGGGGAGGGGGAGGGGGAGGGGGAGGGGGAGGGGGAGGGGGAGGGAGAGGAGGTGAGGGAGGGGGAGGGGGGAGGAGGAGAGGAGCAGAGGTTAGTGGGGAGGTGAACGGTGATTTGCCTCCACCGAGGGAGGTACGGGCTGGTGGGAAGAGGTTCTATTTTGACGTGGCGTCAAATGATCGAGGAACCTTCATCAAACTCTCTGAGGTTTGAACACATCCACACAGCTGTTGTGAATGCCTGCCGTGAGGTTGTAATTTGCCTACTGTAACTTATTGCCAGAAACTTTTTAAAGGAGCTGCTGAATTGGTAGGAGGTCTTCTCTGTCAGTTAAACTTTGTAGACAGCAATGGAGAACATTTTTTTCCATCTCACCACATTAGACCCCTCCCCTCCTCCCCTGGAACTGTTGGTGATAGTTTGGATTTCCTGCTCCGTAGCGCATGCTGTCACTTTTACCTATTGACATTCACACATTCTCGAGTAAAGAATTTTACACTCTGCTTACAGCAATATTCCTCAAATATTTCCAGTATTGTCTGTTGAGTGGTCTCTAACAGACTCTTATACCCCAGACAATGCACTGTAACCGGTAGCTTGATGACGTTTTAAAATGCGACCCTCGACTCGGCAAGACTTGTGTATCCTGACAAAGTCAACAAGCTAGTCCCCCTCGAGTTATATAGCACAAAATTGTCTGTGTCTAAATCTTGTGTAACGCTGATGTTTTTTCTAGCGCCCATAAAAACAAAGTGTGCATTAATTGGGGTGCACTTTGTGTGTGTGTGTGTGTGCAGATGTCGAAAACGTGCACATTCAAAGCACTTAGTCTTTTGCGCAACCTCAGCATAGATACCAATATTACCATGGAAACAACACCAGTTGGACACAATGATAACTTAGAGTGTGCGTTGTGTCAACCTGCTCTCCCCCTCTCTCCCGTCACTAGGTGCTGCGAATGGGTCGAAGGACACACATTAACATCCCGCAGCATTGCTGGAGCAAAATGGGAGAGGTGTTTAGTCTGTATGCGCAGGAGCTGCCCGTGAGTGAGGAGGAGGAGGAAGAGGAGGAGGAGGAGGAGGAGGGGGAGGGGAAGGGAGGAGGGGAGGGGGAAGGACGTGAGGACTAGAGAACCCCACCGACATGTAGTAGAAATATGAACTGGTGGCAGATGTGTTGTTGTTGTTGTTGTTGTCGTAAGCTTTCATGGCTGTCGGTTGACCTGCTTGCTTGTGCTACCAACAGCTCTTGATGTGCTCTAATAGGAGTAATACTATTTGTTCTCATGTTGCACCCCTGCAACTAACGACTTTGTATTATATACCAACTCTTATAATTTATATCTTTGCCACACCTCTAAACCAGTCACCAGCAAACGAATTTTTACAGCTGACACAAAACAAGTACATACAAATTAGAGTTTAGAGAAAACTGGCGTTTCTTTCTGGACGGATGCTGAAATTGCCACGCCCACATCCTCCGACTGTAGCATGGTCGAGTTCCATACCACCTGCAGTGCAGAATGAAGACCTGCTGGTATGGAATGGGGACACTCACGGCAAAGTCCAGTCCCTCCTGCACGGTGTGGTCTCGAGAGTAGTTCAGGTTGACCTTTGACCCCAGGACAGCCACGGGGCTCTTGCTAGCGATCTTCTCTGCCAGTTGGAGAGCAGTGCTCATAGCTGTCTCCCTGTCGTCGCACACCTGGCTGTAGATAGAGAGGGTGATGTCTTTATGAGGAGGGTCCTTGTTAGTCTTGAGTGATTAGAGCTTGTCTCCCATGGTGAACTAATGTTATGCAAGCTATATACCGCCTGACGAAAGGTGTGTGGTGTTGTTAGCAGAGGTCTAGAGGGGTTGACAAACAAGAATACTATATAGTACCCATCATCAGACACAAAGCTCTCCTCGTGTTTATGATTGCAAGCTGACTTAGCACAACTAAGGCACCAAACAACATCAGATACCAGACTTACAGGTTTTAAAGGGAGTTGTGGCTGTAAATTAAGAAACTCTTTGACTGGGCCCTACTCAATATAATGGCCTCTAGCTGTGAAAACTACAGGTGTAGAAAGGCAAAGGCACAACGAAAAAGTCAACTACAAGAAAAAAGAAGAGCTGCCCTAGGTTGGATTCGAACCCACAACACTCAGTCTACCAACAGAGCTACCAGGGCAAATCAGCTGGTAGGGGTTCGTATCTACAACACAAGACAAAGGCAAACCACTATGCTATGGCACAATAATACTCTCACTTAGCATCAAGGAGCAGACCGGGATAATTAAACCACCAATGACACCCAACTCCCGTAAGTATATGCATGTGAAAACTACGAGGTAGAAAGGCAAAGGCACAACAAACAGTAAGCCTCACCTGACAAGCCCAAACTGCAAAGCCTCGTCCGCGGAAACCCTCCTGGCAGTGAACACCACATCTCTGACCCAGCTACCATTGCCGACCACCTTTGGGAGCCTCTGTAGGGTCCCCACGTCAGCTGCCAGTCCCAGATCCACCTCCTGCCACCACATAGGACACACACCAGTACATTGATATCCACCTTCTACCACCACATAGGACACACACCAGTACATTGATATCCACCTCCTGCCACCACATAGGAGGACACACACCAGTACATTGATATCCACCTCCTGCCACCACATAGAACACACACCAGTACATTGATATCCACCTCCTGCCACCACATAGGAGGACACACACCAGTACATTGATATCCACCTCCTACCACCACATAGGAGGACACACACCAGTACATTGATATCGACCTCCTACCACCACATAGGAGGACACACACCAGTACATTGATATCCACCTCCTGCCACCACATAGGAGGACACACACCAGTACATTGATATCCACCTCCTACCACATAGGAACACACCCAGTACATCCTGCCACCACATAGGAGGACACACACCAGTACATTGATATCCACCTCCTGCCACCACATAGGACACACACAGTACATTGATATCCACCTCTGCCACCACATAGGACACACACCAGTACATTGATATCCACCTCCTGCCACCACATAGGAGGACACACACCAGTACATTGATATCCACCTCCTGCCACCACATAGGAGGACACACACCAGTACATTGATATCCACCTCCTGCCACCACATAGGAGGACACACACCAGTACATTGATATCCACCTCCTGCCACCACATAGGAGGACACACACCAGTACATTGATATCCACCTCCTGCCACCACATAGGAGGACACACACCAGTACATTGATATCCACCTCCTGCCACCACATAGGAGGACACACACCAGTACATTGATATCCACCTCCTGCCACCACATAGGAGGACACACACCAGTACATTGATATCCACCTCCTGCCACCACATAGGAGGACACACACCAGTACATTGATATCCACCTCCTGCCACCACATAGGAGACACACACCAGTACATTGATATCCACCTCCTGCCACCACATAGGAGACACACACCAGTACATTGATATCCACCTCCTGCCACCACATAGGAGGACACACACCAGTACATTGATATCCACCTCCTGCCACCACATAGGAGGACACACACCAGTACATTGATATCCACCTCCTGCCACCACATAGGAGGACACACACCAGTACATTGATATCCACCTCCTACCACCACATAGGAGGACACACACCAGTACATTGATATCCACCTCCTGCCACCACATAGGAGGACACACACCAGTACATTGATATCCACCTCCTGCCACCACATAGGAGGACACACACCAGTACATTGATATCCACCTCCTGCCACCACATAGGAGACACACACCAGTACATTGATATCCACCTCCTGCCACCACATAGGAGGACACACACCAGTACATTGATATCCACCTCCTACCACCACATAGGAGGACACACACCAGTACATTGATATCCACCTCCTGCCACCACATAGGAGTACACACACCAGTACATTGATATCCACCTCCTGCCACCACATAGGAGGACACACACCAGTACATTGATATCCCCCTCCTACCACCACATAGGAGGACACACACCAGTACATTGATATCCACCTCCTGCCACCACTTGAAGGAGTGGTTCTTTCGGCGTGTCTGAAGCAGTTCCAGAGACGGAGGCTGCAATCGTTGAGTTGGAGCAGAGCAGCAGTGAACCAACAGCACATTCTGAGGAACCAGGCACAGTTGGGCATGGTCTCCTCACACCACAGCTTCCTGCGGGCTCTGATGATGCTTTTAGCATTGTTGGCACCTCGCGATACTGGAGCAGATGTGCAGCATTTGGCCGCACTTTACGTGGTCCTTCGACAAAGCTTGCCCCTAAGAAAGGACCGGCAGTGTTCCAGCTACAGTTCCAGTCCAGAGTCAGTGCGAGTCCTTCTCTCTCTAAACAACTAGCGTAATGTTTATGTCAAATGTTTTTGGTCGACGATTTCGCATTACTTGACTATTGTTGGAGGGTTGAATTGCAATACTATCTCGCTGTACCTAAACATTTATTTTTCTTTCCCTCATTACCACCCCTTCCGACAAGGGTTTCAACCGTTTTGCATTTGTTGTACGCACGTGAGTGAACGAAACAACAAACCAACAATGCCTAACTCTTTGACTCTAGTTAGAAGGTGGAGTAGCGATACTATCTCGCTGTACCTAAACACTTATTTTACCTGCAATTTCCTTCATGACCACCCCTTCCGACAAGGGTTTGCATTTGTTGTACACTCGTAAGTTAACGAAACGACAAACCAACCATCCCAACACTTTATCTGTGGTTGGAGGGTGGAATAGTAGCACTATCTCGCTGTACCTAAACACATATTTTTCTAGCAATTTTCTTCATTATCACCACTTCCGACAAGGGTTTGAACCGTTTTGCATTTGTTGTACGCGCATGAGTAAACGAAAGGACAAACCAACAATACCTAACACTTTGACTAAAGTTGGAAGTTGGAATAGCGATACTATCTCGCTGTACCTAAACACTTATTTTTCTAGCAATTTCCAACGAGGGTTTGAACAGTTTTGCATTTGTTGTACGCACATGAGTAAACGAAACGACAAACCAACAATACCTAACACTTTGACTAAAGATGGAGGTTGGAATAGTGATACTATCTCGCTGTACCTAAACACTTATTTTACCTGCAATTTCCTTCATGACCACCCCTTCCGACAAGGGTTTGCATTTGTTGTACGCACATGAGTAAACGAAACGACAAACCAACAATGCCTAACAGTTTGACTATAGTTGGAGGGTGGAATAGCAAAACTATCTCGCTCTACCTAAACACTTATTTATTCTGCCATCACCACCTGGTATGGCATGTATACAAACACAATTGTTTAGTCTTCATCCTTGGCCACCATCATGCCTGTGATCCTAGAATCCAACTATGACAGGAGTATTGTTATCCCTCTGTCTTCCGCCAACTCACTTACTTTGTCCAAGTAAGGTGGAAGGGAGGACAGCGGTGTAGTCAACTTGGAGCAGTTTGACATGACACTTTAACCCCGTGTGACAGGATTTCAACCATGTGCTGCGACTGATTTTAATCCCATGTGGAATGATTTAAACCCCGTACGACAGATTATAACCCCGTGTATAGCCCGTTATATTGCTCTCCCTCGCAAAACCATGTACACATCAAAAATGTCTCCAAACAGAAACTGAGAAAAGGTAAAATCATCGTACAGAGTCAGGAAGGGTTGGATGCTGTATTTAATTTTTGTTCTTCCTCTATTTTTGCCAACTTCATCTGCAATAATATGACGGTGAAACAGTTGCTATGTAAGTGATCCTCACCTGTAAGGCTTGGGAAAGCTCTACAAAATCCTTCTGGTTTTCTTGGGAGGTGTTTAGCTGGGAACGTAGAGATGCTACTTGCCGTTGCAGTTCCCGCACCTGTTGCTCAGCTCCATGCCTCGCAGCAGCCTCCACCTCGAGCCTCTGATGCTGCTCAGCTATAAAGCTTCGCGATTTTTCTTCCACATCTGAGCGGGCAGCCACAGCCTGGTGTGTCCATTACTAACACAATACAGTCAGACTTGAAACATGCATTAATCACCTGTTCTTTCATTTTATGCTCCTGCTCTAGTTCAGCTTTCACCAGCTCTAGAGCTGCTGCAGCAGAAAAAAGGTTGCACTATTGCTCGGTACAAAGATCAGACAACTTATTCACCAATTTGCCTCCGGGCAGCCTCCAACTGCACATTCAAATTTGACTCTTGCCATTCTCTCTCTCTGTCCCTGAGCTTAAGTTGTTCCCTGAGTTGGTCCAGTTTTGCACCGAGCTCCTCTTCAACTGATTGCTTTTCTCGTTCCACCTCAGTTAGCCGCACTTGCAGAGCAGCAACATTATCTTCCGCCATTGTCCGCTCCTAAACAACACTGTGCTATCATCCCACAACCAAGTATCCAGGCAGGTCTCACCTGGCTCACAGCACGAAGGCCCTCCAAGTACCTCTCCTTCTCCTCAGCCTGCACTACTTTCAGACAGTCATACTCCTCCTGAGCTGAGGATATTTGAGAAAAGAGGGACACCCTCTCGTCTGAGAATCTTGCCAGGTCACGCTGGGCTTCATGCTTGCTCTGCGTATACTGTTCTCTAAGTGACTTCAACTTGGACTGTTCTGCATGCAGTCCAGACTGGAAACCCTCGACCTACAATTACCTTTGCTTGGAACACACACAAAAACAATATTTTGGTTTATACCTGAGCCTTAAATTGTTCACAAGCTTGTTCCATATTTCGTCGGAGTTCCTCTTTGGCTTTTCTTTCCCTGGAGACCCCAGCCCTGGCCTTGCTGCACTCCTCTCGGAGTCGAACGAGCTCCTGATCTTTCTCATCCAGTTCCTCCAGCATCTGCTCCTGCACTCGCTGGAGTTGAGCTTCATAGCTCTCACACGTAGCATTCCGCTGCTCCAGTCTCTCTCTCACTCTCTTCAGCTGTACTTTTTCACACACAGTCACCAGGCACACTGCGATTCTCATCATAAATATACCTCGCTCTCCAGAGCAGCTGTGTGCAGTTGACTGCTACCACCACTCTCTCGAATGTCACTACACGAGTGACTCCTGCTAATTGCAAAAAACATGAGAAGCACGACATGGTCATAACCTTGCCTTGCAGAGAGGTCTTTAATTGGTTGTCTTATTGAGTGAGCAACACTCCTATCTTCCAGTGGAAAGCTGCAAGTCAAACTATACACATACAGGAACATGCAGGTATGCATACTCACAGGTTTGTGTTAGGTGAACCAGAGAGATTCTTCTGCTGTTGCAGTAATTGCTGCTTTTGCTCCATAAAGTACATCTTCTGATGCAGCTTGTCTTGGGCTACAATGAAATGCTGGTTGGCCATGTCCCAAGCTTGCTTTAACTGTTGGTAGCTCTCTTCCTGGGAACTCAGCTTCCCACTCACTGCTGGACAAGAGGACACACTCTGCAGCGAGTTACACATCAGCTCCACCAACCTTTCTCCAGCTGAGTCTGCAGGGAGCCCACCTCCTCCTGCAGTATGGCCTTCTGGTATTCCAGAGCTTTGGTGTGCATCTCCAGGTCATGTCTGGCAGAGCGCTCTAGCTCTAACTGTCGCTGGAGCTATAGGTGGGACAGTGGATAGGACCTACAATATAGAACATCTTTTCTCCACCCTACGAATGACAATATCAGTGCAATTGGAATTTTTTTCCATATATCATCTGTAACGGTGAATATACGTAATGTCTACATGATTCTAACTTTTTATGGCCAGTAATGTTTTTGTGAACGTATAAGGCTGTCACAGAGCACCTTGTTATCACCGGGAGAGGTTATGTCAGAGAGGGTGGTATCCATATCGATAAGAGGTGGAGATTCCAGTCGCTTTACCTCCTCTGCATGCTGTAGTCTTTGCCTTGCTTCATTGAGTTGAAGCTGTAACTGATCAATCTCCTGCTGGCAGATCAAGCAGAGAGGTAGCAGCAGTACATTTTAACACATGCCTTATATACCTTTTCCAGAGGTACGACGACAGCTTTCAGCATTTGGGACTCCTCAACTGCCTTGGCTAGGTCACCCTCCAGCAAAGGATCTCCAGGACTTGGGCTACGTCTCTGATTAGACACAGGACTGAGAAGAGATTCCCTCTCACCCCTGCCTTCCCCTGCACCGTTTTAAACAGGCTGCACACACACACCACCACCACAGAACCATGCACAGACCATCAATGGTCTTGCGCAGGGTAGCTATCTCTTCTTCATATATGATTCTGTCTGCATCGAAGGCCTCTCTCATTGCTGACTCTCTGGCTTTTGTAATTGTTCCTCGTAGCTTAATAAAACAGAACTACATGACAATCTTTCACTATAAACACTATTCACCTCCTCCTCCCTGTCTCTGAGCTGTTGCTGACAACGCTGCAACTCACTGGACAACTGCTCAACCGATCTCTTCATTTGACTCAACTCCTCGTCTTTCTCCACCATCAGATTCATAAACTTCCTCCGCTGCAGACCAAACTGGTCCTCCATCACGTTTTTCTCCCTCTGCAGGTCTTGGCACAGAGATTCCAAGTGTTGCAAACGAAGAGCCAGCGTGTGCACTTGGGTGGGTGCTGACTCCTCGCGTGAACCAGCTCCACTAACAGCTGAAGGGAGGACTGGTGGAAGGTTAATTGAGGCAGAATGTTGCTGCATGTGCTGTTGAGATGCTGGGAGGGCGGATTGCGTCTGATGGCCAGCAGGCATGGTAGGGAGGGAAAGGAGAGGCTCGGGGAGGGACGGTGGAAGAAAGGATGCTACTCCAGGAGGAGAAAACTGCGGGTAGCCGATGGACAACCCGCCGTCCTCTGTCTAGGGATACACATATGGTAATGATTCCTGCCTAACTCTGGCCCCTTTACTTACGGGATCGAACAAGGAGCTGTCGGAATTATCCACCATCACTGACTGGCCTCGATCGTCCGATGACGGTGTCCTGCCGAGCCGCACCTACTTGGTGACCTTTATGCACTCCAAATAACGCCCACTGTAATAGCGCGTGTGTGATAGGGGGTCGATGGCGGGCAACAACGACAGTAAGGTGTATGTGGGTAATCTTCCCGCTGATATACGGGCCAGAGATTTGGAAGACATCTTCTACAAGTATGGGAAGATTGTGGACGTCGATCTCCACGATAGAAGAGGCCCTCCCTTCGCTTTCGTGGAATTCGAGGACGCGAGGTTTGACGTTTTTGTATTTTCACCCTTCCAAACGTTTGTCACACCTCTACATGTAGGGATGCGGAAGATGCTGTTAGAGGCAGAGATGGCTACGTGTTTGACGGCTACCGCATTCGAGTCGAGTTCCCTCGCGCCTCTTCTCGCGGCGGCAGCAGCGGCGGCGGTGGCGGCGGCGGCGGCGGCGGCTCCTACAGGAGGCCTTCGGGAGGTTTCCGCCCTAGCAACAGACCGAGAGGCTACCAGTTGCTCGTGTCCGGCCTCCCACCCACTGGGTCCTGGCAGGTAATGGGCCAGTTTTGTTGTCCTCATTCTGTTGTAACCTAGCTGTGGGTGTTCACCGTGCAGGATCTGAAGGACCATTTTCGTTCTGCTGGTGACGTGGTGTTTACTGACTCCTACAATGACGGAACTGGGATCGTAGAGTTTGCACGTCACGAGGACTTCAAGAGAGCTATGAGGGACATGGATGACAGCAAGTTCAGGTCACATGAGGTAGGTTGTTTGCCACTTTCACACAACCAACATTATTAGTATTCTATGATTCCACAACAGGGGGAGACTGCCTACATCAGAGTCAAAGACCCAAAGGGTTCACGCAGTCCTAGTCCATATCGTCGCTCCAAGTCTCGATCGAGGACTCGCTCTCGTTCTCGCTCCCGGTCTCGCTCCAGGTCCTAGGGTGGAGTGGAATTTGACTGGAGAGCGATTTGGTAGGCTCTTAAGAACAGAAAATGACAATTGAACTCCTTGCCTTACTGTTACTGTAAATCCTTATTTACCCTTTTGCTTTAAAACATTTGACACTATTCCAGAGCTGCCCTGGAGAGCCCAGGAGCACACACCGCTTGTCACACATGGGAGTGGATTGGAACGGAACGTCACATGGAAGTAGGAGAGCACATTATCACATGTGGAACGGATGCATCGCATGGAAATAGGAGAGCACATTACCACATGTGGAACGGATGCATCGCATGGAAAATAGGAGAGCACATTACCACATGTGGAACGGATGCATCGCATGGAAATAGGAGAGCACATTACCACATGTGGAACGGATGCATCGCATGGAAATAGGAGAGCACATTACCACATGTGGAACGGATGGAAATAGGAGAGCACATTACCACATGTGGAACGGATGCATCGCATGGAAATAGGAGAGCACATTACCACATGTGGAACGGATGCAAATAGGAGAGCACATTACCACATGTGGAACGGATGCATCGCATGGAAATAGGAGAGCACATTACCACATGTGGAACGGATGGAAATAGGAGAGCACATTACCACATGTGGAACGGATGCATCACATGGAAATAGGAGAGCACAGTACAACAATAATAAATTATGTGTAACGGGTGCATTGTGTGGAGTAGGAAAGCACATTACCACATGTGCTGTGTACTTGCAATGGAGCACACATTCAAGAGGTGATTGGACACATCACATGCCACGTGCTTGTGTGGATTGTACATGTACTGTGGCGCAGCTTCACTCAGATAACCAGAATACACCACTAATTATTGCTGTTCACACATTTTGAAGAATGGCGGTTTATTTGGTAATAATCTCGGGGTCTGAGGGGTCGGAGGGAGGGGGAGGGCTGGGGGTCCAGAGAGAAGGAGGAGCAGAGTGAAGTCTGTCCAATGGAAATGTGTGCACACTCAGGTCATTGAAGATAGTTGGCTCTGTATAGGATGGCAAGGCTTTTTCTTGACAGTACTCCACGGCCTGTGTGTATATATATACACACATTCACAGAGACAACTGCAGTAGAGTAGTGTTGGCTTACCCTAAAAATATAGAAATAAGTATCTTTTGTTTTCTTTTGTAGAGTTCTGAGGTTGTTCAAATGAATGCGTGCAGAATCTGTGTTCAGACATACCTATCCAAATAGCTCTGGAAACTGTTCCCTATCAGAGCCAACTGAGACAGTTTTTCAGGAGACCAATTGGCCCATATGAGGTTGTTGTACATGGCTCTTCCACAGTGAGGCATGTAGAACACTGTCTTGGTCTGCACTTGCCTCCTACACAGCTTGTTAGTGGAGTAAGGGAATACACCAGAAACTGTGAGAAACTGAGCTACAGTACCTCATTCTCCGGGATGCAGACACAGTGGAGCTCTCTCAGTGCAGCTTTCTCTTGTGGGCAGAGCACTGGGTCGTACACCAGGACTTTGCTGACCTTCGCATGGCGGAGTGAAGCAGGGCGGTCATGCGTAGCTCTCGCGGACACTCACTTGCTTGACTGAAGCTATGTGTAGCAGCAGTGCCAGTTGGAGGCGAGCAATGCGACACGTCCCGAAGAGCCCAATTCCGTAGCAGATCAGATCCTCGCACTCCACGCCTTCCAACAAGCCTGGAGGGCCGAGGCAACAGTCGTGTACGTCCCTGAACTGAATCGCTTCTTACCTTCTATCTGGGCAGCATACTGCATCATGTTCAGATCCTCTCTGTGTAATGGCAACAGGTACTAAATCCTTACCGAAGAGTGCCGTTTACCTCGTCCGTAAGACGGAGGAAACAATCTCTACCGACCCACTGTCACAGCAAACTTTCCTACCAGATCGTACGTGCTGCCTGGGTCTGACCCCCCTCGACACTATTTGAAACCCATCGTCGTTTGCCATCTTGCAGCGCGGGACTTATTCAATGACAAATCATCATTACAGTACACAGATCAAAACATCAACTGATGCGGGTACTGCCCATGAGAGAGAGAAAATCGATGTGCTAGGTACTGTTTGAGGCTTGGCTCGGCCTTCACTAGTGGCAGTAGTTGCTGGTCCAGGGCTCTCTGGTCCTCTTTTCGTATATCACTAACGGAATAGCCCTACACATAAGAAAACAAGACCACACTGTCAGAGTCACTCCTAGCAATAGACTTACTTGTTTACTCTCAGCAAAGATGCCACTGCTGCCCGCCTTTGTCTTGGTACTACTGCGACGGAAGTAGTTGTCGTCTAGTTTGGCAGGAATAGTGAGTGTGCCGATGTCCACCTTCGTCTTGGTAGCAATGACATATGCCTGGTTGACACGCCTCAATGGAACACCGTTCACACAAAACGGCCCTAATTCCACACTTAGCTTAGTACCAGGACTACAAGGTGGTACTCTTACCTGTAACTAGCAGCATACCAGAGTCCAACTGGCGAAGAAAGACCACTCTCCTCCCCATGTGCCGGCCCGCAAGCAAGATTAGCACGGTCCCAGGAGTAATGCTGGCACGCAGTCTCACAGGCCTCCCCTTCTTTAAAGACCTCAGTCTACGGCTGATGTCCTCCGTGGGGTAAAACCTTGGCTGTTGAGAAATACAATAGTCTAAAATCCAGCAGTCCCACAACACACGTACCGATTTCTTCAAAGGAACGACTCTTCTGCCACCATTCTTTTCTCCCTTGACCTCTTTCACTTTGAAATAAGATTTCTTCTCTTTCGAAGCAACCACGGGAATCCTCTTCTTCTTGAACAAGGCTTTCCTACTGTACATGGCAGAGCGGCCATAACGAGAAATGCCGCCGGGTAGAATAGAGTTTCGGGGTGTGTGTGGCTTTCCCGCCATCCTACGAGAAAACAGTGGAATCAGAGAGTGAAACAGGTACAGGCTAGTCTTACTCCACACAAGGCAACAAATGGATGTAGGAAGATAACGCTCCCTGTTCTCTCCTCAGCACACACGTACAGAGAGAGAGTCTCACGCTGAACGTATGCAATATGCGCATGCGCGACAACGCGTGTGTGAGCGGTCCGGCGCGCGACGATCTAGAAATCAGTTGGCCTTTAGAAAAGTGTCGTATACGCCCGTGTCGTCGGGCCCCTCGTGAAGAATGGCTACCTGGTCAAGTTTGCGCCCTGCTTTATCATCTCACGCTCTCCGCGTCATTAAAGACATGGGTTTTCATTCTCCCACACCTGTACAAGTTAGAAACTGTGATATGAGTATCATTTGTTGAGGTTCACGTTTCTAATCCGCCAGCGCAGCACCCTTCCTGAGTTTATGAGCAACAAAGATGTAGCTGTGGAAGCGGTAGGAGGTTCTCTTTCTGTCCCTTTAGCACAAATACGTCGATATTTCGCCCTTAGGTGACAGGATCAGGTAAAACCTTGGCATTTGTCATTCCTGTTGTAGAGGGCCTGAAGACAAGGTTTGTTGTATGGTGCCCGTTCTCTGAGGAGGTTTAATGTTGGTGTATTGTGCAGGCAGAAGAAGTGGACAACAGGGGAGACTGGGGTTGTCATTATTACTCCAACTAGGGAACTGGCTGCCCAGGTGTGTGAGGTGTGCAGGAGTTTCCTCCCGCCTGGCCTGGTAGCCAGGCTGATCATTGGTGGCAGAGATGTGGAGCAGGATGTAGCTGATGTTAATGAGGGTGCCTCAACAGTTGTTGTGGCAACTCCGGGGCGACTGCTGGTACTGCTATCTCGAAATGATTGCAAACTGGCTCGTCATGTACAAGCCCTTGTAAGTTTTCTTGAACTCTCTTACCACACAATACCACATGTAATTGCAGGAGTACCTTATTCTGGACGAAGCTGATAGACTTTTGGAATTGGGGTTCCACCAAAGGTTGGCAAGACACTGTTCCTAATTCTGAATCATTTCTGTTATTTTCAGTCTGACTTCCATTCTGCAATATCTTCCAAAGCAGCGCAGAACAGTGAGGACACACTCCCTTGTGACTGAAGATTACAGTCCATATTTTATTTTGTCAGGGCCTCTTCTCAGCTACTCTCAACTCTGACGTGAGGCAACTGGTGACTGCAGGGCTGAGGCATCCAGTAGCAATATCAGTTAGAGAACCAGGCCAGGATCCACAGGCCACACCAGTCCCAAACACCCTCCTCAGCTACTTCATAGTGAGACAGAGACTGGATGTCTGGCTTGGGTGTGTTGTTATAGTAGTTGTGCCTTTAGGAGTGTGGGGCTGACCAGAAACTGGGTACTCTGGTGGCTCTATTGACTGCTCTGCAGGTATGCACCACTCTGCTTGGTGCTCATGTAACTGCCAGTTGCCTTCATCCTCACAGAGCAAGAAGATCATTGTCTTCTTCTCCACCTGTGCCTCAGTCAGCTATTTCTCGTCCCTCGTGTCCCGGTGAGAACATGGCACCAGGAGAGCACTGTTGTTTAACACTCACATCTAGCCTCTCTCCACAGCTCCTAGTCATGGCACTCCACGGCCGCATGCATGGCAAACGAAAATGTGTATTTGACCGTTTCTCAGCTGAAGAAAGGTGAGAGGAATTGAGATTATCCAAAGTCTCTGTTTCATGTGATTTCAGTGGCGTTCTGATGTGTACGGATGTGGCAGCTCGTGGTGTAGATTTCCCAGCAGTTCACTGGGTCCTCCAGTATGATCCTCCATCCTCTGCCAAGTCAGTATTACGTACTACTCCTGCTCTGTTCAGTCAGCCTATCCTTGATCAGTATGTTTGTGCACCGGAGTGGGCGAACGGCACGCATGGGACAAGAAGGACACTCACTCCTCTTCCTTACTCCCAGCGAGACCAGTTATGTTGAGTTTCTTAGACTCAACAAAGGGTTGGCGCTGCAGTCTTATCCTTGTCCCACCGCTCCGTGTCTCAGGGACCGTGCTAGGACCATTATTTGTCAGGACAGGTGTGAGTTTGTTGTTGTCAAGGAACCTATTTACCTAGTCATCTGAATGTGTGATTTTTCCATTCATGGTAGCTATCCAACCTTGTCACCATAACATAATGCTATCAGTGTGCATAAAACAGCTGAAATTTCACACTCACGTTCTCTTGCCAACTAAAAGTGTGTATGTTTTCTCCAGTTTGTGAAGATTAGCGCATGTACATTTGTTGTTTATAGAGCGCTCCACCAGATGGGTATGAGAGCTTTTGTCTCCTTTGTACGCTTCTACTACAAGCATGAATGCAAACTGATATTCCAGGCCCGAGGTAAACCACTCTCTTAGGGGCAGTACAAGTTGAATGTTGTGGCTGTGTTCTTGCAGCCCTGGACCTTCTGGAGCACGCCCGGGGCTTTGCTCTCCTCCAGCTGCCAAAGATGCCAGAACTGAAAAAACTGGACACCTCCTCATTTGACCCTCTCCCAGTTCCTCCTGCCAGTGACCCTCATGGCTGGGACAACAGGAAGAGAAAACATGGTTCTTCCACACTTACTGAGGGAGGATGTCGTGGTAGAAAGGGACATTCACAGAGTTATGTCAAGGTCTGTATGCACAGCAGCGTCTTAAAATAGTTTCCATGTCATGTTCACACCATAGAGGCAGAATAAGGCATCAAAGACGTCTCGAAGTAGAAAGAAGCGACCCCATGTAAGGAGCTGACAAAGTTGAATTTCCTGAGCGTTTGTGTTTGTGTATAATTATACGTAGGAGTTTGAGGAGGATGAGCTAGAGGAACTGGCCAGAGATGCAAGAGCTCTCAGGAAGTTCAAGAGAGGAAAAATTTCAGAGGAAGAATTGGACCAACAACTGCACAACAACAGATGATTATTGTTGGGCCACGCCCACTGTAATGCACGTGCACTGCACGCGCTGCAACATGGCGGACCGGGAATACAACGTGTACCAGGCGAAGTTAGCAGAGCAGGCGGAGCGATATGACGGTATTATACAGTTTCACTGATCTTTGGAGGGCACATGATATTCCCGGTGTTGCAGAGATGGTGTTGGCGATGCGCCGTGTAGCGTCGCTGGACGTAGAGCTGAGTGTGGAAGAGCGAAATCTGCTGGCAGTGGGCTACAAGAACCAAGTAGGGACACGCCGTGCCTCGTGGAGAGCCGTGACAAACATCGAGCACAAAGAGAAGAGGCAAGAGGGAGTGAGTGTGTACTGCAGCACACCATACTCTCGACGCAGGCAGGGAATGGGAGGGAAGCGACTCGCTGCCGTGATCCAGTACCGAGAAGGAATCGAGAAAGAGCTGCAGGACATTTGTGGCGACGTACTGTCAGTGTTGGAGTCCCACTTGCTTCCCCATGCCTCCAGTCATGAGTCACATGTCTTTTACTGCAAAATGTAGGCCACACCCCCTCCTGGTTGTCTTCTCATGTTGAGCCTCCACTTTATAGGAAAGGTGATTACTACCGCTATCTGACGGAGGTTGCCAGGGGTGACGCTAGGAGGCAGGCAGCTGAACAGTCTCTACAGGCATATCAGACTGCTTGTGCTGTTGCTAAGGAACAGCTTAGCCCCACCCACCCAATTAGGCTAGGATTGGCTCTCAATTTCTCAGTGTTTTACTATGAGGTGCTGGGATCCCCGGAGTGTGCCTGCACTATGGCCAAGACAGCATTTGATGCGGCAGTGGGTGACCTGGGGCAGCTGGAGGAGGAGAGCTACAAAGAGACTACACTCATCATGCAGCTTCTCAGAGACAACCACAAACTTTGGGCCGCTGACATTCAGAGCAACTCATTATCATAATGGTCATTATAATGCTTATTTCCAGCTAAGCATTAGTGAGTGTTACTCGTTGGTATAAGAGCATGTAGGGGTTGCTGTTGAGCACTTGGTGCAGGCTTGAGTTGTAGACAGCAGTGTCTGATGTGTAGACCCACTGTCCTCTCTGCAGCTGCCTGTATGTCACGTAATGTCCAGAGAACAGACCTCCCAGGTGCTCAATCATGGCCACTAGCTCATACCTGCAGCCTTTTCGCCTGTGTCAGATAAGAGCTCGTCTTCACACAGTTAACAGAGGTTGGGCCACTCACCCAGTCTTGCAGATGAAAGAGAGGTCCAGCTGCGAGGGGAATGCCACACTCACATCGCATTTATGGAGGTTGCCCGATGGAAGCCATATAGTTCTCTTCAAATGGAGGCAAAGGATGCGAGGAAAATGAGCTAAAGACAACCGTTTCATAAATGTTCTCTTCACTTGTGAGCCTGCAAGCTGTTAAGCAGTTAACCACTGAAACACTGCAGAGATATATACCTTGGAGCATGCACTGCACTCAACATCCGACACTGCTTCAGACTTGATGAAATCCAGTAAACAACTGTGCAGTGAGCACTATTGAGGAATAAGAGATGATAGTTAGCCCTCATGCATGCACAGGCTGCCCCATATTATATTGACTCACGCATGCTTACCACTCAGTGTAGCTAGCCTCTGTCATACCCTTCATGAGCTACTAGCAGGAGAGCACGAGTATAAAACACAAACTCATATATACTCCAGCCTATTAATAAGCGGCACCACACATGTGCAGTGCGCCAAGGGTTTCCAATAATTATAGTGGACCTGTTCCACTGTGTACTTACCTGGGTCTGTCCATGGGGTAGATTGAGGGAGAGGCTGTCAAACACTTCATACGTGACTGGACTCTGGAAAGTATGTAAAGACAAGGTAGAACAAAGATAGACACTTACCACTTGCTGGCAAGAGAGGCAGACCAGTTCACTGGCGAGAAGGCCTTGCAGAGGACAAAGAGTTGTGGTGCTGGCTGACAGACTGGGGATGGGACCTATTGACATCAGTCTGAACCCCATTTCACATCACTATCTCCACACATACCTGCCTGACCATAGGCCACATACTGAGACCCCTGCAAAGACTATCCATATTCACAAACGACACGGTAAGGTACATAGGTACATAATTCTCACATTGAGCAGTGGTGGTGGCTCTGCAAGGAGACTGGGACAGTTTACCTTTGGTCCACAAAAAGACAGAGACACACTATGAATGGAACAAGTTGTCTGTGTGCTCACCTTTTCCTCAGCGAGACAGGTCAGGAAGAGATGATACAGCTCATGAGCATCCTATTGGGGAGAGGGTAAGTCAACAAATAGCCGAGTCCTCAGTTAGTGGAACCTGTTGCTGGAAGTCTAGAGACCAGCCGTGTGAGGCTAGAGCCTGCACAATGGAACCAGGACACACCACTTCTCCATCATCATCCTTACAGAGACCTGCAGACAGTGCAGCACCAGCATGCAACTCATGCCAACAATGGTTCCCTACACTTCAGGGTCTGCTGCAGGGCTGAAGTCAGTCTACCTCTGCAAGAAACTTGCAGCCACTCCACCAAGGAGCCTGCTGACGCCAGTGCCTGCAACACGGCGTTCATGAAACACGTGTTGCCGAGGTTCCGGAGACCTGCACATCTACCTGGCCGGAAGGACGTGAAAAAGAACAGGGAACAACACTCGAACCCACCTCTCCGCCTTAGAAGCTTCTCAGGGCCCCAGAGCACGTACACACTGGCAGCTAGGACAGCTCCAAAGACACCTACACCAAAAGCCACCTGCACGTTCATGTCGTGTTACTCCAATTGACGCGCACCACAGGCATGGAGGAGAGACCAAGAGAAAGCGGGAGGGGCGGTGGAGCTGGTCGAGGTAGAGGCCGGGAAGGGGGTGAGGAGAGACGCAGTCATGGTGGAAATGAGTTGAGCAACAGGCGGCAAGAAAAGGGTGAGGATAGCGAGGACAACAGGACCAGACGAAGGCCGAGCAAAAACCCAACGAGAGACCAACACAAGCGACACCTTGACAAGTTGATGGAGCAACCGGTAATGCATTGTATGTAGGCGTAGCTGCCGCCGTCCAAGTCAGTGAAATGTTATCTAGGATAGACCTGTCCCCATCCCCGAGCCCTCCAAAGATAGAAAGCCTCAAGAACCTCCAGAATTTGTGCGATTCTATATGGGTGAGTCACCCAAGTAGATTTTGAGGCATACCATAATGGAACACATGTACAGGATCGAGTGCTGGCGCAGGCAGTGAGGTTTTTCATGTGTACCGACACTTGCGACGGAGAGAGAATGACAGACAGGACTTCATTGCAGTCAAGGCAAATGAGGAAGAGTTGGAGGAGGAATTCCAAGAGACCATGGCCATGCACAGAGCAGAGGATGATGCCAGAACAGCCAAAAAGAGAGCCAAAAGGTGAGACCTGGCACAGTTAGTGCAGCTCCTCCTGCAGGACCTCCCGCTTTCAGGTTGAGGAGAAAGCAGCGACAGAAGCTGGCACAAAAGATGACCAAAATAGAGAGTGAGGGTGGGGAAAAGGAGGAGGCCAAGCCAGCTGAAAAAGACAGCAGTGAAGAGGAGGCAGAACACTTTACCATTGGTGGAAAATAACCACCACTATATTTCGGACGAATTGTATATACACCATGATAAAAATTATAATATGAGTGTTGGGAAGCCCCCAAACGTGTCTCTACAGCAAAATAAAACAATGTATATACAAGCTAATGTAAGTATAAACTCATACTGAAGTGGATGTGTGATGGTGCATTACTGACATGTATGTACAGTTCATTATGCTATGGGAAATAGGCAATACAACTTATTTCTTTTTCCCCTTCCCATTTCCGGCCTTGGGAGGGGTGTTAGGACGTCCAGCCTGCCCGCCTGCTCCAAATGGATAAATTTTCCTCTTCTCCTGAGCTGGTTTCAGGATCTGTAGCCAGTGTCCTTGAGGTACAGTGTCTCACGACAACAGAAAATAGTCACTGACCTGGAATGAGCACATGAGTGTCTCGTCTACACTCATCATGGCGCCAGCATTGTCAAACTCCCCACAGTAGTTGGGAGCAGAAAAAAGAGTGACCAACTGCCTCTTGGCAAAGAACTCGTAGCCATCTTCCACCACCTGTGCACAAGATCACTATCGCTCACAAGGCACAGCAGGGGTGTGCAACCTAGACATGGGGTTACCTGGTGGGCTCGGCATATGAGGTCCAGGTCATGTTTGGTTAGGAACTTGGACACAATCTCTGGTCCGAAAGTGAAGGACACTCCTCTGTCGTTTTCTCCCCAGCCCATTGTCTCCTTGTCAGGGTCAGCCCACAGGAGGTCACACAGCAGACCTGCACAACAAACTCCTTACTGGTACGCCTCTCACTGGTGTATACACCACAGGTTTCCCACAAACTCATTGTTTGAGGCTCATACACAAGTTATTTCAGAGACAAAGAATACTTGTACAGCGAGACAAGCATCACGACTTTAAACCAGCAAAACAATTCTCTTCAAACCTTTCTGGGGCTGCCACATATCATACCTTGGTCAGGAACATCAGTGGGTCTCATGATACGACGAATCTGTTCCATAGACTGTAGATCTGGAGACAGACCTGAGCAAACAGGCGGCCGCCGGGTCAGGTGCCAAAAACGAGTAAACACACATTCCAATCCTCTATCCCTCACCTCCATGGCAACAGAAGATCTTCTCGTCCAGAATGGCTGCAACAGGGAGGCAGTTGAAACAGTCTGTGAACACTTTCCAAAGTCTGATGTTGTAGCGTCGTTTGCCTGCACAGACAAACCACACAATGCATGCTAGAATAGGTGTGTCACTCCACTAAACTTACACTCATCATAGAACCCATATATTCTGTTGATAGAGGCACATTCGTGGTTCCCTCGAAGGAGAAAGAAGTTCTCTGGGTACTTGATCTTGTAGGCTAGCAACAGACAAATTGTCTCAAGGGACTGTTTGCCTCTGTCCACGTAGTCTCCAAGGAAGAGGTAGTTGGATTCCGGAGGGAAGCCTCCATACTCGAACAGACGTAGGAGGTCATAGTACTGACCGTGGATATCTCCTGCATACACCAGTCAGTCTTGGTGAAATGGACTGTCAGAAACAGCCACGATCACTCACCGCATATCTTGAGAGGTGCCTCTAGCTCTAGGAGAATGGGCTGACTGAGGAATATCTCTCTAGACTTGAGGCAGAGACCGCGTATCTCAGCCTCCGTCAACTGGACGTTCTTGCCAGGCCTTGAGCCACGGACTGCGGGGCGTACAAGTCACGTTCAGTCTGAAGAATACGGCCGCCTACCTTCCAGTAACCTCTGTATGATACTGTCTACATTCGGCTGCTTGTCGCCTTCCGCCATCAAAAACAACGCCACACACTGGTTGGGACACAGAAGAAAGCTAGTCAAACCTGCCCACAGACGAAGGACGTTCCACGTACCCGCAGATCCCGACTTAAATGGCCCTCACAACAAAATATCAGGGGTGGCTGCTTGTTCTGGTTCAAGAGAGTGACTGAGATGTCTAATTGTCTCTCTCTCCTCTGACGTTTGAATGTCACATGATATTCACGTGCTCCATTACTGTGCATGACGTCACTCGTGGGCCACGTGGTGTAGATATTAGTTATGGCCTGCATTTCTGCTGCAGTAAGAAGGTTGCCGGTCTCCGTTTGTTCGTGGACGAGTGTAAGTCTACGTGCTCTTGGTCAGCACAGAGCTGCTACCGGTAAGATACTGGCTAGAAAGCGTGGGATGACTTCCATCCCTTGCATGCAGCGGCGGTTGCTAGAAGTCACGTGGGGACCGGAAGGAGATGGTGCAGTGCTACCACCCCAACTAGAGGTAGGCTGATGACGTAACACTGAGTCCAGGACCAGCTGCCTCTCTCAGGGAGAGTGGGGCTGCTGTCTTGTGTAGAAGAGGAGGTTTCTCTGGAACAGCAGCTAGTCCAAGATTTGCCGGAGGTCACTGGGTTCACCGCAACCGCTACTGGTTGCCTAGCAACCCTGGAGAGGGAACATGACGGTGAGAGGTATGTGGTGGAGTGTGTGAGGAGTCACCACTCAATCAAGTGGGTGTGGCTGCAGAGTGAAGGTGGAGGTGGATGCCCATAATGCAGTAGAGGTGCTAGCAGATGAGCTGGTGCAGGACGAGGAGGTGGAAGAAGAGGTGAGGCATTAGCTGTGGGCATTGGTTATTTTTGCCACTTCCTCCAGCCTTTCTTTGTTCCTGCCTTCACCATAACCATCACCAACCATGTGGTTAGTGGCAATCAATCCGGTAACATTATCAGAGGTGTGTTCCCAGGGCTCCAGACTGCAAGTAGAGTGTTCCTTTGACGAGCATGGCCAGTACAGTGAGAGAGGGAAGGAATGGGAGAATATGACAATCAACTCAGTGTCTGTGATGGCTCCAGACTGTGACAGTCCTGACTCGGTGTACACCATTACTGCAGAGAACCTCAGTGCCGTAAGAAAGACAAACACCATCTTCTCTCCTCCGCCACTTGTGTCTATGCAGGACATATACGACAGTCTAATGGAGTATTTGCAGACCAGAGGAATTGACCAGAAGTTTGCTCATGACATCTTCCAGTATTACAGAGTCTTTGAACATAGGTGCTACCTGCAGTATGGCTTGAAAGCTCTTCAAAACTTTTTAAATAGTACATGAACACACATCATTATGAATAGTTCATCTTTTCTGGTCACCCATGTACTTGACGTGATCTTCAGTCACCTGTGGAAATAAGATACAACAGTGAACTGGTGGTGCATGGGAAGATTTGCCTGTGTGTATGGGCATGGGGGAGATTAGTTTCAAATTACGAATTACGCACACCAGCATTCATTAAAAAATGGGTCGCAATAATTTGGGTACACACATGCACAGCGAGGGTTAGTTTGTGTGCGTGTCTGTCAATACGTTTTCTGCCACCATGCGCAACAATAAAATAAAAGAGCACACGAAAAGTTTCACTGCTACAGTAGCTTTCTTTTAAAATTGGCGAGTTTCGTTCGAGTATGACGTGAAAATCCAAGTGAAAAATTACTGTTTTTGCATAAAACAATCCATGGATAAGTTAAATGGTGCATAAATATTTTAGTCATGTTCTCTTCTCTTGGGCAAACTGTGAATGGGTACCCAAATAAAAAGTGTATGTATATAATATATATGCCTGAATGAGACTGGGTATCTGAATAAAAAGTGTGCATACCCCAAATGTAAATTGGGTACCAAAAAAATCGAAGTGTTACCCAAAACACTGGTACCCAAATTAAAAAGTGTGTACCCAAATGTACGTATTGCGACCGTCTTTTTATAAACGAATGCTGGTGTGAGTAATTTTAACACTAATCTCCCGACATACCTGTGGCCACTTGTCCTTGATGAAGTCCACAATTCCGTCATAAACATCTCCTTGTACCACCACCTCATCGTCCCCAGTTACTGAACTCCCACACGAGAAATGCCCAGCAAACAATCTCGATGCCTTCTTCAGTTCAATATCTGCTGCCAGTGTAATGAGAGAGATGTAAGGCAATGGGTGAGTGTCTTACCGAATGACTTGAGTCCTACAATCACTGTAACACACTTCCTCTTTGCTCTCTGAGATCGTGATATACACAGTCGCTTCACACTCTCCTCCTACAGCCACTGGCAACTGGCATAAACTGCAGTGACTGTGTTTCACCCAACCTTTATCTTGACCTTCTTCATAGCCTTTCCACCTGCACTCCCGGCATGATATCAGAGAGCAGACACTCGGATTTGCCTCACCTCTTGTCTGCCGCTTTCCTTCACCAACTGACACACCCTCCAGCTGTGCAGCTACTACACATTATATAGGAGAGGCAAGCACACAGCTGTCGGTAAGAAGCAGACACCTCAATGTCACCTACTGGCCTCTATCCTGGAGTAGTGGTCCGGCAAATTCACCTTCATCCACTCGTAGCACTTGCTGGGGTCCGCAGAATACTCGCAGTACTGTAAGGAAATGTGCTCAACCAACAACGTCCATGGAGTCAGTCACTCGGTGTACCTCAGGAGGCATACTACATACTCCACAGTAGTCCACTGCTAGAGGAAAACTCGCTGCATCATCTTCCGCCATGTCGCACTTTGACCTCTCCAAGCATGGGGAAGAGAAAGACGACTAGCGGTGAGTTCGAGGCAAGCGGAGGAATCTGGATATTTGTAGTTTTCACAACAGCAGAAGGCGAAGGAGTCCCGCGCAAGAAGCACAAGAAAAACAAGCACAAGAAGAAGGGGAGGATACGTGAGGAAGAAAGCAGTAGAGTGGTAGAGGCGGGGCCGGGGGTGCGGCCACTGACTCTCAAGATAAAACTGGGCAAGAAACCAGTGGAAAGGCAACTAAGGTACTGCTGTCCTCAGTCAGTCTCATTCTTGTGTGCCCTCAAGTGAGGAGGATGAGGAGGGGGTGAGCAGTGTTGGGGACACAGCCGCAGCTGATCAGACCTGGCCTGAGGATCATGAACCTGTTGAAGATGCCGCTGCAGAAGGTGTTTTATTCACATTAGTATATGTCAGAGAGAGTATGTGTGTGTGTGTCAGAAGGGGGAAGTGAAGGGGAAGAGGAGGCGTGGCTTGTTGCCATGGAGAAAGGGCAGCTGGACGAGACAGGCTATGTTCCTCAGAGACCAGGGACTTCCCTCACAACTCGGCAGGTACCACTGGTTTCTCCTCCTCACCTCCTCATCTTCCTTACTTTGATGTATCACTCCTATTTCGGGCCTTAAAGTTTTCGTTTATCTACTCCCTGTGTTTTCCAGAGAGCAATGCTGGGATCTACAGATGAGCAGTTGCTGGAACTTCCACTGGGTGAGTATCTTTTCCCCCTCCCCCCTCTCTCTCTCTCTCTCTCGTTGGTAGCAGTGTTATGTACTAGGGAAGGCCAGGCAGGAGATGACTGAGGAGATGATTCTCAAGAAGACTGAGAAAAACAGAAAGAGGAGGCAGGCAGCTCAGAGGAGAAAGGAGAAGAGAAAGGTTCTTGGCTGATTGTTGCCGTGGTATTGTCTCCTAATGCGCAGCTCTCAGGTAGAGACAGTGCGGAAGCTGTTGGAAAAGCAGACGAAGAAAAAGGACGAGGTCAAAGTATGTCTCACATAATAACCCTGTTACCATGGAGACTACAGTGTAACCCCTGCAGGCCGCAGACAAGACAGTGACTGCAGCATTCCTTCACTACGTCAGGTCATCTGACAACTCCTCCATCTCCCTGGCCCCAGGCATCAACTACCCTCTTCCTCCACAAACAGCTACACTGTGAGTCCCCTACATGCTCTACCGTGGGAACTGATATACAAGTTGCCCAATTAATCAAACATTTCTGCTGCGTCACATCTTAAGACACAGACATTTTTGCAATTGTGAGAAAGTGGCAGTACTGATGTGTTCCATTGTTGCCATGTGTTGTGTGCAGACCTCCAGTGCCCCAGCAGTGTGCAGTGCCTGGATGCAGTGGTCGTCGTAGATACTGTGACTCTGCCTCAGGGCTCCCTCTCTGCAGCCTCGCCTGCTACAAGACTCTTCACTCTCACACCAACACTAATTCAATCAACAAAATTTAACCCTCTTGGCACCGCTGGCATATTATTTGATACATACCATGAAAATTAATGAGGTGAAAAAAGAAAAAAAAGACTGAGGCAGGGATTCGAATGCAAAGTATATATGAGCGTAAACGCCTACCACATTACAATACTAATTGGAGGGATCAGTGTGTAAATCTCTAGTGAGTATGTTGAGTTCGTGGTTCTCATCAGTGGACAGTAGCTGGAGAATGTGGGTCTTTATGCACCATAACTATGGGAGAAGAGGTCTCACTATAATAATATGGATGGTCTATAGATAGTGAGGAACATATGCATGCAGCTGCTGTGCAGGGGCTGCCAGAGTGATAATGTGATCCTGAGTAGCTGGCATGCTAACAAACACACATAACATACACCACCAAGAGCTTTTGTGGTAATAGAGCATCCATTATCTTCCATCACGCCAACCAGCAGCTCCCCCAGGTACATTATCCTACCCCCACTCTCTCCCAGGAAAACTAACTGGACTAGTTTCAAACAACAACTGACCTCCACTGCCAGCGCCAGCACACGGCCTGCAGCCAGTATCACCGCTGGAGCATACAGGAGTATGGGAGAAACGTTGTGCAGGCTGGGAGGGAGGTGGCCGAGGATGTAGAGATATGGTGGCAGGGCGTGTAGGCCGGCAACTGTGAAAGCCCCTACTGGTGTATAGAACCCTGAGAAGACATGGGGATTAGCAGTACACCAGTTTGCTAGACGCCCACCATTGTCCATGACAGTCTTGACCCACTGAGGAGCTGCGCCGAATGCAGCCTTCCACTGGTGACCGAGGGTGTGGGTGCAGACAAACACGCTCCACTCCAGGCAGGAGACAAACACTCCCCACTACAGCAATGACCAAACATTCCACACCTAATTGGCCACTCTGTTGCCACTCACACAGGTGTCCTGTCCCACTTCCCTCTCTCCCGACATTCAGAGAGGTGCTATATAGCAGGGCCGGGCACCCTGTGGTTTGAGCACCTCTCAGGAATTGCTTCAAATTCGTCAAGTGTCCCTCCCAGCCTGTGGCAGTGGCCAAGGTGGCATGAGGCTCTCATGGCTTAACCAGGCCTTGTTTATCACGACTAGCTACAAAAGGAAACCTGCCAGCCGCTCCTTCTTTGTTTTCTGGCGGGACACTTGCGAGCCAATCCTGCCCCACCCACCTACACTAGTGGACACACATGTCCTGTCATTCCACTTGCCTTATCCAACCCCAGGAAATTAGCAAGTGCTTTGAGGCACTCCCTATAGTGCTAATGCTCCACACTTGGCAGCCGGCACTCCAGTTCACAGAGATGGCCACATATTTCCACAATGGTTCACAGGCACTGATGCATCATAGGGGGTCGGGTAGGGCTGTTGCACCCGTCAATACATCAACCACTTATCCAGACACACATATGCTGCAGCTACTAGGAGACAAGTTAGGGGAAGTGTGAGTGGCTATATGAGCCTGATAGGGGGGAGAGCATCGTAAAAGATGATTAATTGGATATGTGATTCACACCAAAGCCACAGTGTTGGCGGGCAGCTGCGAATGAAAGGTGATAGGACTGCCTGAGTAGGAAGGCAGGCCATTGCAGCCAGAATCTTGCTGGGGGAGGAAGCATGGGCCCAGCAGACACCCTGCCATGTGGCCGTCTCCAGGACCTGGCATTCTGTGCGTGTGTGGACGTAAAGAAGTGCCATGTGTTGACACCTGCGCTACTGGCATCAGGGCTGCCTAAAACAACACCCACTATCAGCTGTAATGACAGGGCAGCCACAGCATTACCCACTACTCCAGTCCAATCACCTTCACACGCACACTCACAACCACAGCTCACACCACCTTCCTCCCTCCCTCCCCCCCCTCCTCCACACTATGGCTTCTCCCTGCACTCACAGGGTAGAGCTTGGTCCACAGGAGACTCCTCCCAACATTGTCCACCAGGACATCCAGCTGTTGGGGTGGGAGGAAGTGAGAGGGTAGGGGAAAGGGGTGGACGAGAGACCTACCCATGCTCCAAATGCCGAGCATTGCCCCATCATCCTTGCTGCCCAGCCATCAATACCTGAGCATGAACAGATAAGATGCCCGTGCTCTCAAGTAAGAGCATCATACCATCCAAGAAAGCAGCAGCAGCATAGAAAGGTAAGAAAACATAGATGTTGTCATAGAAAATCCACGCAGTGATCAGAAACAGCAGCCTCATGTAACCTGTGTGTGGGCGGTGAGTGAAACGAGCCACACCCCCGCACAGACCCTATAAACTCACCAATGAGGTTCGGTACGTAAAACAGCACAGAATACTTCCTCTTGTTCATGTTACGACGGTCGATCCTCGGGCCACGCACGCACGCACAGGTATTGAGCACGCGCAGTGTAGGGGTGTGTATTATTACGTGCTAAAATGTACACGCGGTTTACGCGCGCGTGTCGTGCTTGTAAACAAAAAGGCGTTATTTTGCGTCATAGCGCGGTCAATGACGATTGCTTTTTAGTTATGCAGGACGCGACGACGACACGTAGTACGCTGGGCTGTGCGCACGCGGGGTCCGGGCGACAAAATCGTAACCTGTGCAATATATTTTAGCACCAATAGTGGAATTTTGCTGCAGATGCTGAAAATCTCCCGCAAGCCTTGCTGCAACCGGGACTCGACGCGTTTGGCCTCGGCGGCCGACTCCTCCGCGTTAGCAGACTCTTGAAAGGTGCACTGTCCAGCTGCTTTTTGGTATGTGCAGGTGAATTTCAATCGCCAGTTTTTGCAGCATTGTTTTCATCTGCACAGGGAGTGTGTTTGAAGGTATTACTATGTCGGAGTCCATTTCAGCGGATGAGCTGCAAGGAGAGGAGAGCGGCCAAGACTCGGAGAGCCCGAGCTCGCCCAGGGACCTCGAGTCTGATTCTCCTCACAAGGCGGAGGGGATTGGGGAGAGGGTGAACAGCATCAACTGCCCGGACAGCCCTGCCTCTGCAGTGCTGAGCAGCCGGGAGCTGTGGCAACTGTTTGATGCTATTGGGACTGAGATGATAGTCACTCGCAGGGGAAGGTATGGTTTATTTCTCCATGCAATAAAATGCACAGACTGTGGCTGGAGACTAAAAGTCCCAGTGTTTGTATTATCAGATGGTGGTAGTCCATTGCACAATGGCTGTGGTAGTGTCTGTTTATCAGTGAGGAGTGGTGAGACCCTGGGAACTATACCACCTTCCTGGCCTGTAATTACTACTGCTGCCCTCTTGTGGCCCTCTAGCCCTCCACAATCTGGATCTGGTTTGTGGTCATATTGCAGGGGCCAGTGTAATTAGTAATAATCATTACTACAATTGAGGTGTTTGGTAGCATCCTCTGAGGCCTTCCTGGGAGGCACTTCCAGCCACAGTGTGGAACTGAAACACACCATTTTGTTGTTAAATCCCCCTCACACCCACCAGGCAGGGGCGCTGCACTCTAGCTAATGTGGCAGAGAGTAGCTTTCTGCAATTTGCAGCTTTCTTCGTCCCACCATCACTGTCTAACATAAACACCTGCAGCAAGGCACTGGGCAGGTGTGGGGAGGGAGTAAGTCCGGCAGTCAAGGTGCCCAGTGAGTGGTGAGGGAACATAGTAAGAGTGGGTGCAATAGTGAAGAATGGCAGATAAATGTGATAAGCAGCTGTCTAACAACAGGAGTCACTTTCATCCTACTCCACAGGAAGCCACTCAAGGTCTCCACTGTTCTTTAGCCCCTGCTGCACTCTATTACCCCTGCTTCCTCTTGGCCTTAGAAATAATATACCAGAGATATCTAAAGCATAAGTATACACAGTGTGGGAAGATGAGTGGCTAGGTATATGTACACAAGTGGCAAGAAGGCCAGGTGTGAAATGATTGTAAGCTAGGTAGGCAGCCACTATGTTATCATCCTGAGGTGGTGATTGGCCCAGCCTGACTGGAGTAGTGATATGAAGATAAGGGAAGCCAGTCTGAGGACTCCTGGAATGTCCCAATCACCCACCAGGGTCAGAGAGGGTGCTAGTGGAATCTCCCATTAATTGCTGTTTTCACACCAGCTTGTAGGCTTTCATTAGTTGCTAAGATGCAAAGTATTTCAAATGCACTTTTCCGCTGCCCCTGCCACACAGTGTCCGTTGCTCCTCAACCAGTTGATCCAGAGTGTGAGCACGCTGTGTGCCAGGTGAGAGTGGAGTCGTCACACTCGTGGAATTCTGGTCATTGCCGACACACTCCCTGCCCCACATTGTTCTGGCACACACTCCCCTTCACGCAGACTACTTAGCCGAGACCCCTGCATGGCTCTTGTATGTATGTGTCTGTCGTTTCTGCCAGGTTTGTATGTGCACACTTTTTGTGGGAAAAGAGTCTGTAACCAGTGACTGTATGTTACCAAACACTCTTGGTTGGCTGGGGAATTAATGCAGCAGCAAGTAGTCCAGCCAGTATGTTGATGACGTAATCTGTTTTCGATGCCTTGTGGCCAGTGTGTGAAACAAGAGTGGGATCTTATAATAATTAGTCCCATCTTTCAACACCACAGTTTCTTGGAAATGTATGAAGATGTCTTTTGGGAAAACAGACTGAGGGTTCAGTTCCTGGAATGAGACAGTGGCTGGGTCCCTGGAATGTGGCATGTACACCTTCCCCTAATCTCCTGTGGCATCCTCATGTCCCCCTGGTTCCAAGGTGGCTGTAGGTCTTGAGAAAGTTGAGTATACCACTCTTTTTGGCAGGCTTCCATGAGCACTGGTGGTCTAATGTGTTTACTCTGCAACTGGGCATGCATGTATATCGACTGGTGTTCTCACTTGGCATTCTTTGGCTTTGATGGGTTCTCCACACTCCTTCAAATACTGCTCATACCAAGGCTGCTAATTGGGGCTCCCTGTATGGTATGCACATGCATTATCTTCGGACAATGGCTGGCCTCCATAAGTCCAGGAGTAATGTAAGGCTGGCACAATCACAGGGTTGCCTCAGATTATTTAATCCACACTTTTCACTCCCAATTTTAAGCCTGGTAGACCGAAAGAATTGTGAAGAGTGCATAGTCAGAAAAAGAGAAGAGAAAGGTAGAAGGGAAAGGTGGGATTTGAACCCACCACCTCTTGCTTCCCAGGGCAGTGCACTACCGCTATACTATGGGAGAGCTACAGCTTGTGGCACTGGAAATGAGCTCTTGTCCAACATAAAGAATAATACTCTGACTCGCAGTGTTTTGTTTGTATTGTAGACTTTGAGCCCAGCCTGCAGAGTTGCCCTGCTAGCTCAGTGGTAGAGCACTTGTCTAGAGAACACTGTGTCTTGGGTTCGAGTCCCTAGGGCAGCTCTTTTTCTTTGAAAAAAGGTGTTGTCGCTTCCTTAGGTGTAGTTGTGCTGTTTGATATTATATGTTTACACCCTGTAATTTATGTAAGTGCATAAGTGCTGGCAGCAATAGCTTTCTTCACCAGGTTCACTGAGATAGTTTAAAGGACGTCGTACACCTGCGCTTGAGCGTCACATATTGCCGACCGAAGTTTAACTCTGAGTAGTATTCTATGAATAGAGTTCACTTTCTCCCTCCCTCAGGAGGATGTTCCCTGCCATTAAGGTGGAGCTCTATGACCTCAAGCCCGATGTCTCCTACATCTTGTTGATGGACATGGCACCAGTCGACAAGTACCGCTACAAGTACAATGCTGGCTGGGTCCGCTGTTTCGAGGAAGAGTGTGCGCCTACTCGTCTGTACATACACCCCGACTCCCCAGCCCTGGGCTCCCACTGGACCTCCGTTGTCATCAATTTCTACAAACTGAAACTCACTAACAACCAACTGGACAAGCAAGGCCATGTAAGTGTACGTGCTGTTTTCTATTGCTCATGTCCCTACTGCTGTGACGTGCTATTCCCTGCAGATCATTGTCAACAGCATGCACCGCTACCAGCCTCGTCTCCACATTGTCGAGTCAGACGATATCAACAGTTTCAACTGGGAGACCCGCCAGACGTTTATCTTCCCTGAAACCCAGTTCACCACTGTCACCGCCTACCAGAACGACAAGGTTTGAGACACTCGCTCAATTCCATCAGTCTCTCTCGCACTCTCTTCACGCACTCTCCAGATCACTCAGCTGAAGATTCAGACAAACCCATTCGCAAAGGGCTTCAGGACTCCGTTCTCACGATGTCGCTCCAGAAATCCTCCCGGAGTTTGCACTAGGTTATAACTCTCCTTGTCTCTCTTTCAAGCTTTTACCTTCTCATCCAAACAGGTTCCCTCTGCGTTCCAACAGCTGCAGCGACTCGGGCGTAGAAGACCCTCCACACCCATCCCCCACTTCCCTCCCTCACTCCTCCCCCACTTCCCTGTTCTCCCCCAAATTCCTTCTCCCCACACATGATTCATCGCATGTCTTGCTTCACGACTCAGCCCGTGTTCTAGTCCAGGGGCAAGAAATGGCAGCCCCTCGTGTGCTGCTTCCAGGATGGGACCTGCAGCAACTTGTCATACCTGAACAGGAAGGACAGCAGAAGGTGCTGCTCACTGACACTGAAGGCAACCCCATTCTTGTCCAGAATGGGAAGACCCACCTTCTCGCAGGGCACCAGGACAGCCACAAGCTCCTCGTGGCCGGGCACAATTATCAGAAGCTGGTTTTGCCGACAGCGAACAAGTTTTATTCGCCTCAACAGGAGGCACAAGTCATGAGGCTAGTAGTTGCACCAGACGGCCAAAAGCTGCTGCTGCCACCTCAGGCTCCCAGGCAGGAGATTCAAGCGGGAAAGAACTTTGTTCTCCAGACACAGGATGCACAGAAGGTGATGAACGGACAGACGTTACTGTTCGCAGGGGCGCAGGACACACAGCAGGTGATAATGGTGGGTCCCAGTGACAAGTCTGGAGCTACAGGTTTGCCACCACTGTTTGTTTCTTGCTGACTCGTCAATATTTCAACCCCACAGCTGGCAAGCGGCGCCGACCAGCAGAGGATATTCGAGCTGCTAGGAAACTGCCCTGTCTGTCGGTGTCGACAACTCAGAATGCACAAGAATCTCCAGTTGTTCTGATGTACCGACCAGTTGTGGCCAGTCAGGGAACCCCTCAGCTACTGCCCACTGCTTTACTTCAGCCAAACAGCAGTCGAGCCTCCGCCAGCACCATGTACACCGTAATGACCAGCCCACAAGAGCTGGGAACTCAGTCCACCCCACTGCCACAGGTGTCTACGACTCACCCCCTCACAACTACATCCCTCGTCAGCACATCCTCTCCTCACATCCTCACCTCAGTCACAACATCACACTCCTCCCCCTCCCCTTCCCCCTCCACTCCCACCGTAGTGAACGGACTGGTGCACTTGAGGCCTGCCGAGATGAAAAAGATTGTGTCTCCCTCGCCTGACATGAATAAGCCGCCAGTGGACATCAGCTGCCTCACAAGAGAGGGTGTGGTTAGGAGCAAGACTCCGCCTGCTCTCCTTCAGGTCCAGAGCAGCAAGCAGTCAGACACGCACACGCAGCAGTCCACACATAAACAGCAAGAACCCACGGAGCCGGAATCAGGGGAACAGCAGCAGCAAGCTGCGAGACAGGACGTCGTACTCGTTCAGGCAGCTCCTTCGACTGGGATGCAGCGCGTCATGGTGATCGGGGAGAAAGGAGAGGTCGCTCAGCAACCACAGATGGTTCTTCCGGTGGCCTACGACCAGCAGTTGGTTAGCATGCCGATCTACCGCATCGGCAGCTCTCTTGGAGGCCTGCAGCCCCTTCAGGTGCTTGCCTCCCTGCCTTCCGGAGGGACAGCTACCTAGCAGCTCCCTGACCTCTCATTAGCTGAAAACATTCATTTCCCAACTTTTTCCTTTTTTGTACAGAATATCATGAATATAATTATCTTTTTTGGCTTGACATAATATTCTATAATGCAATGATGGAATAAAAATTGATGACTGATGATCTATAGTGACGGTGAGTGTGGATGAGGCCAAAAATCAGGTGGCAGAAGGTGAGTGGTGGTGGTTTGATGATGAAGGCTCATTGTCTCTGGCTACTGATGAACTGTCTGGAACTCGTGCCACTGATGGTACACTGGGTTCATGTGTAGCTGAGCAGTGTAGGTCCTGGTTAACCCGAATACTGACATCACTTGTACTCTGACAACTAATACGGAAATGTGAGCAATTGCGGCAGTTAATGATCCTAGAACTATTGTAGCCCATTTTTGGCAACAAGGCACGAGCAAGAGTGTAAAGGATTAAAAAGTGCAGCCGAGAGCACCGGGAATGATTTGCTTGCCAATAAGCAAGACACTCACTTGTTATGAAAGTTTCCATTGACGCTAATGGAAGGAGGCGGAGGAGGATCACTGGCAGAATGCTCCGCTGATGACTGAAACAACATCTTATCAGACTACTATCAGACTGGCGGGTCTACACCAACTAACATTCTCACTGAAGGGCCACGGCAGGTCCGTCACGTCTTCCTCAGTTGACTCACTCTTCTCCAACCACATTAGCAACTGAGGTGGGGGGGCATAGTTTCCACGGCGACGTCTTCTGTTGGGGGTGTCTGTCTCTTCCCCGGAATTCACTCCACCCTCTTTCCCCCCACTTCCACTCTCCACTTCCTTCTCCCCCTCGTCAAAGTGAGACCCGACAGAGAAGTAGAGAGAGGAAGTGTCGCTCTCTGCTCCGAGGCTCATCTGTCTCCCTCGTAGGTCATCCTTTGCCAGAGACTGCTGCCTCAGTCGCAGCCCCGCCCCCAGCAGGCCTGCTGACACGTCTGCCTCCAGTCCCCACTGCACTTCCTGTCCAGACGATATCCCATATTTAAAGGACACAATAGAAAAAAGGATATCGCAAACATTCACTACATCTTTAACCTCTGAAGAGAGGACAACCTCCTTATGAAGGACAAAATTCCTGGTCCCAATCTGTCCATTATTTGGAGTTTCCACTGTAGTAAGGGGCCACTTCCTTTACCAATGAGGGAATTTAACAGGGGACTTCAATTCCCTTGTCCTATAGAATTCCCCATTTCAAAGGTTCTCGACTAACAGTAGCAATGTCAGCCAGAAGAGAAGAGCATATTTATTATACCTGAGTTGGGGTGTGGTCAATGGACACAATGGGGGAAGAGAGACGAGGGGTAAGTCTGGAAGACTGCCGAGACGGAGGTCGCGGAGAGAGGAGCTCACTTGCCGTTTCCTCGGCAACAGTCTCCAGACTAGCTGGTTGCCATGGTAGTTGAGGTCCGGAGGGGAGGTAGAGAGCCAGGGTGTGAGGAGGGAGAGCAGATTCCAGCAGACTCTGAGGAGACACACTGCACTGCTAGAGGTGATGGGATATGTCAGGTGCAAACCTGCCCGGCAGAGCTGTCATCCACCACAGAGTCAGCAGAGGCTCCCAGCAATAGGTTGTCTGTTGGAGGAGACAGGTCAACCAGCACACCATCTGCACTGACTGAGCCCAGAGTTGACTGGCGCATCAGGGAAGGCATCACAAATTCCAGCTCAGGAGGAATGAACCTGGAGACAGAGGACTCAGAGGTGAACAGGGGGTATGGCTGGCCCACCTGTCTGGAATGAGCTCCGGACTGTCAAAGTCGTCAAATCCAAGACTGGACAGGAAGTCAGGGACGGTGTCGTAGGACGGGGTGTCCCACAGGGAGCTGATGGTGAGGCTCTCGCTGCTGATGCTGCCCATACTGTGTGTCTTGAGGAGCTGGTGGGATCGGTGGGTCCGCGAGGGAGGGGTCTCAGTGGGCACTGGATCAGGAGAGGACCTGGCAGGACCTCTCTCCAGCTGGGGGCTGGTCTTGTTCGCTGAGAGCAGCATAAGATGTTTGCCAGAACTGAAGTAACTCAATATAATCCCCCCCACACAGGGTTCCTACCTGGACTAGAGCAGCTTTCTCTCTTGTGGCTCTCTCTCCCTGTACCTTCCTCATCATCCGTCTCTGAGAGGTGAACCTTTGGCTGTGTGTGTCTGGCCCACTGCTGCCGCAACAGACTGGCTCCAGTCAGCACCTGCCACCTGGACTCCTCTCCTGAACACACAACACACCTGTACATACATACCTCCTTAGTTACCTCTCCCCCCCCCCACTCAGGACAAACCATTACTAGGAAAACAGCAACAAACCCCTTGAGAATGCCAGCTATGCCAGCTATGCCATCTACATTACATAACTTGCACTATTGGGCATGCTAGTACTTTACACTCCACATTCACATGTCTGTTGAACCAGCATCACATAAGGTCACATGACACACTTACCTCCACCAACTCTTTCTCCACTTAATCCTCCATCTCTCTTCTCCCTGTTCCCATGGTGAATCAGCTCGTCTCCTTGGAGACGAAGACTCTCCGAATTGCAGTGGACCACATGTTGCTTGCGACCTCCATCTCCTCTCCCTCCTCCCCTGCTGATGTTAGTCATGTCTCTCACTAGAATGGCCGCCGCAGGTAGCTGCAAAAACACAGAGAAGCTGGCTCCACGGCTCCACATATCTCTGAGTACTATGAACGAGCCTACCTCCAGCGGGCGTTCTGGAAGCGAGCACAGCTGGTCTGGAGAGCGAGCTACCTCTCCAACAGTCATTGACATGGTTCCCAGTGCCTGTCACTGTCACGGCTGACTGGCTCCGCTCCTGGACCCCGTCACCAACTACACTTGTTGACGCCTGACTCTCAGGACAAAGTTCAACTGCTTCCTCACGCAAGCGCAATGAACAGAGAGGTGTGGTCTGTACTGTATATATAATATACGCCCGTGATCAGCGTGTTTGGATCTTCTAAGATCCACTTTACTTGTGCCATCTCTCAAGCAGCTGAGGTCCAGCAAATATGGGTGGCATTGGGGGAGACTGTGGCAAATACTTCACAGTGGGAGTGATGACTCTCATCAACCTCCTCAACTACGTGGACAGATACACCATTGCTGGTGAGTAAGACCACATAGTATTCCCCATAGTATTCCCATGTACACACGTGCATGTTGTGCAGGTATCTTGCACGAGCTGGACTCTCGCCATACCAGTGGTTTCCGAGGAAACACGAAGGTGGACGACACTCTGGACGGTCTGCTACAGACAGCATTCATTGTCTCCTACATGCTGTTCTCACCGGTGTTCGGGTACCTGGGAGACCGTTTCACTCGCAAGTACATTATCACAGGCGGTATCCTGGCCTGGGCATGCTGCACTCTCTTAGGATCCTTCTCCGTGGTGAGCCTAGTTCACGGGGCAGCTTGGTCTCACAATGTTATTGTACCAGAATGTGAAACATTTCCTTGAAGCATGGGCACTGTCTACTTAGTACACAAAAAAACAGCCACACTTCACTCAGTCCAGCCATTCTCTCCGTCTCCCAGGACTATTGGATGCTGCTGTCCTCTCGAGCTCTGGTCGGCATTGGAGAGGCCTCCTACGCCACCATTGCCCCTACAATCATTGCAGACCTCTTCCCTCCAGAGAAGAGACTCCGTATGCTGTCCGTGTTCTACATTGCCATGCCGCTGGGCAGTGCTCTGGGCTACATTCTAGGAAGTCGGGTGTCTCTACTGGTCCACAGCATCAACCATCAACCAGGCAGCTGGCAGTGGGCACTCAGAGTAAGCCACACACCCCCGCCCCTGGTTCCAGGCTCAACTATGTTCTCCAGATAACGCCACTACCAGCTGTCATCCTGGCCATTGTGGTGCTGGTTCTTGTGAAGGAGCCGGTGAGAGGATCCACTGATGTTGGATTCAGCTCTACCAAGGGAGTGCAGGGGAAGTCTGGAGTCAAGGCCTACTTTGAGGATGTGCTCTACTGCCTCAGAAAGTCGGTTGATGAAGAGTACAGCTCTGTGTGTTGATCGCAGCTGTGTCCTCCCTCCCGCAGCAAATCGTTCGTGTTATCGTCTCTGGGCTATACTGCAGTGACATTCACAGTGGGCGCTCTGGCTCAGTTTGCTCCTCTATTCATCCTGAGGGCCTCGTGCATCGTCACCAAACAGTATGAGGAGGCGACGGCGGACCTGCTGTTTGGAGGAGTCACAGTTGTAGCTGGCATCTTTGGGACTCTGTCGGGCTCTGAACTCTCCAGGTTCCTCGGCCGGTATACCAGGAAGGCAGACGCCATAGTGTGTGCTGTGGGAGTGGCCATGGGGACCCCATGTCTCTTCCTCGCTCTGACTGTGATACAGTACCGTATCATGGCAGTATCCTGGGTGAGCTCTACCTCTCTGCCTCTCCCAATTATCTTCACTACTGTGAGCAGGTGATGGTGTTTCTGGCCGAGTTTTTCTTCTGCCTCAACTGGGCTCCAGTGGCGGCAGTTCTACTGGTGAGTGTATGGACTACAGTAGTTGTTGCTGACTTTATTGGCCTGCTGCTGCTGGTCCAGTATACGGTGGTACCGACCCGAAGAGCCACAGCTGAGGCTCTACAGATCCTGATGCAGCACCTGCTGGGAGATGCCTTCAGTCCACTGGTCGTCGGAGCTGTAAGTCACTGAAATCAAGTGCAAACCCTCAGTGCACTGCGCATGTGCGGTACCGCTAATTGACGGGCTGGACTATTAGTATGTGTTTACTCGTGGTCTCCCGCTAGTAGCTCGCGAAGAGTCTTACAGAGGCTAGCTATACACTAGTAGAGCGAGTCAATGCGTGCTCACCACTATAGGCACAATAATAGGTTTTGATGCACTATTTTAACAACAGATTGTCATCTTTGCTCTCTCTCTCTCACTGTGTGTCTCATCTCAGATATCAGACATGGTCTACAGGTTCCTGGGGACCTACTACACCGACAGCGGGAGCTGTGATGTGGGGAAAGGAATATCTCTGGAGTTTGCCCTCTTCATCACAGTCTTTGTGTGTGGTCTCGGAGTGGCTGCCTTCCTGTCTCTCACTCTCGTAGTAGAAAATGATAGAAAGGTTTGTCTTAGACTGGTGTATGTCTCTACATGTGAGTGGCTCCGTAACACAGGCTGTGGAGAGGTTCTCACGAGGACAGAGAGACAGGGAACACGCCAACGTCAATGGTGGACAGTGGGAGGAACATACGAGTGACGACGAAGATGAGTCAAGTCGGTTACTAGATGAAGCAGTGAAGGAACATTTACTCTCAATTTCTGCAAAAACATAGCATTCCTACAACAATCTTGGTGTGTCTGTTATTTTTTGTTGGGCCTATAATGTCATTTTATCAGACGAGTTTGTTGAAGCGTGCTAACTCCTCCCCGCTCAGCAGTTGACTTGGCTTGTCTTTAGCTGCCACCTTGCGATAGTATTGGACAGGGGGGCGTGGCTTGCCAGCAGCGTAGCTCTCCAAGTACACCTTGGTATGCTCCCTACCTGGACCCAACTCCAACTGTAGGAGAGAAAGAAGAAATTAATTTGGTTCAAAAGACAACTATAATCACCTTTCCCTCTGCAACTCTCTGTTGAAGGAAGTCAGGATATGGAGTGACTTCCTTGTTGTGGAACACAGCGTCACAGATCTGCCGAACAATCCAGTCAAACAAGGCTTCTCTGCCGTGGTAGCGCTGAATGAGTGGACGAGTCTTCTCCTGAATTGTGGGACAAAGTGATGATTACAGCACACTCCATACACTGTAGACTAGCACACTGCTACAAAACTTCTTTATAATACTCTGGAGGATAGGCCTACTGGAAGAGGGTGTCAAAAAGCTCTTGTTCTCCCACCTGTATGAGAGAGATGTCTGCAGAGAGAGCACCTCTAGCAGCAGCTACTAGCTGACTCATTGACACTGCTAGCTGGGTCCTAGAACAGCTAGGACCAATCCTCTCACTGGCATGAGGATCACCTGTACACACATACACACAAACATCATGACTACTTCTGCCATCATACCAGAGACCTGCCTGTAATGCCTGCTGGGTCGTAGGTACGGGTCCCAGGGAGATAGACCACCCGCTCCTCCCCCGTCTTGTGACGAACTAGGACACTGCCCGCGAAGTTGATGCCCCATTTCTCCACTGGCTGACTGCTAACGTGCAGGGAGAAGGCCGGGGAAGACCCCGGAGGGAGAGAGAACGTCACTTCTGCCTTCCTGCCGGTGGCTTCCGCCTCTCCATAGGCGACACCGTGCTCCTGTGGAAGCAGAGCTCTCTACCTAACGCCAGACACACCCATAACACCACAGAACCTGGAAGCTGTAAGTGAACTGGTCGGTACCACAGGAGTAGAGGTTTGCCACTTGACTCGAAGAAAGCCCCAGAACCTCGCTGACGTCAGCTCCTGCACTCCCGTCCCCTAGTGCTAGGTGAGCCTCGAAATTAGCTGGAATAGTTACTTGAGCAGCACTCATCCTTCCTCGGCTGTCGTTCAAGGAGCCACGCCTACGACTTTTACACAATATTCTCGAGCCACGCCCTCGTCGTCTCACCCACTGTACGCATGCGCAAATCACAAGACTGTCGCTTCTCTTTCAAAATACCATAATACCTGCTTTATAGAGAATCAATGGCAGCCAGTGTGTGGGTGTGTGTGTTGTCTGGAAGTGAATGCCGTGCTGTCTCATGAGCTAGCCACATGACCTATATAGCTAGCCAGACTTGAAGAGGAGCACTGCAACCTGTCCCATATAGAAGTAGACAAAGTGCTTGGTTTCGTGCGTGACGTAAGACCCAAAGTTCCTTCCCACGATGCAATGCCATGTGGGATTGTATTTCTTGTCAAACTCCTTCTTGATGAAGGCAGCTATGTCTTTTTCAATGTTGAACTTCTCCATAGCCTGCAAGGTAAGCAAACATAACGAGAGGGGGCGGGTACACAAACAATGAAAGCTAAATTGAGTGAGCGACATGAACTAGAAAAATATGACAGTCAGCTGCCCAGTCCGCTGTGAGTAAGGTACCTGCGTGGCGACGTCCACGGCCTCCTGCTGCATGTCGTCAGACATGTCAGCATTCTTCACCACCGCCTTTCTGTCAGTCATCCTCCTTGTCGCACACTGACCAGTCTTCCGCTGAGCAGAACAATGATGCAGTTCTTTTCAGAGCACGCCCCTTGGCGCCTTATAAACCAACTGGCGACAATATTATTGGTCTCTCAGCAATCCGTGTCAGCATCCTGTGACATAACGTCATCTGCGACTCCGTGACCGGCCAACGGCGCGCGCGCAACCTTTGAACCTGTACACGTGAATAATGGAGAGCCTAGATGAACGGTGCACACCTCTGAAGGTAAAATACGACGAGTGTTTTAACGCCTGGTTCCGGAGCTCATTCCTAAAGGGTCGGGGGAACCACGAGGACGCCTGTGGCCGCTTGTTCACTGACTACCAAGCCTGTCTCAAGGTGAAAGACAAACCTCGTTTATCGTTTCATATCCTCATGTTCTACTTTTATAGGCAGCATTGGAACGAGAAGGGCTAAATTCTCCAGCTCTCTCTGAGCATGTGTTGGGAACTGACAAGGAAAAGAAGACTGATTCGAAATAGTTTACATGTCTGCACAACGTTATGACATTTTGACAACACCACACAATCATTTTGACAACACAAGCACACAATCATTTTGGAGGCCACAGGGAAGCTAAACGAGTGTGTTTGCTCTGAGGTAGCCACAATGAGAAGGCCTTCAAGAGATCTGCGGGAAAACATGCAGACTGCTGGCAAGTTAGCTGTTTGTGGCGGGACTTACACTTTGGTTGTTTTTCCCACTGCTGAAGGAGAGCTTGCCGTGAGGACACCTCTCTCTCTACTAGAGCCTTCAGCAGAACTGTAGTCTGGTGGTGGAGTCTGGGGAAAGAGGGAGGGTTAGGTTTGTTTCCTTAATCCCTGTGAGGACTCACTTGGCCCAGCTCTTTATCATGGTCACAGGAGGGAGGAGGAGAGATGATGAGAATTCCACCAACACAGTACACACCTAGTCAACAGACTGCTCTTACACCCAAATTTCAAAATGTCACAAAGCCAGTGTAGCTTCAAACGAAGAGCACAAAAGATGTAGTTCAAAGTCACCTTTCCCTGTAGTAGGAACAGAGCAAACAGTCTGTAGAGCTGGAGACCATGAGGATGGGCCATCTCATGTGACCCAAGTGGCCACTGGTGAGGTCCTGCAACGTGTGGAACAATTCAATATTGATCTGGACAACTTTTTCTAATTAATCCCCACCATAGGTGCAAGACATGTGACATCTAATGGTGCTGGTATTGGGGTCAAAGGTTGGAGGAGGTAGTTCTAGAGGCTCTGAGAATTTGCAGAATTGAGGAACCAATTGTGGTAGCCATGCCTCCTGAACAGCCATCACTCCTGAGAAGAAACAGAAACATGCAAGTACAATACACCCATACACCATGGAGCAGCGTTCAGTCAGGGGATGTACACAAAGGCTAGGGTATTTCAACCACACATACATAACTTCATGTGAATACGTACATCTGAACATTACCCTCATTCTGATCCTGTACATAATGTACCTCTCAAGTAGATCCTGTGGCCAGAGTCGAGGAGGTCTTGGTAGACGAGGTAGTCCGGAGGGCAGGAGGTGAGAGAGGAGTTGGGGGCGAGATACACTGGACCTTCACATGACACACACTGCAGGTGGAAGAGAGGTTCAACCTGTTCTCCAGCAAGGCCCTGTTACCTACCTGGTAGGAGAACCTCTGTTTCCTCTTATCCTCTGCCGACATGTTGTCAGTCGATATCTTCCTAGAGGAGAAATAGTTAGCTCCCCCACCTAGAGAGATAGAGGCAGCTGCATACCGTGCGACACGGTCTCCAAGACAAGCCAGGACTATCTGACAAAGATGACGAGCCTGGGCCTCAGTGGGCGGAGCCAAGCTGGGGTCAATGACTAGGTTCAGATCAGGGCAGATCATGTTGACTGGAGAGAGGGAAGTAGAGTATAATGTGCATTACAAAGTCACTCACATTCTATATTATAGTGTACACAAATGAGCGGACGGCAGCTCTGGGGGTGGGTCTACATTATGTACCGGAGTTTGTGAGTTGTTGTCTGAGCCTGGACACCTCCCTCATGGCTCGTGGCTGGAGTCCAGTCTTGGCAGAGAACTCTGTTCTCCCTCTGGAGTGGCTCCATGCTCCCACAACTGTCAGCAGCAGTCCAAGGTCCCCCAGGAGACGGAACTCTTCCTACAACCAGCCACCCTGTGCCAGCTTGTGCTGACTGACTGACTGAGCTTACCTTCCCAGCACAGAGTCTTCTTAGAGCTGCCAGGCCTGACGACTTCACTCCACCTTCTCCCCTCCCTTCTTCCTCTCCCTGGATGAGATCAGGAAACCTCAGAGGGAGACTGAGAGTTCTTTTACCTTTCTCGAGCTGTGGTCAGTCTGCACCACCAGTTCCTGGACCAATGGTAGACACCATACACCCAGAGCACATCCCAATGTTTGGTTAAAAAGTCAAAACCCCAGTGCAAAAAGTGTGCGCATATGATTTCACGAGAAGCACAATTTGTGACTAATTTTATACAAATATCTCCACAACACTGACCTTCACAGAGAGTGCAGCCACCAGGGAAATGACATAAGGAAGGCAGTTGTACTGGTGACCCACTGCCAACATCTTGCCATAGCGAGGAGACACTGGGAACCTGGACATGGTGCGACCAAGATCAGTGAGCCTCCCATCGGAGGACAGGGCACCCAGTCCCTCCAGAACCATCTCTGCCGCCTGAGAGTAGATCAGATAATGTCATAGTGGGCGTGGCAAGGGGTGTGGCCAACCTGTAGGGCCTCGGGGGAGGGTGGAGTGGGGAAAGGGAAATGTGCTACTCTCTCGATGCCCAGAGCCTTCATCTGGAGGACCAGGTCATCCACTGGTCGGCTACAGATCTCTGGCTGCGAGAACTGCGACAACAGGTTCTGGAACACGGCAGACGAGTAGAGTCTGTTTGAGATTACGAGACAGAGGAGGAACTAGTGAGAGAGGTCATGTGTGTGTCGGAGTGTGTGTGTGTATGTATGTGTGTGAGTGAGATTGCTTTTGTGTGTGTCTGAGATAGTATGGAGACCTGTAGCAGTGACCAGGCTGTGTTCTACCAGCCCTGCCTGCTCGCTGGTTGGCAGACGCCTGAGACACCCACTCCACTCTGAAGGTAGATATGCCAGTCACCTTGTCATAGTACCTCCTCTTTACCTGCACACACGAGACACGCCCATCTTTTGGTGTATACCTCAAACCTTCTCACTAAAACATCATTACACTCACCTGCACCACTCTTTTGATAATTAATGCCTAACTTTTAGAACCCTTTCATGAACATGTGCATGCAGAAGTTCAGTAGGGTCACGCTATAAACCCTCACCTTCCCAGTGTCCACCACATATTTGACGTGAGGAATCGTGATGGAAGTCTCGGCGACGTTGGTAGCTACCACACACAGCCTCACTCCCTCGGGCACTGGTCTGAACACCTGCCAGCAGGACACACCACACAGCCAGTGGAGGAACACGTGGGCCTCGCCTCACCTCGGCCTGTCTCTCTGGTGGCAGCAAAGAGTAGAGAGGGAGAACTAACATCGGCAACTGCCTGTCGTGAGCAGACACTTCCGCTTTCCAATCTGTCTCCTTGTCTTCCTCTTCCCCCTCCTCATCCTCACACTCAGTTCTGCCAACCTCTGGCAGTAAAGGGTACCTACAAAATCCCCGAATGTCTCGTTTCCCTCACTCTCTCCACACAACACACTTATCCAAATCCACATCTCCTCTGCTCTTTCTTCTCCTCCTCTCCCTCCTTCCTCCCTCCTCCCTCTCTTCACCAGTGGACTGGGTACAAGGGAAGGTTCCTCGGAGCGCTCTGCACAGCCGCAGCACCTCTCTCTGTCCAGTCAGGAACACCAGCAGGTGTCCCGGCGGCAGACGTTTGTGGATCTTACACGTCTTCAAGTACGCCTCTCTCACATAGGAGGTCGGAGTTCGTCTGCTGAAATGAACCGTCACCGGAAACTGTCGAGACTCCACCTATGTTGTTTCCATAGCAACCAGTGGGTGGGGGGTAAGGGGGGACATACCGAGAGGGTGGGGGGAGGGGAGGGAAAGAGGAGAGGGTTTTTGGTGAAGTCCTCCACCCTGAGTGTGGCTGACATCACCACCAGTTTCAGTGGACGGCCAGACTGCATGAGGAAAATATAATGTTGGTCACAAATGCTGTAGTTCTGAACTCAGTGCTAAACCCAAGGCAGCAGCTGTCAGTGATTGTGGGAAGGAGTCATACACAGCTTCAATTAGTGAATTTCCACAACAGAGGCTGACCTTTTCTCTGAGAGGTATGATCCTGGAGAGCAGTCCGAGGAGGATGTCGGTGAAGACAGACCTCTCGTGAGCCTCATCAACCACCACCACACTGTACCTCTGTAGCAGCAGGTCCTGGGGTGGGGGGATGAGCAGGTGGACACTGCGGGAAAATGTCTGGTACTACATCCCACATTAGCAGATGAAGGAAGATGAAAAGTCTGGGCAAGGTGGGGGAAAGGCGAAAGTCATAGGGAAAAGACAAAGATTACGAGGTGCATGTGGGAAGGACGATAGGTGCACCCATGACGATGTTGACTATGAGATGATGTCAATGTTGACCAGAGACAGACTAGCCCATACGAAAAACAAGTCACCACTTGGATATACAACATGTCCTGTTGCTAATGGCAACAGTGAGAGCAGGACATGAATTTGTACTCATGTGACCACATGTTTCACGTCAGTCGTATTACGTCTGAAGTTTGAATTTCAAAACATACTACATGTCAGACTAGACTTTGTGTACCACCAGTCACAAACAAAACTGATGACATCATTTCAAAACTGACCTGCTCAATTTCCCTGAGTAGAACTCCGTCTGTCATGAACTTTATCACCGTGTCCTCTGCACGGTGAGGATATCATAACATTGTTCTATATTGTCTATGTTGTTACCTGTTGCATTTCCTTCGTAACGGATCTGGTAGGATACCTGCCTGTACACCACAGTGTGAGTGCGTGCGTGCGTGGGTGTTCCCCTTTGTCACTTTCCACCATGTTGCTACGTATAACATACCTCTGGGAGAGGCCCATCTCATAGGCCACTCTGTGAGACATACTGACAGCAGCCACTCTCCTTGGCTCCGTCACACCTATCATACCTCCACCACTGCACCTCACAGTACACATGAGTTGGCAATTAAGAAGAATTTCACGGTGATACCTTCTCACTAATTATGTTAATGCCTCGAAATTTGCAATAATTGTCATCTCTCTCTTGATACGTTATACAGTAGAGTACATAGCTACCTACATACCATGGGCCGTTGGGGAGAGTGTAGCCATGTTCATAGAGGAACTGTGGTAGTTGGGTGGTCTTCCCACTCCCCGTCTCTCCACAGAGAACAGTCACTGGTGACCCACTCACACTCTCCATTATTCTCCCCTCCTCCGCTACCACTGGCAGCTGAGCTCGCACCTCCTACAGCCAGCACACACAACAATGACACTGCACCCCCACCAACAACTCACACAATACAACATTGTATGTGTAGTGTTGGGAGCTAAGTAGAGGAAGAGGCAATAGAAAAGGTACACGCCAGAGGAAGTAAGGACACACCAGGAGAGGAAATAAAGCCAGTATTGGATGACTGTAGACAACACAAGAGATTGGTGGGTGATTTGTGAATGGGTTAGGGGGCTAGCAACTTGGGAATGGAAAGAATGCCAGGCATGTGGAGTCAACAGATCGACGAGGCGCTCTGTCATGGGTGGTCAGACACACACCTGCACATCTCCAGGCCTCTTCAGCTGAACAAACACCGCCACACGCCTCTCTCTTACTCCCGTCTCCACGGCAACATTTGCCTCCTCTCCAGTTACAGTCCTTTCTTCTTTCACCTTCTCCTCTTCAACTTCTTCTTCCTCTCCCTCAGGACCCTCCCCCTCTGCCTCTTCCACTTCCATTTCTATCATCTGAACCTCCTCTTCCTCCTCTTCATCTTCGTCCCCAACAACCTCAAGATGAGAGGTCACCTTGTGAGGAGACCAGGCGCCTTTCTCGGCTCGCAATTGTCTCCGTTTTCTCCGTCTCCTCCTCACCCTCCACCCACTCACCTCACTTCCCTCACTACCACAATGGGCCATTGACCTATACCATGGAAAAGAAGAGAGTTAAGTCAATTTGCACTGGCGAGGTATGTGGACACAGGCAGCCATACCTACACTTGGCCCTGCATTGCTCCGCACACATACAACAATAGGCTGAATGGAGGTTCTCATAACTCAATGGAGTGACTATCGCATGCTAACAGCTGCACTCCCTGGCACCCTCTCCTCCTGGGAGAGAGGGCGGGTCTCTCCTCACCCTAGTGGCCCTGCTTGAGGTCTCGATGAGGACAGAGAGGTGGAGGGGAGGAGGAACGAGTGTTGTGAGGAAGGCAGCGAGAGAGATGAAAGTTCTGTCAGGACCTCTGCTCTCTGTAACAGACAAAACTAACATTTGTTACTGGCCAAAACCACTTACCACTAGCAGGTATTAGTTTTCTCTAGAGAGCGTCCCAAACACTTGATCTCATTTGTTTGTGGCGGACTTCTCTCCACGGTTTGTAAACACACACGTGGGGTGGGCGTTATTTAGAACCCACCTTGGTTTTCTTTTCTTTTGCCTCTAGGATCTTCAGCAGTCGCTTTTTCTGCTTACATCCGAGCCGCTTTCTCTTTGAAGTAGCCTCTCCCGTCACTTTTAACGACTTCTTAGGCTTGGGAGGCAGAAAGAGCGCATTTGGATCCTCGCCTTCTCCTTCTTTCTTCGAAGAGCGATCGCTCGTCTCGCTGAGACTCTGCCTCGCTCTCCAGTTGTAGCCCAACTTTCTTTTCGCTCTCGGCGGCATAGCTTACTGGCTAAGAAGCTAGGGTTACAGCCGCCGGGGCCAGCGGGTACGGATAAACAGTCGTGCAACGCGCCAAACTCACCTACGCATTCTACCAGAAGCGGTACACAGGTTGGCAAAATGCGTGGGCAGGGAGCTAACCACTACCGCACATAGTGTCAGGAATGTTGCTAAAGAGTCATTTAGAGCTGAGCTGTCGTTATCGTCTGTCGAGTCTACGACTGCCCGGAAAGAAAGTAGCGAAGGAAGAAATGGGCCACAGCCGGTAGCCGCGGGCTGCAGAGGGTCTTGGCCTCAAAGCTATGGTAAAGATCAAAGCGGGGATGTCCGCGGAGAGCTCAGACGGGGAGGGCGAGGCGCTACTGGCCACAGTCAGGGACAAGCTGAAGATCCAGCAGCGGCTGATCGACATCTCTGCCCGGAGTCTGCTCAGCAGTCGCTCGTCCTCTGCAGACCTCTCTCAATCCTTTGAGTCCCAGTCTGCGCTGGAGGTGCAGAGAGAAAACTCCTCCATACAGGAGGTACGTCGCCTGTTCTAAAAGGCATGCAGTAAGGGTCGTACCACACCGCCATGCGCTCGGCGTGTGATGTGGCGATGGCGCTGCGCATTTCTAGGTATATAGGAGGATTGTCCGTTTTGCGGGTGGTGCGCTGATACAAGAGCTGATAGTAGATAATCTACCCTCTCCCTCCTTTCTGTCCCCTCCCCCTCCATGTCACGGTAGACAAGGCTCATAAAATTCTTCTCAAGGCAGCTACTTGTGAAACACATGTTTGTACGGCGGTGCCATGGAAACCATTGTGCCGCCGCTGAAAGAGAAATCGATGACCTCATCGATCTTGGCCTATTTCTGAGCGTGGCGGACCTCCAACCTCTCTCTGTTCAGGTGAGTATAGCATCTCCAGCTTGCCTGAGGTTAACCCACCACTCACACAGTTGCTGAAACAAGAACAGATGTCATTGGACGGACTGTTTTCCCTCCCACTGGGGGACCTGGAGAGCCTGTGTGAGAGACTGGGGCTGAGCAGGGAGGAGGAGAGGAAGCTGAAGTTCTATCTCACTTTCCTCACAAGCTGTTACAGTGAGTCTCATTACTATACCACAAATGAAGGCAGTCAGCTACCATGACAACAATGGTCTGGGTCTGTTGACCTTATTGGGACCTGTTGCCATGGCAACTAACAAGGGTAAAGGGGGAGAAAATAGGACTTTTCAGCTGCTATTGTGTCCTGTGTGATGACTAGCAACAGACTAGCCTCCCTACACAGTGGCAGCCAGGGCCGCTTTGAATCTGTCTTTGTGCCTGGGATCAAAGCGAGTGCGAATTGCATGCATACCTACCTGCCTTGCGGCCTGCCACCTCTTTCAAATATTGCCCCAATATAGGCATTCCTTCCTGGTCCCTTCCCCCTCCCCCTCCCCCATCCCCCTTCAGCAAAAACCATTTCGGCAAGTGTTAAACACTACCGACAGAGGCACATTTCTTTGAAGCTATTGAATTGTGTGGCAGCCACGCTCCCTACTGCCAAGGCAGCAAGTTGGCCCTTCCTCTAATATAGTACCTACCAGACACAGTTAGTGGCGGGGGTCGAAAGGTCAAACAGAGCCAGGTGGCGTGGCACCAGTAATGACATTCCTTTCCTCTCGTGTCATCTCCATGGAGACTGGCTCCTCTCTGTTGCTGTCTTCCTGTGAGGCTCCCTTGTCTCTGCCTACACAGAGGAACAGTCCACCAACTTCCTTCCTCTTTCCACTGATACTTTCTTCGTTCCAATGCTTATGTCATCCTGCAGTACTATACTTCAAAAACAGTTATTTTGGCCATGGTTTTGCTACTAACTCTATGGGTAGGTGCTGGGATAGTTGCAACAGTAATTGCAGCTGGGACACTGTCCTACTGGATTCTCTCAACACACTCTACATTCACTCTAGCTGTGATGCAGGCCTCTTTGTGCATGCGCTATTCTTAGAGTCCTTACTATTCTTAGCCAGCCCAAGGAAGGGTTGGTAGCCAAAGTAGCAGTAAGAATGCTAGGAATGGTGCTTGGTTACTATAACAACAGGTCTGGCATGTGAGGTGAGAGGTAGAGTGGGGTGAGGGTGTGAGGTGCAGGGAAGGGGAGTTGGGTGAGGGTGGGTACTTTGCAAACTGCCAGACACTGTTGAATGGTAGGCTCATTAGCAAATGAATAGCCCTCAGGCATATGAATACTGCCTCCAGTCACACCCCAAGTCTACTATTCGTGGGAGATGGCAGCTATTCCTACATGTACTTCCTTCCTTCCTTACCTGTCAGTACAGCAATTCATACTTCCACCTGTCACTCAGTAAGACCTTGTCTTCCTGTCAATAAGCCTGAAGCACAGGATGCTTGAAGCTTCGATGTGTAGATGCACTGAAGCATGGATGCAATACTTGTGCTCTGTACTGTTAGTGGCAATGTTTGTTCCAGAGACGGCAGTCCCTAACTCTGGATATGGTGAGGGCAGTGCTAGCAATGTACTCTGCCCACTTCTCCCCTTTCACTGCCTCTGTTTTCCACATGCTGTGCTCTAAGTAAACAACTCTCGCGTTGCCAGGGGCTACATCCTTGGCATGCAGTAAAGTATGTAATATGTAGTCAAGGCAATGGACCATTTGCCACCGAGTCTCTCTCTATCAAACGGAAGAGTGTGTTTGGTTAGGCAGGCAGTGAAAGTAAAACATTTAGTTTGTACACTTGCAACTCTGGCCTTGGTCTCTGTGTACGTTTCAATCACACATGTGTCTGTACAGAGAATGGGAAGATGTGAGTGGTGGTTCACATGTGTTTTATCTGCCTCCCCACAGACCAGCTGGAGAAAGAGGCGACAGAAAAAGGTCTCTCCTACGAACGCTACTACTCCAGCTCCTCTCGACTGTCCTCAGTCTCCACGCCAGGCTCTCTGGACGAGCGGCAAGATTCTTTCTCCTCCATCCCCTCGTCTGCCGCCTCCCTTGCTCCTGCCGGGTCTGTCTTCACACTCCTCTCCCCTCGTCCCTACAGCACCACCACTGTCACCTCCACACCCTCCCTCCTCTCCCCTGCACTTCTCCCTCCCTCCCCGTGCCCACCACACTTCCCCAATGGCGGTGCTCTGCACCACTCCACTCCCCGGCCCCTCACACCCACTTCCCAGTCACCCACCCTCTCTAGAAACACCAGTCTTAGCAGCAGTCTCATCTTCCAGGACATGGAGCAACAAGACAACTCTGACTCTGCTCCCCGTCCCACCCGGAGCTCCGCCCACAGCTACCTTGCCCAGCGCCACTCACACATCAGGTCTCACTCAAATCCTCATGCCCACCTCATCATGGAGGGGGCGGAGCCTCGTCGCAGCAGTCCAGGGCCGCCGCCCGACGATGTGCGCTCCCCAAGTCCTCCCCACAGAGCAAACAGTCAATCCTCTGTCGCAATGCTCGGGTCCCCGGGCTCCACCCAGCGACGACCTAATCATCACATGAGGAGGCCACGCCCACTGGCACCAGGCTCCACCCACATGGTCGGTGGAGAGCAGCTAGCTCCAGAGAGTCCCGTCCTGCGAAGCTCTGCCTACAGCTCCTCCCATTATGATTACCCTGTTCGCTCCAACTCACTGACATACAGTGAGAGACGTGCCTCAAGTAAGTTGTCAGGGGTTTTACCACTCATAAGGGAAGAACCAATTACACTTTTTGCCTTACAAACCCAGTTTCTGGGAATCTATTGACTAACATGCACAGATCATTAACCATTGACATACATTTCTGTTGACGGCTCAAATCGCATGCACACTACCTACTTTACTACCTCATTACATCATTATGACATCATCACTGACAGGCATGAGCTACCAGACGCACGGTCACCACCACTCGGTGGAGGGGGCGGGGCCCCACACCCACGGAGCAATCTCAGCGAGCATGGTGGACCTGCCAGCCATGAACTACGCGGTCAGCACGGAGTATCTGGGGGACATAGACGAATATCCTCTCTCCTCAAACACTGCCAAGAGCCAGTCTGTGCCAAAACTGACTCTTCTCACCATCTCCACTGAGGACAAGAGTGAGTCGTCTATACATATGTGTACGATATAGTTTAATGGTAAAACCTCTGAAAAAGGACACCTGTCTATGAAGGACACTGGTTCTACTCCATATACCCAATAGCGAATAAGGCGTCCCTTTTGTGGAGGTTCTAGTGTATTATTTGGGAAGAAGGGAGTGATGTGTAGTAGGAAATTTCCAGGGTGATTTTTGACAAGATGTGTACTTTTGTTTTACACATCCTCTACCATGTGACTTTCTACCATGTGACTTTCTTGCATTCGGCAATGAGTCTCTCATTTTGTATAGTGTACATGTTGGTGGGGGAAGAGCAAGATTATGACTGTGTGTGGTAGGGTAGAGTGTGTGTGTGTGTGTGGTAGGTAGATAATAGTAATTAGGTGGGTGGGAAGTAGGGATCAGATGGCTGGACCACTCAGGGAGACAGACAGATCCATTGGGTCTCTGGTATCAGTGGGAGGAGCACTGACAATGGCCGTCTCTCTCCCCTGCAGATGGCTCCACAAGCGTCCCCACCTCCCCTCGCTCCCCTGGCAGCTACACACCGACAGGTCACATGGGCCACGCCATCAAACACAGGTCAGTGAACTGTTGTTAGGGACATGTGCTAGCTGGCATCGCTGGCTGCCAGACCAGCTGCTGCCTTGGGATAGTCTCTAAGGAACACAGACTGTGATGTCATTCGACCAGCACTAATGTCATCCCACAGTCCTAGCTCTGTAGATAATTGACTTGACAAAGCCCACACCCTGGCTTCAGGCGGTGATGTAATCCCTGCCCTTCAAATATACCTGTTGTTGTAGCTATGATGTAATCCTATACTGATGACTGTTCACAGGTTCACTGCCAAGACGTTCCCGACCCCTCACCTCTGTACAGTGTGCAAGAAGACGATGATGCTGGGGGTCAAGTGCAAGCACTGCCAGTGAGTGTACATATGGTGCTGCGTACACACTTGAACTAGTGTGTCATACCTAGCATTATAGAGGACAGGTATGTAATTGTGGGTTGGCCTGGATTGTGACTTGTGTACACAGACTGGTGTTGTGAACAAGTAGATTGAGACATAATGTGGGACGTATGCTCTCCCCCTCTTCCCTCTTTTCTCCAGTTACCGCTGCCACAGAGGATGTGCAGACAAGGCGCCTCACTCCTGTGGTCTTCCTCCTGAACTGATGAAGTTCTTCCGCCAGCAGTTCCACAAGAAGGATCCCGGTGGTTCGTTTGACGCCCCAAGCTCCACTGAACCCTTTGCTCGGCGACCCACCATCACGAGAGGTCAGACGTACGACGCAGACACCAGGGAAACCACGGAGGACGAGTTCATCATCCCGGAGCTCTCCAAAGAACCCGCCAAAGGTAGAGAGAGACTTTTGGTTAGATAGTATGATGAGCAGATTTATTTTGCTGAAACTGGCATAGTTTATTGGGAACCCCGGAGTAAGTTCTGACAGTGTTTCCTCTGGTGTCAGGTCAGTACAGTCCAGTGATGGGTCGCAAGAAGCTGCACGGAAGTCCTGCTGAGAACGGGAGACGAGTTCTCAACCAACCTTCCACCACCTCACTCCTGGAGGTCCCTGTGCCTCGCCCCCACCACCATGGAGGGTATCACTCAGTCTCCTCCTCCCCCTCCCCTTCCTCCTCTCCTCCCTCTTCACCCTCCCTCACCCCCTCCACTCCACGTTCACCCCGCTCCCCCTACCCCACCGGCCCCGCCTACCCTTACCCCAAGATCCCAGACCTAACCTACACCGACGACAGCGAAAATGAGTCGCTGGACGAAGATCAGCTGAGGGGGCGTAGCTTGGACGAGGATCACATGAGGGGGCGTGGCTTCTCGGGGTCCCAGAGCCCCACCTCCTTAGTCTCCAAAGACAGCATCTCTGACCTGGACAGAATGAGGTCTGCCAGTCCCAAGGGACTCCGCCCACCTCCCCAAGTAGTCCCCGCCCACTCTCTCCCGGACCTTCTCCTCGGACACAAGTCAATGGAGAACAGCGAGGAGAGCTCTGAGGGCTCCGATGGGTAAGCCCCTGTCTTAATTAGTTCGTTAATGTTTAACTCTCTCTGTTGCTCTTTAGGACCTATAGTCGGCACCAAGCAGCCAATAAGAAGGCATCCATCGTCTCAGCCGCAGAGTCCCACACCAGCACTCTCATCAACAGCTACCCAGTAAGTCACCTGACATCATGTGATCCTCACCTGAGTATCATGTGACCTCTTAGTCTCAGCCAGATGATGAAGATGCCTACTCGGAGTCCTATGACAGCTCTCAAGGCCTGCCAGATGATTACCCCAGAAAGGTATATTCTTTCCCTAAAATTGAACTGCTGTTTCACGGCATCATTTTAGACTTTAAATTGTGTGATGCTTGTTGACCCACTCCCTATTTCACTCCCACCATCAGCATCGTAACAGTGTGGTGGATGAGTGGAACATATCACCTGTAGAGGTAAAGATTGTGGAGAGAGTGGGGCGCGGGCCTCTCGGGGAGGTCTTCCAGGGCTACTGGCACGGACAGGTGGCCATCAAGAAGTTCTTCCTCGACGAGAACTGCTACAAGAGACAGCTGCATAAACTGAGAGAAGAGGTGAGCCGAGCACTCTGTGGTGTCCCTGATTAAAGTCTCATTCAGTCACGCAATTAATCAATCAGAATCTAGAAAGAGCTCTTGATCCGTCAACCCACATCTCCTCTGTGCTATGTAGGTCTCCATTCTGAAGAAGACGAGACACCACAACTTGGCTCTGTTCATGGGTGCCTCCCTGACTCCGCCCGACATTGCCATCATCACTAGGTACATACGTACAACCATGCCTCCTGACCACACCCATTACTCCGCCCCATTTCCTCTGTAGTTTCTGCCGAGGGACCACTCTCCACAAGCACCTTCACATCTGGGGGGACACTTTCTCTGTGGAGAAGACGGTGAACATTATGAAGCAGATTGCGACGGGGATGGGTTACCTGCATGCCCGGGGGATCCTCCATAAGGGACTCCACACACGTAATGTCTTCCTGGACAAGGAGAAAGTTGTCATCACTGACACAGGGCTCTCCAGTGTCAGTGACAGCCTCTGTCTACCGTAAGTCACTGCTACTACTGCCAGTGTTACTCTAGCTCACACTTTCTTCCTCTCCTCTCTCTCTTCTCCCTATGCTCTGTGTTGGCAGGAGGCAGAAACCGCAGCGGTTCATAGTCATTCCGCGGACGAAGCTAAACTACATGGCGCCTGAGCTGATGAGGGAGATCCGCTGCTGTCCACCAGTCCTCAAGTCTGGAGATATCTACCACTACAGCGAAAAGACCGACATCTACGCCTTTGGGTAAGTCCCTCGGGTGACTGAGACTCAGTGTGAACTACAATAGATGCAAGATCATTGACACCCTTAATTAAGAGGGCAGCGAAATTTGGGCGAGATAGGGATAGGTGCAGCAAGATAGCAGTTGTTACCATTCCGTACTCCAACTGTAGCCAAAGTACTAGGCATAGTTGGTTTATCTCTTCTTCCATTCTTGTGCCTACAAAAAATGCGAAATTGTTGACACCTATATTTAGGGGGGAGCAGCGAAATTTGGGCAAGATAGCAGTTGTTACCATTCCGTACTCCAACTGTAGTCAAAGTACTAGGCATAGTTGGTTTATCTCTTCTTCCATTCTTGTGCCTACAAAAAATGCGAAATCGTTGACACCTTTATTTAGGGGGGAGCAGCGAAATTTGGGCAAGATAGCAGTTGTTACCATTCCGTACTCCAACTGTAGTCAAAGTACTAGGCATAGTTAGTTTATCTCTTCTTCCATTCTTGTGCCTACAAAAAAATGCGAAATCGTTGACACCTTTATTTAGGGGGGGCAGCGAAATTTGGGAAAGATACAGACACCATGAATGTCACATGTACCATTCTCCCCTCTCTCTATACCAGAACTGTGTTCTATGAGATGCTGACTCGGCGTTATCCTTGCCCCTCCCACGACAGCACCGGCTTCCCTATCGACATTACCATGGTGATATACCAGGTGGGGCGGGGCCGCCGTCAAGACATCCCATTACGAGATGCACCAAAGAGGATCAAGGTACTGCAATGCTCCTCCCCCTCCTATTAAAAACACTCAAAAGAAACTTTCACGAATGGAGTTAGGTGTGCATGACGCACTATATATACGCATTATATATAATTATTATATAGGATTCTGTTGGAAAGTGTTGAAGCACTCTGTTTTCCCCTCCTGTGACAGGACTTGGTATGGGACTGTTGGCAGCATGACTCCAGGAAGAGACCTCCATTTTCCACCCTCTGGGACATCTTGTCAAAGGTGCTTCGTAAGAAGACCCCGATTGGTCGATCTCCCTCCGTCCCAACTGCCCTGTCTCGCTCCAGCGAAGATCTCCTGAAGCTGTCATCACATTTGAACTAACTCCGCCCAAACCACACCCCACATACCAAACATTCTTTTGTGTTCACATCATTGTGTTTGTACGTCAGTCAGTGTGTGTTGTGTCAATCATCAGTTCAGTGGCCTTATTTTACAGGCCTCTAGAGCAACACGAGTTTTGTAATCATTATTTTATGACCTCAATAATATATGTTTTGATGATGCCGAGTGATCGAAGTGGTACAAGAATGTGTGGTTTTGGTGAGGAGAGGACAATTAATGCTGATGAGGGGATCGAGGTCTGTCTTCATGTTCTACGGTGTGTTTGCCAGTGTCCTTTAGCGTCTGTCTCTCCCTCCGTTTCTCAAAATCCACTTTCTGTGCAGAGGTGAAGGATGGAGACACTGACTCACATGCAGTGAGGCATTTACCTCTTGCACTTCATCTGGTGTGCTATTACTGCCTTGACCACCCTGCAGTAGGGTATTATACAGGACATACGGACACACAGGGAGAGAGAAGGGGGCTAACAGAGGATGGTGGAGGAGGTTGTGAGCTGGTCTCAGATTCCAGCAGAAGGTCAGGCGGACCCGAGGCTAGCTGGGCTGGCTCCAGTGAAGTCCCCAGATCCTTGGCTACGCAATACTCCAGATCATACCTAAGCACATTGAGGACCTACCAGGGAGGATCTCTGGCAGCCCAGGGAGGATCTCTGGCAGCGTAGTATCATTTTTGTTTCCTCTGGTCTGCTCGCCTGTCTTCCCAGGCTCCTGAATTAACAGCCGTCAACACCATCTTACCTCTCCTTCATACCCTTACCGGTTCATTCTCCTCCACTTTCTTCCCATCATCTCTCACTGGTGACAAACACACATACAAACCTCTCCTCGGCATGGAGCGGAGGGAGAGCTCACCTGGCACCCACTTGTAGACCTTGAGATGGTTGGAAAGGCCAGTCTCTATCCAGATCTTCTCCCTGCAGGCAGCAGAGGGACTGTGTCGCCATACCCGCCCTCTTTCTCTGCCTCACTCACCACTTCCGGACCTTCTCCACCGTCTGCATGATCCTCTTGATCTCATCTCTGGCTCGGCTCCTCGTCTCCAAGCGAAAACTACGAGAACTCATCTTCTTTGCTCTCTACCTATAATTCTATTTAATGCCTCCCGATTCTAAGCGCGCGGTTCGTCACTAATGCAAAAACGCGCTTATGTCGATTTGCCAGGATTACATCATAGCAAAATTTATTTTGCACAAGACACTAACGGAGGGGAAGTACATAAGGATAATGTGTGTGTTAGAGTCCATTTTCCAAAGAGAGTTCAGGGATATTGTAGAAGAGGTCGAGGGAGGCAGGATTGGCCAGTGCTCCTCGTGGTCCAACCTCCTGCCCTGAGATAATCTTCTTGACTGCCACTTCCACCTTCTTAGAGTTGATGGTATACTGGACACAGACAGACAGACAGACAGACAGACAGAGGTGACTAGTGTAGGGAGGTGTTGACTGGTAACTCACTGGAATGTCAGCAATCTCAAGAATGATGTGAGGAACATGTCTCGCTGACAGCTTTTCTCTTATTTCTCTCTTCACCCTCCCCACCAGCTCCTCTGAGAATCTGCACACACACACACACACACACACACACACACACAGCCTCACATCACAACTGTCACACCCTCACAACCTCACCTGTGACCAACAGCCATCTTGAGGAAGAGGACAACCCTCTCGTCTCCTCTGAATCTCTGACCAACACACAGACTGTCTGCTATACCCACGTCCATGTGCTCCACTGCAGAATTGACGATACATCTCCCTCCCTCTTTCCTCTCCTCTCTCCCTCCTTCCTCTCCTCTCTCACTCGATACCTACCAATATTGTAGATCTCAGCACTGCCAAATCTGACTCCCGATGGATTCAATGTCCCATCACTGGAGGTGGGAGAGAGAAAGAAAAAACGTTACTTCTTTCTAAAAAATGTGGCAGAGGAATACGAAATACAACAAGCAAAGTGTTCATATTAGAGTGAGATACGCGTACCTTCGACCAAGCATCACAATTCCTCCAGTCTCAGAGTTGATGCTACAGAAATCTCCGTGGGCCCACACTCCTGGCGCCATCGGTCGTACAGAGTAGTATCCTCAGTAGTACATTGTAGAGAGTCTCTATACGGACACACCTTTGTACATGGAGAAATAGGCCTTGGTGTACTTTATTCCGTCCTCGTCATTCCAGAAGTGGGTGGGTTGCGAGGGGAATGGTCTGACACACACCAGTTCACCGTCACTGTCCATCACTGGTTCACCTGTTGTGTTGTTACAATGACAGAGAAACCCTCTGAAGGAAGCACCTCTCAAAGGACCTCAGAAGGAAGCACCTCTCTAAAGGACAGTTTCTATTACTGTATTATATTACCTCCAAATAAGAGACACTTCTGAAGTATTGGCAATACTGGAGTGTTCTTTTATGACAAATAAAGCACTAGTGGTGCCTTTGATCTATCCAGGCAAAGTAACTGAAACTTTGCTACACCAAGTGTCCCTTATTCAGAGGCTTTAAGAGGGAAGTGGCTGTCTCACCATTCTCGTTCCAGCATTCCACGGCCATGGCCAGGTTCCGTGCCTGTATCTCACCGCGGTGGACTGGGAGTGTGGGGTTGTGCCCAGCGAAACAGGAGATGATGTCGGTTCCTCCAGAGATGGACCCCAGGAGAACGTCTACCTTGATCTGGGAGTAAACATAGTCATAGCTCTGAGGCTTGAGGGGTGAGCCAGTGGAGAGAATGGTGTGGAGGGAGGAGAGAGAGTGGGTCTCGCGAGGCCTGACTCCTCGCTCCTCCAGGGCTGCCAGCCACCGTGCCCCGGTACCCAGAATTGTCACCCTGTGTGTAACAAAACGACACCACATTATTTCTGTTCCGTACCAACTGTCTATCTGAAACAAGTAGGTATATACACTATAGTATGTAAAGTGTTACCTGAGAGAGTCGACGAGGTCCCAGAGGACAGAGGGAGAGGGGATGAAGGGAGAGCCATCATACAGAACAATCGCTGCTCCGACTGCCAGCGCACTCACCATCCAATTCCACATCATCCACCCCGTCTGGAGGGACGGGGCTTGTTTCCATGACAACACAAACAAAATCATGACAACGTACGGTGCTGTAGTAGAAGATGACGGCGTTGCTGTGCATGTCGCCATGGAGAATGTGTTCTTTTAGATGCTGGATGAGGGTGCCCTAAAAACAACGGAGGGAGGGAGAGGAGAGGTGGAAGGGAGAAGAATAATAACATAGATAAGAAGAAGGTGTACAGGTATGACTCACACCAGCACAGTGGACCATGCATTTGGGAGTGCCAGTGGTTCCAGAGGAGTACATGATGAACAGAGGATGGCTGAATGGTAGCTGCTCAAACCTCAGCTCCGAACCTTTGTGACCTTTCACAAAGTCTTCAAACATCACACTGAAGTGGGGCCACGTTGAAGAGAGAAGGTATTGGAGAGAGAGAGAGGTAAGGAGAGAAGGGAAGAGGAAGATGATAAACTGACCAGTTTGGTATTCTGGAGGTGTCAATGTCTCTGGAACCACAGAATGGGAACAGAATCACTCTCTTCAGTTCTGGAAGACCTGGAGAAGAGGGATGTGGTTTGACCCAGTGACCCCGTCATCATCTTACCTGCCACAACATTGATGAGTTTGTTGAGGTGGTCGTGGGTCTTGGCATTATACCTCACTGCCTCCACTGAGAATATTACTTTAGGTCTCACTTGAGTCAGTCGGTCCAGCACTCCCTGTCCATGACATCGTGTTACTATCTTTAGAATACCGAGGTATAAATAGATCTCACAGTAACGCCAAAGTCGGGGGAAGTGGAGGTCCATATTGCCCCGATAGAGGCGGTGGCTAACATTGCTTCTACTGCCAGGGAGGAGTTGGGTAGGTAGCCTGCAGGAGACGGAGTAGGAGGAGGAGATAGAGATGTCACATGACTCATGACTCACCAGCGACCACATCTCCTTTGGCCACACCCACTGCAGAGAGCGCAGCGGCGATGGCGGCAACTCTCTCTCTCAACTGGGAGAAGGATATGTGGCGAGGAGTCTGACCTTCTCCTGCAAAACACGGCATACAGACAGACCAGGATATGTTTCACTGATACATTGCTGTAATATCCACCGAGCAACAAGCCACAGTGTCATTTACACATTATGAGGTTTTTAATGAACACATTTAGCAAATTTTACAGAAATGTATTGCTACTGTGAACAATATCGAAGATCATACAAGTAAAGGTCAATGAAGTAGTAATTCTACAAGGATGTGTATAATTGTACAGTCATGGAGAGTACACTACACGAGACAGACCTGCTGTGATGATAGCAGTCTTGCCTCCATGAGCTGCGGCATGCTGTAACAGGTTCTCGGCATAGTTCATTCTGCATCCTCTGAACCACTCGGGAACATCTGCTACTGTCTTGCTCAGGTCGACTACCTGCACACAGCCCCACCCCACACACTCAGTCAGTAAAACATAGGGTCTGGTTTATTGTACCTCCTCGTAGGCAGTGGAGTGAAGGATGCGTGAATGGAGAAAGAATTCCTCCCAGAACAGGTGATACTGATCCACTGACCACTGCCACAGCTCCTGGTAGGAGGCTGCAGGGCACTTGCTGGTTAATGCACACCACACACTGAGCAGGGGGAATACCTAGAGACAATGAGTGCCTATCGTTGACCCTCTCTCTGAAAGTGTCCATGTTCGTGTGGCTCCCCCGAGGAGTCCACAGCGGCTCCCTGCTACTGTCCATCTTTTGCTCCGCCCCCTCCTCTCCAGGTCTCGCGCGCAGCTTCGATCATCTGCTCAGCCGACTGCCCTTTTATACCCGCGACTTGCAACATCATCCTGCACATCGGATGATTCCCTCGATCAATTACGTCATTATTATGATTTACCAGTATCGCGCATGCGCATAAGCAAAACTGAAGAAGGCTTACAAAAGATCCCAGCCATGTCGTCTGGTGAAGAGCTGGAGAGCGTGGAGGCGGTGCTAGAGAAGGCTGGGAAGGAGCCGCTGCAGGAGAGAGAGCTGCGTGAGCTGAGGAGGATTCTCTACGGCAAGGAAGCTGCGTGAGAATAATGTGTTCTAATCCTCCACGCCTCTCGATCTGGTATGGGGTATACTCTAGACCACTGTCCGTCTCCGAGGAGGCTCTGAGGATGGCGAGTGAGAAGAAGTTTGAGCTGAAGGCATTCTCATTCGGTGCAGCCAAGGAGCAGACCCGAGCTCCAAGACCTGTCAGGATTGGACTGGTTCAGAACAGAATAGTCCGACCCACCACTGACCCATTACTGGAGCAGGTAGTCTGCAGCTAGCACTCCTCACTACTAGAGGTGACTGGAGACCTGATCCTGCAGAGGGCAGGGATAGTGGAGAGACTGAAGGAAATGACGCACGCTGCTTACCTCTGTGGTGTCAATGTCCTCTGCTACCAGGAGGCCTGCAGTGAGCTATCTATCTCCTCTCTCCTACTCTCTCTCTAACAGGCCATCTCCTCCACAGCTGGTCCTTTCTTCTTCTGCACACGAGAGAAGTTACCCTGGACTGAACTTGCTGAGTCGGCAGAGACGGGTCCCACCATCAAAACCTGCCAGGAGGTATATAATACAAGAGTACTTTTGAGCAGGAAACATACTGGTGGGACATAGAATTGCGATGATTGCAAGCTTCTGTATCCCAAGATTTGTAGAAGGCTAAAGACTGCCAAGTGCCATGTATATAGTATATATAAAAGTGTGAGTTGTTAGAGTAAGTGCGTGTGTCTGTGTGTCCAGATGGCTAGCAGATACAACATGGTGATAGTGTGCCCCATTCTCGAGAGGGATGAGCTACATTCAGACACCCTCCACAACACCGCTGTCATCATTTCCAACACTGGTGAGTGTACCCTGCTCCATTCACCCTCACTGGAATGAGTTGTGAACAGGTAAGGTCCTGGGGAAGACTCGTAAGAACCACATCCCAAGAGTTGGTGATTTCAATGAGGTAATATTACCAAGATGTGTGCTTTTTATCTTCTCTTTACCTCGTCACACAACTTACATCATGGCTGCTATAAAATGTGCCCTTCTTGGGCCTCCATCGTACACTCACTCATAAATATCTCCACAGTCCACCTACTATATGGAGGGAGAGACTGGTCACAGAGTCTTCCACACTCAGTTTGGTGAGTCGCTCAGTGTTGACTCACTGTTTCACTCCTTCCTCCGTGTCTCCAGGTCGGATAGCAGTCAACATCTGCTACGGAAGACACCATCCTCTCAACTGGTGTGCTTACGGTTTGAACGGAGCTGAAATTGTGTTTAACCCTTCTGCTACTGTGGGAGCTCTCAGGTTTAATGGCATACATACTGTAGATCATGAAGAGTAAGGTATAGTTCTACAGTGAACCGATGTGGCCCGTTGAGGCCAGATGTGCAGCCATCGCCAACACTTACTTTGTGGGTGCTATAAACAGAGTAGGGACCGTGAGTCGCCCCCACTTTAATTGCAATAAAGGTGTACGTCATTGTATAATGCAGGAAACCTTTGAGAACGAGTTTACATCAGGAGATGGGAAACCAGGTCCATATGCTCTCTGTCATTCCTCTGACGTTAATGATTACCTCACCCTCTGCAGCTCACAAGGATTTTGGTCATTTCTACGGGTCCAGTTACGTCGCCATGCCAGACGGTAGCAGGACCCCAGTGAGACTGGCTAACACATTACTAGAGTCCCACGAAGAGGTTGTCACATCTGCAGGGATTGTCTCGGGTGGAGGATGGTCTGCTAGTGACTGAGGTGGACCTCAATCTCATCCAGCAGATCAGGGACAAGTGGTGTTTCCAAGTCAGTATTATATGCATACAGTGGAACCTCCGATAAGGACACTCTGGAGTTACTCTGAGGTCCCACACATTCACATGTCTTTAAAATGTGCGTCCATTTGTCCACTGTATACTCCATCTAGTTTATGTTGTATCATTCCCTCTGCAGATGACCATGAGGCTCGACATGTATGCCAAGCAGTTTGCAGAAGCTGTGAAGCCTGACTTCAAACCACAAGCCGTTCATGAGCCAACAGACTGATCATTATAGAGAGAATAATGTGTTATTTCGGAGAGATCGATATAGTGTGTGACTGGTGGTTTGTGTTTGTTGCGTCTCGAGTTTAGCAGCCATCTCCATCTCCAAGTTCTCTAGTTGAGAACTTTGCCTCCTTTTGTCATCTCTGACATTGCAGGATGCTGTGTGTCGTAGCCAGAAGCTATTCAAGTTCCCCCTGCCACTTGGCACTTTTCATGTGGGCGGGGCTCATGGGACTGGAGCGGGTGAGCATGCGCACATTAAAACGTGGACCCCACGTAAAATTCACACGAGAGCTAAGATCTAGGAAGAAGCGCCAATCCTTGAATCATGTCCATCGGGATTCCAATCAAGTTGCTGCACGAGGCAGAGGGCCACATAGTGACTCTGGAGACGACGGCTGGAGAGGTGTATCGTGGAAAGCTGGTCGAGGCGGAAGACAACATGAACGTCCAGCTACAAAACATTCAGGTCACCGCCCGCGACGGCCGCGTAACCCAGAGCGAGCAAGTCTTTATCCGTGGGAGCATGATCCGTTTCCTCATTCTGCCGGACATGCTCAAGAACGCTCCAATGTTCAAGCCAAGGCCCACGGGGAGTCGCGGGATGGCTGCTGGAGGCGGCAAATCTGCCCTTCTCCGAGCAAAAGGTGGGCATTTATTAGAGTTAGATGGTTTAGCTCCACTTTTCTATTGTTGCAGCTGGCACAGGGGGTCGAGGAGGGTTCAGAGGAGGGTTTGGTGGCCCTGCTGGAGGCAGAGGAGGCTTTGGAGGCCGTCGCTAGCATAGTTATACTTGTCAGTGGGACATTTTTGTTGCACCTTTTTCAAGCATGCATGCCTGTTATTGTACTATCAGCACGCTGGGGAAAATGTGTCTGGAATTTTGCACGTTTTGGCGGTATCCCATCAAAACATTCCGCAATAAAATTTAATGTATCCGAGGTGACGCCATCTTGTAATTTCGTCGCCGTATAAAAGTCCGCTCGAGTTTGGGCGGCGTGGTTGGCTTTCTTTTTTCCCACTCGTTGCCGGGGGGAAGACATTTGAAAACGTTCACCGCTTTCGGACTCACCCAACAAACGAGCTGGTGTCGGTGGAAGATGCCGTCTGGCAAAGGAGTTACGATCAGCGTTACGGCCGAGACGGACGCGGGAAAGAGACGCCACATGGAAGATTACCTGGACGTCCGCCTGGCGCCAAGCAACGAGGCTCTACGGAACACGCCCGGACTGAAGGAGCAAGCCTTCGTAGGTGTCTTCGACGGTCATGGCGGGAAAGAGGCGGCCCTGTACGCCCGCGAGCGGCTGTGGGACTTGATCCAGGAGCAGAGCAAGTTCCGCACCACAGACAGACAGAAGGTGGCGGAGGCGATCAAAGACGCTTATTTGGGCCTGCACAGGGAGATGGAACCCATGAGACGTATGAGTTTATATGGGCGGGCGGAGGTAGAAGTGTTAGTGTGGGAGTTTGACGATGTTTGTTGTGGTCGTTCGCAGCGAGGTGGAAACCGAATAAACTGGGCGACCAGAGCACCGCGGGGACCACCGCCTGTACCGTCATATTCCGCCAAGACCACTTCTACGTTGCCAACGTCGGTGACTCGGGTGCAGTTCTAGGTGAGTGTAGTCTGAAATATTATTCATAGCCTGTTGTAAAGTGGCTTGTAGTGGAATTCATTGTGACCCCAAGTGCACGCACAAACTCGCACCATCTTTCATCAGCCACAGTCAATCAAAGAGCTGGAGAAGAGGGGCAACCTCCCGTGATTGCCACCATGTTGAGTAAAGACCACAAGCCAGAGGACCCAGTGGAGACAAAGAGAGTAGAAAGCCTAGGTATGGAACATACACAAACTATTGAGTAATGTTAGTCTTGACCATATATGGAAGGTGTAGCCACAGCAAGCTGTGTGCTGGCAAGAACCTGCACAGACTGACTGGTCGTTGTGCAATCCCTCTCTTGTCATTTGGCAGAGCTTTGTGGTCATTGACACAAGGCCTAGTTGTAGGCGTGTGCTCTACCTTTGTTACTTTGACTGGCCCTTTGACTGTCAGAACGTGTTAACATTTCTACACATTCTCTCTACCTCTCTTCTCCCTCCCCTCCCCTCGCAATCATAGGTGGACAGGTGAAGATCAGCAGAAAAGGGGTGCCAAGGGTGGTGTGGGAGCGAAAGAAAACGAGTGACGACCCAGACAAGCCACCTACAGTGGACCTCATCCCATTCCTGAGTGTGTCTCGATCTCTCGGCGACTTCTGGTCCTGGTGCGAGCGAACGCAGAAGTTCGTCGTCTCCCCACATCCGGATGTCGACATACATCCTCTCGACCCAACCTGCCAGAAATTCCTCGTCCTAGCATCTGATGGGTTGTGGAATGTCATGAGTCCCCAGGACGCCGTCAACTTCATCTGGGAGTACAAGACGACACCTGCTGACGAGAAGGACGAAAAAGTCAGCGCGTCTCGTGACGTGGTTCGTGCTCTCATCGACGAAGCTCTCTACCGATGGCGCAAGAAGGGAATGTTTGCAGACAACATCTCCGTGGTAATTGCATTCCTGACTCAGGAAGGTACTGAGGATAGAGCGCTCCAGTCTCTTCTTCGGTGTCAAGACAGCAAAGCCAAGACGAGGCCTGAGAGGGAAGAAGAATCGCAGCAAAGGGTAGAGGAGAGGTTACCATTCAAGAGGTCGAGGGAGGAGACAGAGGGAGAGACGATATCCCTGACGCGGCCTCCTCTACAAAAGAAGAGCCGGCAGGAGAGGGACTCGGGGTGCGAGAGTGACAGCGGGTCGCCCGTGGCAGAGAGTGAAGGATCCCTCATCCCTGAGGGGCCCAGCAGTGGAACCTCCCCCCAGACAGTGGAGCCCTGCTCCAGCTCCCCAATCCTCGTTTCTTCTCCTCCTCTGCCAGCGTAAGACTCTTGCCTATGTCCAACATCTGAGATTACATCTCCTTCCCTTTAGTTGTGAGAGCACCCCTCCAGGCCTCGACTAATTATACAGCTGAAGCCACCTCTCTGTCTTGTGGCTCAAATTCCCCTAAGGTAAGGGCTTCCCCAATTACCAGACTAGGTCTTCCATCCTGTGCATTCTTCTCCCTACCTCACACCTCTCTCTCTCCCTCCAGATTGCTGTCACTGTGACAATAGCTCCACTGTCTTTTTCCACCTCACCTTGCAAATCTTGTTCTCTTTTGTTAAGTCTTTACAGTGTAACATTTCACATAACTGAAGCACCATTGGGTTTTGTAAATATTTTGTACAGAGATTTTTTTAACAAACATCGGCAAAAATTTTCATCTACATAAACAACAAGTTGTTTGAAAATTAATAAGCCCAGCAGTAATAATACGTTACGCAAAGTGGTAAAAACCTAAAACTAAGCCCTGTATCTGAATATCTAGTGTGGTGGGCGATAAATAGAGTAAAGGCAGTCGTTGCCGTAGGTACAGGGCATCGGGAGGCGTGGCTGCTGCATTCAATGAGGTAATAACTAGGAGAGGTCAGGTAATAACATTAGCTAGTAGTGGTTGCAGGATGGAGGTGTGGCAATGATTAGTCTGTTTTGGTCTTCACAGTTCCTGAGCAGGGGAGGAGGAAGAGGGTCATTCACAGCATATAGATAAGATAGCAAGTAGGAGAGTAAAGTGAAGGCAACAACCCAGGACAAATCTTTTGTATACAGTGGAAACTGTATCCAGGCATTGTTTCTGAGAACAGATTCGATACTTGTGCCTCAATTAGATAGGTTCAGCAGGTATAGAGCCTATGGTTCAGCTAGGCCATCAATGACAATAGGTCCAACAGGAAGGAGAGCCAGTCTTACCTAGCGAGCGAGAGAAGTACTTGAGGAGTTCGTCGAGGAAGATGACAGGTACCGAGAAACACAGCACTGCAAACCACTCAGTGAGGTTGAGGGGCGTTATTTGGAACACCCCCTGCTGGGACGGAGAGAGTTCCTTGTTCAGTTCGCTGCTCGTAGATGGACTCCAGCTGCCACGCCCACTTTACCACTCCCCACACACTGCTTTACAAGCCTAGAGACCACAGTCACTGTTAGGTGCTATTATGATTCTAATTAGTGCACAGGCACTAATTATCGGAGTCCAAGGGGAGGATTAGTGGGTGTGGCAGCTCTACCCTACAGACTGTAGGCCAGGTCTATATAGCCAGTGGCCGACCTGCCATGTTTGCTGTATGCCTGTTCAATACAATGGTGGTCGTTTGCTGACAGCCATAAGAAGACTGACAGACACACCACACCTCAGGCAAGTCCCAAAACACTTATATACACCTTGAAAGTGGGAAATTATAGGGGAGTACTTTTTCGTATGAAATTTTATGCTACCAAGTAACGTTTTAATTTTCCTGCGAAACATTAAATTTGCAAGTTTCTCCCACATTTCCCACTGTGTGTGGCCCCAGGGAAGTGAGGAATGCAGAGATGCGTTGCTCTCTCCTCTCCCCTGGTCCACGGGGGAGCCTCTGTACTCACAGCAAGAACCGGGGTGTAGAGGATGATAATATGCTGAGCCATTGAGAGAGCAATGGCTCCCAGGAGCCAGCCATTCGTGAAGGGGCCCATCACCAGCAGACTCTGGTTCTCACTCAGACTGTATGCGGAGGGAGGGAGGGAGGGAGCGACAGGAAATGGAGGGAATTTCAAACATAAGAGTGCACAATGCCCTAATGTAATGTTATGGAAGTGAATTCAAAAGAAATTTACCCAACATTGAGGGGAGACCAAACATTCCAAGGATTTGCATGCAATAGAGGGAGAAGGAGAGGGGGACAGGAGGAGGGACCTGTTGAGAGCATTGAGCATCTCTATGGTAACGAGGACTGAGAGAGCCATGGTCATGGGGTGGAGGTCGGAGAAGATCTTGCAGCTGCTGACGTCAGCGAAATCTGGGTTCTCACTGGTGCACTGGAGATGGTGTCTCTGGAAGAGTGAGAGGAGAGAAACACAACATGAAATACTAGACCACAGGTGGGAGGTGGTGAGTGTCAACTGAGAGGTTTTGGTTTGCCTCAGCTTCAGTAACGAGGAATTCCAGAAATTTCATCAGAAAATATCAGAATCTGGTGTCATCATAAGCACAAACAAACAACTTGTCTCCCTCACCAAACACACACCCTCACCAAACACACTCCCTCACCAAACACACTCCCTTACCAGCTGGTAGAACGAGACTTGAGGACCACCACCGTATACGGTAAACCACCAAGTTGCCGCGGCGACGGTGGCCACGCCTACATAGACCCCGATAACGAGGTAGCGGATGAAGAGCCAGCGGGAGATGAGAGGGTCCTTGGCAGAGCGAGGTGGCTTCTTCATGATGTCGACCTCCGGAGGGTTGAAGCCCAGAGCAGTGGCAGGCAGGCCGTCCGTGACCAGGTTCACCCACAGCAGCTGGACCGGGATGAGCGCCTCTGGCAGACCCAGCGCTGCCGTCAGGAATATACTGGAGAGAGGAGGAGGAGGAGGGGTGAGGGGTAATAACAAACAGTCTTTCATGCAATGCCAGAATTTGCCCTGAGAAAACCTTCTACAACTGGTTACACAACTTAAAACCCCTGGCGAAGAGTTTCACAAGGCCATAAAACAAAAAGTTCCCTGCTGCATACTGCATGTACAGCAGTACAGTGGGACCCCTTCTGAAATGAGGGCTAACAAGGACACTTTCTCTTTCCACAAGATATATACCTTGCATGCAATTTGCAACTTAACTCCTCGAATAAAGACATCAACAAAAGTTATGGCACCCAACAATAGGGAGGTGGTGATCAGAACGTTGCAATTCCTCCCGTGGCCAGAGGAGGTGGAGGGGGGAGGGAGGGGGAGTGGGGAAGAAAGGAGAACCCTTCACCTCTCCACACACCCTCACTCCTCACACCCTCACCACCTGCACTCTGACCTCAGAGAATGGATGAACTATACATCACCTCGCCACCCCCTCTCAGGCCACACCTACTGGCCACACCCACCTGACGACTTCCCCGATGTTTGAGGAAATGAGGTAACGAATGAACTGCTTTGTGTTGTTGTAGATGGCGCGTCCTTCCTCTACTGCCGACACAATGGTTGAGAAATTATCGTCTGCCAGCACCATTTCTGGAGAGAAATCACAGATTGTCTAAAAATGTGAAAGTCACAAAAGCGCACAAAGAAAATGTATCACCGTAATACATTCGCCTCTGGGGAGGACCGTGTGTCCCCATGGTTTCAGTGTACTTGCTTAGGAACAGTGAAGCTGTGAATGAATGTAAATACCGGAAGCACTTTTGGCGACGGCTGTCCCTGACCCCATGGCAATTCCAATTTCAGCTTTCTTCAGAGCTGGTGCATCGTTTACACCATCTCCAGTCTGCACATAGTAAGACAGTTAGAGAGAGTGGAGAGAGAAGAGAGGAAGAGAGAGAGGAAGAGGAGGGAGCTCACCATGGCCAGAACTTCGCCCTCTTTCTGGAGGTAGTCGACAATCTTGCACTTGTGTGCAGGTTCCACACGAGAGAAGAGACGGGCTTTGAGGCAGGCTTCCCTCTGTTGGGAGCCATTCATTGCGTCAAACTCTCTCCCTGAGAAAGACAGACCTGCAGACGAGGGGAGGCGGTGAGGAAGAAGAGAGAGAGAGAGAAAAGAGAAAATGTCATGTGTGGCGGGCGGTATCAACAGCACTTGTCCAGGTGACAGCAACATTGTATTTATATACACACTCACCAGTACAGTCCTCATCAGGAGCAAACACCCCGATCCTGCGACAGATGGCCTCAGCCGTCTCCTTGTTGTCTCCCGTGATTACAATCACTCGTATCCCTGCCGACCAACATTCCTCAATGGACTGACGAACCTCCACCCGGGGTGGGTCCAACATTCCAACCACACCCACAAATGTCATGTCACTCTGCGAGAATAAAGCCACACCCACTTATAGAATCAGCAAAGATGGGGTTACCTCGTATTGGACGAAGTTTTTGGCATCTTCGAGGTTCATTTCCTCGGGACGGCCTGGTTGCTCCACTGTTGCCATCGCCAGGCAACGCAGCGTGTCTTGACCTACAGCACACAGTGGATTAGACCACACCCACTGGTTGCTAGGGCAACGGTTACCTGTGCCGTATCGCCGGACAACATCGAGAATCTGGGCCTTGATCTCTGGAGTCAGCGGCTGGCGCTCCTGGCCGTTGACACGGAAGTGAGAGCATCGGTCAAGGATTCCTTCTGGAGCTCCCTGTGTGGAGAAGGTTCGAATGAGATAGAGAAAAGCATTGCAACTTTCTTCATCAAAACTTTTGCCCCACTGGCATTGCCTCCCCCCTGTCATCAGCATTCATTAACTGACAGACCTTGACAAACATGACTGGAGAGGACGAGTCACCAGAGGTAGGACGACAGTAGACACTCATGGACTTGCGGTCACGAGAGAACTCCAGAGTAAACTCCTGCAGCAACACAGACAGACAGACAGGGTGAGCAGGGTCCCAGGACCACCAAGAATGCTGTCACACCTTCTCATATTTGGTTTCGATGGCCTTGAGGCAAGCTGTGGCTTTCTGCGAGGGAGAGAGACTGGCCTTCTCGACTGCCTGGACGTTCAGTTTCTCTGCCAGAACCTTCAGAGCCACCTCGGTCGCCTCCCCTACCTTCTCATACACTCCTTTCTCCTGAATATGAGAGTATACTGTTGGAATTGGTTCAATTTTTAGCTCTGTACAGACGACATTCCTGTAAACCATCGACCAACATTTTCTAGTGTCTGGGTCACAATATGTCGCCTTGCTCTATGGCGCATCGTAAAGATAGAAATGGACGAGGTAACGCAGCGGCTTGTTAACTAGGCTTTATGAAAGTGAAAGTTGGAGCGCCTTGCAGCGACATGTGTCACACGTGTCCTCCAGTCGGAGCCAAGGACCTTCATACCTCATTGTAGGCCAATCCAGAGTCATTACAGAGAACACATACGTTGACCAGCTCAGTGAGACACGTAGCGTAATCCTGTCCCGATACTGCCCCACCACCCAGTGTTCTGGATGAGGGAGAGAGGGAGAGATGGAGAGAGGGAGAGATGGAGAGAGGGAGAGAGGGAGAGAGGGAGAGAGAGGGAGAGAGGAAAATGGCAAACTCACATTTGTCCCTCTGGCTTGTAAGTCGAGCCTGAAGCCTCGAATTCGTGGAATGAAGCCTTGTTCTCTGATACTTCCTTCACTACAAAGAACTGCAGGAAACAAGGAGAGAGGGAGTGAGTCAGAAATACGTGTCCCCCTCCTTCTGCCTTACTCTGCTGACGGACATCATGTTGGTAGTGAGAGTGCCGGTTTTGTCGGAACAGATGACAGACGTACAGCCCAGTGTCTCCACTGAGGGCAAACTCCGCACAATCGCATTCTTTTTCGCCATCCTTCGTGTTCCTGAACAAGAGTTAATTGGAATTGAACCTCTCGTTAGAGGGCCCAATCTTCATTCTTGTGAATCGAGTCAGCTCACCGAGAGCCAAGCAGGTGGTGATGACAGCAGGCAGGCCTTCTGGGATGGCAGCCACAGCTAGAGCCACGGCAATCTTGAAATAGTAGATGGCTCCCTGCAAGGACGGAAAAGGTGAGAAAGAGAGTAAAGAAGAGAAAGGAGCGGAGGTGAAAAGGAGGAACAAGAAACAGAGACACAGAGAACAGGAGAGAGAAAGAACCCTACCTTGAACCAGGAGCCGCCATGCACAGGATCGCTAAAGTGGTTAATGTTGATGACCCACACTATGATGCAGATGACAGATATCGCCTGCAACCGGGGAGACCAGAAGAAAGAGAAGCTCATGTTGTGATATTCAGCGACATTCTTCCATTGTCCCACCTTGGATAGCTGCTCTCCAAATTCATCCAGTTTCTGCTGAAGAGGAGTTCGCTCCTCCTCGTTGTTCACTAGGGTGTCTCTGATCTTCCCGATCTCTGTCAGTGTCCCCGTGCCGACCACAACTCCTCTTGCCTTCCCTGACGCCACGTTGGTACCCTGCAAATAGAGAGAGAGAGAGATTAGAGATTAGAGAGAGAGGGCAGAGGGAGAGAGGGGGTTGTGGAGAATGCCATGTAGTGGGATGTGGTCTAACATGATTGGTACACTGCTCGTTTCCTGTTTTTCATGACAGACAAATTTCACAACAATATCAGGAATTAGTACTGTTCCTGGCTCTAATTGGAGTTTGCCAAACATGGTCGTCTCTACTTGTTCGAACACAACCCTCCTCCTCTGCTTCGCTCCGCACTCAACAACTGGTGATTGCTCAACAAGTGTGAGCAAGTTTCGAGCACAGTGTTTTGTTAGACAACTACACCATAGGCTCGTCTTGTTGCCAAATCATAGGAGTGTGGGGGAAATTGGCAAACACAAGAGGCAAAAGAAGCACACACAGAGAAGATGAAGAGAAAGAACCGTTGAGAGAGGAGAGAGCGCGAGATGGAAGAGAGGGAAGAGAAAGGAGGAAAATCTTACAGAAAAGAGAATATTCTTCTTGTCCTGGTTGACAGCCTTCTCGTCAGGAATGGCGTCAGTGTGTTTGATTATGCTGACACTCTCCCCAGTCAGAATACTCTGGTCCACCTTCAGGGTGGTGGAACAGATCTTTATCAGTCGCACGTCTCCCGGGATCTTGTCGCCAACTGGACAGGAGGCAAGGGGTTAAGGTTGAGGGGTCAGACTCCACCCACTTACCCGAGACTTCTACTACATCGCCAGGTACCAATTCTCGAGCTCGGATGGAGGTCACACCCCCATTTCCCTGCCGGACAACTTTAGCCATCTCTGGCTCATATTCCTTCAGTGCTTCTATTGCTGACTCAGCACTTTGTTCCTGTTGGTATAGATTCCAGAGTGAGAGTGGTTTAACAGTGGTACCAACCCCCCCCCCCTCACCTGCCAAACTCCGACCGCTGCATTTGCCACTAGGATCAACAGTATGACAAACGGCTCTACAAAGGCAGTGGTCATGCCTTCTGCGTCCTCGAACCATGCCAGGACCTGGGAACGGAACACAGCCCGGGCCAACGTAATGATGTAATAGGACACGGTACACAACACTAACTAGCGCACAGACTCACAAACGAAATGAAGGCAGCTGCCAAAAGGATCTGCGGCAAGAGATCATTGAATTGCTCCAGAAACAATTTGAACACCGACTTTTCTGTGAAGTGAGGGAGTCAGGGTGTGTGATATGACAGCTGCATTCCAACTGTGGCAGTGTACATGTAGCCAGGAAATGCCATGCATGGGGGACAGCGACTAGGGATAACTTTACCACATGCTCCATTACATGGTGTTTCTCAGAGCGACTAGGGACAAGACAAACTAACTTTACCACATGCTCCATTACATGGTGTTTCTCAGGAAACACCACTATACACAACAGGTATGTTGTGTTAGAGGGAAGGAAACAGAATGTGTGGGTAAAATTAGAGGTTTTATATGGATTCTGTGGCTGTTGATAACTTACTGTCTTCAGCAGGTAGTTCTGGTTGGGTGGGATGCCAGGGGAGAAGGGAGTTGAAGAAGGCAAGAGAGAGAGAAGGAGAGAAGGGAGTTGAAGAAGGCAAGAGAGAGAGAAGGGAGAGAAGGGAGTTGAAGAAGGCAAGAGAGAGAGAAGGGAGAGAAGGGAGTTGAAGAAGGCAAGAGAGAGAGAAGGGAGAGAAGGGAGTTGAAGAAGGCAAGAGAGAGAGAAGGGAGAGAAGGGAGTTGAAGAAGGCAAGAGAGAGAGAAAGGAGAGAAGGGAGTTGAAGAAGGCAAGAGAGAGAGAAGGGGAGAGGGAGTTGAGAAGGCAAGAGAGAGAGAAAGGAGACAAGAGAGTTGAAGAAGGCAAGAGAGAGAGAAGGGAGAGAAGGGAGTTGAAGAAGGCAAGAGAGAGAGAAAGGAGAGAAGAGAGTTGAAGAAGGCAAGAGAGAGAGAAAGGAGAGAAGAGAGTTGAAGAAGGCAAGAGAGAGAGAAAGGAGAGAGAAGACTGATAAGTGGGAGAGTACACAATTACAGCAAATGTCAGAACACTGCGTTCCGCTAATTGTACAGAGGTTGCTGCACAGGATGCTTCCTCCCCCCACCAGCTACAAAGACATACCAATCTGTACGCAGCTCCACCCCCACCGCCACCACGAGCCAAATCTTTACCGTCCCTTCTCCCCCATCGACGAGAACACACGGGTTTCTAGCTAACACCCATGCACACAACATCACACACGACCACAACCTCAGTCGCTGCTGCGCCACGACTGCGAAGAACTATCTCACCATTTGGACCGAATTTCTGCCTTTGTCGCGCCACCTCATCAGGGCTCAACCCCTCCGTCTCCTTCACGGAGAAATGATCCAGTACTTCCTCCACTGACTTAGTGTGCGGCAACTCCATGTCTCCGTCGGCTGGCTTGTTCGTCTTCACTCCCGCTAGAAAGCCCAACGCTTTTTATCCGGTGTCCCGTAGGCTTCGAACCGTCCACGAGCACCGTATACTCCGCTTACCTCCGTATACTCGTCTCCACGTGGGGTGCCGCGGAATTTCGCCCAATCAAAATCGAATACGCCTCGCGCACACGTGTACTTCATGACGTAAATCTTCAAAGGCCACAGGAACGCAATCAAAATGTACACAGAACACTCAAAGTGACAGACAATCAAGTATATAAACTGCATTGTTGCAGGGACAGGTTAAATTAATAATCAGTAATCTACAGGTCGTCGTCATCGTCGTCTCCGTCAGGTAAGGCAGTCTGCGCGGCAATCTTGAGCTCCTGTTCGTACTTGAGAGCCATGCTGGGATCCATCTGGACCTCTGGCGGCTCGAGGGCTGGCATCTCCACAAACTCCAGGTTAGGGTCTCCCGTCAGCTTGCGGGCCAGCCAGAGAAACGGCTTCTCAAAGTTGTAGTTGCTCTTTGCACTGATGTCATAGTACTAGAGGGAGGGTGGAACGTTGAAGAGAAACTGAAAGTGAGAAACAGACAAACCTGGAGGTTCTTTTTCCTGTGGAAGATGATGTTCTTGGCCTTGACTTTCCTGTCCTTGATGTCCACCTTGTTCCCACACAGGACTATGGGTATGTTGTCGCAGACTCTGACCAGGTCCCGGTGCCAGTTGGGGACGTTCTTGTACGTAACGCGAGCCGTCACGTCAAACATGATGATGGCACACTGGCCCTGGATGTAGTAGCCGTCGCGGAGTCCCCCAAACTTCTCCTGACCCGCCGTGTCCCACACGTTGAACCTGATGGGACCTCGGTTGGTGTAGAAAACCAGCGGGTGAACCTCCACACCCAGGGTCGCTGCAAACACACAGAGAGGGGGGAGGGGGGGTAAGTTTCATGGCACACGCCAGGGCTCAACGCACCGACATACTTCTTCTCGAACTCGCCCGTCAAGTGCCTCTTGACGAACGTGGTCTTCCCAGTACCGCCGTCCCCCACCAAAACCAACTGTTGGAGGGGAAATAGTTCCAAATAATGCGCGCCAACAGAATCTTGCCGCTAAATCGTAACGTTCGGCAGCCGTCCCGGCTTTTACCTTGAAGGTAGCTACTGGTTGTGTCGTCGACATTCTCTGGGACTCTGCGAGAAATAAATACGACGGTTAGAACGGACATACAACCATCAAAGGCCGCGGTCGGGCGAAACAAGAGACGTACGCTTCAGTAGAAAGAAAGTCTTTCCTAAAGGATGAATGGCGTCCAAAGTGAGTTGGAAGGCTGACTCACCTCGATTGAATTGGAACTAGCTGCACCGTCAGACTACAACGACCGGTCTACCTCAGTTCAAACTGGTTTCGGGCGGTTCGGAATAAACCACTGCGCATGCGTAATGTGCGACAACGTGTTGTTACAGAGTATCGTGCTGTACAAGTTTCTTCATGATAGCAATGCTCTGTGATCTGTAGCCTGATCCAAAATGATTCCTGCATGATGAAAAAATAGAGAGGCTGAAGTCAATTTGGGATTGTTCAATGATTATGTGTTTTCAATCTAATATATACCAATGGTTGAGGTAGTGAAAGAGGAGGTAGAGCTGACTGCGATCAGAGAAGCCGTCTGCTCTGGGGATGAGGTCGTGGTAGGAAGAGTAAAACTCGGGGGAGAATCCTCCAAACATTGTGGTAATGGCCAGGTCAAATTCGTGGTGCCCATAGAACGATGCAGGATCATATGCAACTGCATATACAATAGGAGAGAATCACAACTACATGAGCAATATTATGACACGTCTACCTGGGGTTTGTTCAACCTGTCCTGCATTGCCAGACCAGAGGTCTCCGTGTAGCAGTGAGGGCTGAACTGTGATTCCTCTGAACAGTCTTGGGATGCACCGCTGCAGTCGTGTCCACAGCTCAGCCGCCTCACGATCCCCATACTGAGAGACAGAGAGATAAGATTGTGGACAAATATCCTTTAGTCCACACTGACATTTTGCTGCACTAGTTCCAACTGTTTCCCCAGCCTCATCTGGCAGTAGAATTCCTGACAGTATAAGGTTCCATACACTAACTCTGAAAACACTGTATATACCAGAACACCAGTTCCTTACCACCCAGTCTTTCCTCCACTCATTGGGCATTGGTAGCAGTCCACAGCATGTGTCACAGATGAACCCAAACTGATCCACACACTCTCCCACCTCCTCTTCTCCAACTCCAATTCTGTTACTCTTCTCAAGAGATGAGATGTTGTGAAGATGCAGTCTACATTGTGAGACCATCATCAAAAATCACAGAGCCAGATAAAACTGGGATACAGCATTTCAAGAATTTTTACATGTTGTAGTAAAAATCTCATGAAACTATGTTGCTACCTGGCAAGTTGTCTGCCGAGGGCAGCTTGCTGACTCCGCAGACTCCCAATGTTGAGATGTTCTGTGACTAGAACCCACCCTCCGCCTGGATACTCTGCCACCTGTACAATTGCACACATATAAAGGTCCTCACAATTTGTATTTGCAGGCTTCAGAATTAGAATTATACCTTCACAGGTTTGGGGACTCGCAGAGTGTCCGTTTTCAGAATTGCCTCCAGACTGGCTGCCTCTCCCTTGAACATTACCTCTGCCTATGAGCTCAGTTGTCAGCTGATTGAGCCACGCCCCCTTATTACCTTACCTACCTCTCTTTTTGTGTTGTGTTTGACGAAAACCTGTCCAGAGTCTGTGAGGTAGCTCCTCCCATCACTGATGCATCCTCCTCCTGCCGCCCCCAGAGGTCTCAGGACGCTGGTGGACAGCTGGGAACGGAGAAAATCCTCCAGGGCCTTGGACATGACGTGACACGGAGATAGTATACGGATTCCACGTGTAGCGTGAACGGAGCCGCGATTTTGGCGGGTCAGTCGTGCGGTTGTAGATAAAGTGGTTGATAAGGAAAGAGGCGTTGTTGTTGTCTTGTTTGTTGTTGTCGATATCATTCTCTGTGTGGTTGAAAACTATGGTGGATGCGTTGTCGACGGGCCTGCCAGTGGCGGCCGAGCATCTGCAGGTTCTGCAGCGACTGAAGCAACTGACGGCGTGGCAACAGGCACAGCAAGAGAGGCTGAGGGCTCACCAGCAAGAACAGATCGCCAAACTCCGCGGAAACGTCGACCCCGAGCCTTCCCGACTGCTATCCGAGCTCCGTGGACCTCCACTGCGTGTTAGTCCAGGTCCACTGCCTGGAGAACAGGGCTGGGGTGGTCTCGTGGGAGAGAGGGAAGATGTTGGGGAGGGAGTGAGGGAGGAGGAGCTGGTGAGGGGAGAAGGGGAGAGAGGGAGTGTGTGTGACAGTGGCTGGGGACTGGCGGACATGACAGTGAGGAGGAGAGGAGCTCAGAGGTGGTGACTGCAGGGGAAGACAGACCCATTCAACCTGGAGTTGGTGAGTCACATTGACAAAGAGAGAGAGGATTCCTATATTTGTATGTGTGTGTGTGTTCAGGCAAAGGGGACACGTTTGAGGATATGCTGGAGAGAAAGCTGAGACTTCACTCTGAACAGCAGGTATATACTGTGTAGGGTAGGTGGGGTAAAGGAAGTGATTGTACTGTACATGCTGTGGTAATCTTTAATTATCTCCACCTGTAGAGTGAGACATCTCCTGGGCGGAGTCTCCACAACAAGCCACGCCTATTCCTGAGACGAAGGGAGGGGTTGACTAGATATGGTAGAGGTCAGAGTTCACCGATGAGACCAGTCAAATCGGTTGTGAAAGCGAGGAAGTCATCGGGGAAGACCCGTCCAGTGATCCCTCCCTCCTCTGTCAGACCAGGTCCCACAGACCCGGGGAGTCGTCATCCTCTTGGCAGTCGGTTCTCTAGTGACGAGTCGTTCATCATACGAGGCTCTCAGAGAGTCCAGGTCAGTGCGCGGGAGCCTCTGAGCCTTGTCCAACTGTATGCATCTGGAAAACACTTCCAATCTGCCTTGTAATACAAATGCACGCATGAATCAGAATGTTGATTTCACTGGCCTCGCCGAGCTGTGGTTACGAACTGTTTCTCCATAATACATAGCAAGAAGAAGCAGAGCTGGTGGAGTTTGAGGAACTGGAGAAGGCAGCGTTTGACACGTCCTGCTTCTCCCAATGTTCTCTGGTGACGACCCTGGTGGGCGGGGAAAGGGGCAGAGTTTCCAGTGAGGAGAAAGAGGAGGGAGAGGAGGAAGATTTGGACAAAACACTCACTCCCTCCCAGACGAAAGTGGGGGACGATAGAGAGGTAAAACTAAACTCTTTCGCAACAAAACACTCACTCCCTCCCAGACGAAAGTGGGGGACGATAGAGAGGTAAAACTAAACTCTTTCGCAACAAAACACTCACTCCCTCCCAGACGAAAGTGGGGGACGATAGAGAGGTAAAACTAAACTCTTTCGCAACAAAACACTCACTCCCTCCCAGACGAAAGTGGGGGACGATATAGAGGTAAAACTAAAACTCTTTCGCAACAACGACTCACATTCTCTCACTCCCTCCCAGAACGAAAGTGGGGGACGATAGAGAGTGACTAAACACTAAACTCTTTCGCAACTAAAAACACGCCTACGCCATCCCAGAAGACGAAAGTGTGGGACGATAGAGAGAGTAAAACTAAACTCTTTCGCACAACAACACTACCTCACTCCTCCCTGCCCGAGACGAAAGTGGGGACGATAGAGAGGTACAACTAACTCTTTCGCAACAAAACACTCACGCCCTCCAGACGAAAGTGACGATAGAGAGGTAAACAAAACTCTTTCGCAACAAAACACTCACTCACGCCCAGACGAAAGTGGGGACGATAGAGACGGTAAAACTAACTCTGTCTGCAACAAAACACTCACACTCCTCCCGCCAGAGACGAGATGGGGATCGTAGAGAGGTAACAACTAAACTCTTCGCAACAAACCTCACTCCCTCCAGACGAAAGTGAACGATAGAGAGGTAAAACTAAACTCTTTCGCAAAAAACACTCACTCCCTCCCAGACAAAGTGGGGGGACATAGAGAGGTAAAACTAAACTCTTTCGCAACAAAACACTCACTCCCTCCCAGACGAAGTGGGGGACGATAGAGAGGTAAAACTAAACTCTTTCGGCAACAAAACACTCACTCCTCCCAGACGAAAGTGGTGGACGTAGAGAGGTAAAACTAACTCTTCGCACAAACACTCACGTCTCCCTCCACGAAAGTGGGGACATAGAGAGGTAAAACTAACTCTTTCGCAACAAAACACTCACTCCCTCCCAGACGAAGTGGGACGATAGAGAGGTAAACTAAACTCTTTCGCAACAACACACTCACTCCCTCCCAGACGAAGTGGGGGACGATAGAGAGGTAAAACTAAACTCTTTCGCAACAAAACACTCACTCCCTCCCAGACGAAAGTGGGGGACGATAGAGAGGTAAAACTAAACTCTTTCGCAACAAAACACTTTCAAATTAACATTGGATGTCTGCCAGTACTAGCGCTGAATGGAGACAAGAGTCTTGTTTTAGAAAGGTGTTCATTAGCTGAGTGTTCATTCATGTCTACAGCAGGAAGCAGAAGGAGAGAGGGGAGGGAAAGAGGGAGTGAAGTCACTGGTGGAGCTGGAGCAACAGAAGTCTCTGGCAGCTGGTCTGGTGTTCAGTGACGACGAGGAGTGGGAGAGTTTCAGCCACACCCCCACCCTCCCGAGAGAAGAAGAGGAGGGGAGCTGTCCTCCCTCCCCCTGGACTTCTCCAGGAAGACAACAGTGTGCCTCCAGCAGCACTCCTCTCCCCCTCTCCCCTCCCCACCCCCTCACTCCTCCCCACCACCTCAACTGCCTGTCTCCCAACACTCTGAGGACGAAATCGACCACAGCTGTGAAACCACACCCCCTCCATCTGAAGCCACACCCCCTCGCTCCACTCTTACAACTCGTCTCTTCCCTCGCACTCAGACAAGACAAGAAGCAGCACAAGTCGCAACCTGTTGTGGGAAGACCACGCCCCCTGAAGCCACACACCCCTCGTTACCCTAGGGAGGCAGAGGTGAAGGAGAGACTGAATCAACTGGAGACGGAAATAGAGCGGTTTCGAAGTCTCAACTCGAGACTGGAGCAACAGACACGGGAAAAAGAGGAGGTCAGAACTGATGGAGTTATGTTTATACAACATCTCACACACACACTGCTCCTCTCTCTCTCTCTCTCTGTTTGCTGGGAGCACAGAGTCTGAGTCACCTGAGGAGAGAGCTGTCAGAGTTCCAGGAACAGATGAAGAGAGAGACGGAGCAGTTTGAGAACTACAAGAGACAGGAGACCAAGAAACTGAGGTACATACAGTCTGTCTCTCTAGTGATGGGCTGCTGTTACTGTTTCCAGTTTGCAAGCTAGTGTTCTCCTTGCATTGCATGTTTGTATAGCTATAGATAGCTGGGTCTAAGGTTTTTTTACATTTGCTGCATCGTAATGGCCCACTGTAAATGCAGGAGAGAGAGGAGAGTGTTTGAGACGTATGTCCAGGAGACTAGGGCTGGGCAAGAGAGGAGAGACAGAGAGGAAATCGAGGGTCTCAAATCAGAGGTGAGCTCACCACAGACTGTACTGTTCCATAGGTCACTGATTTACAGACACTGCACTCAATCGTGTTTAGTCCTGGCAAATTACGGTGACACTATATATATATAGGCAGTTCCCGGTGTCAGTATGATGTCATTGTACATGTGCAGGTCCAGCGGCTGGAGGAAGAGATGAGGGAGAGAGAGGAGAGGTGGAGGGCGGCACTGGCCAGGCAGAGAACGAGGGCGGAGTCTCTGGAGGCCCAGAACAGGGAGCTGCAGTCTGACCTACGGATGATGGAGAGAGAGAGACTCGTCTGGTGGCAGGAACAGGTCTGGAATTACTAGTTGTCATCACATTTTGTTTGTGGAGGCATTTGGGGTACGGAAGTTGTCTGAACTTATAAACTGTTCTGGTCCACGTAGTTAGAGAGGAAAGGGCAGAGCCCCCCACCCCCTCCTCCATCCAGCAACCCTCCACTCGTTCAGCCTCCTACCTCCAGCTCACTCCCTGCCAGAGAGAGAGGTGTGAAGAGAGGCAGTGGCAGGCCAGACAGAAGACCTCCCAGAAGAGACAAGAGGGGAACAAGTCCTCCGCAGGGATCTCGAGTTACCACCAGTGAGGCTGGCAACGTCGGAGCTGGAAGAATTGATTCTAAGACCAGTGGAGCCAAAAGAGATGTAGCTGGAGACTGTGGCACTGGTACAAATGGAGTTGGAAACAACGGAACTAAGGCTGGAAGCAGCGAGAATGGTTCTATGGGCAGTGGAGCTCTGTCTAAGACCAGTAAAGATAGTACAAGTGGAGCTAAAAGTGTATCTGGTGAGGGAAGAGTGGAGGATACGACCTGTGATATTGTGGACGTGATTTCTCGCGACCTTTCCCCTCCTTGGAGTGACAGCGAGACCGGCGGCTCCGACGTGTCTGCTCTGGCAGATGACATCGTGGACTGTGTCGTTGGGCCTCGTGTGAGTGGGTGGAGTCAAAGGGCGGGGCTAGAGAAAGGTCAGAGTCCACCACCAGAGAAGGAACTGAAGAGTGGTAAAAGTGTGAGGTTTGCTCTTGAGCTAAGAGAGAAGGAGGAAGAGGAGAGAGAGGGAAGAGAGAGGGAGGAGGAGGTGGAGGTGCAAGAAGATGGGTCGAGGATTGTGGTGTGTGCCAATGGTACCAGGAAAGTGGTGAGCAGTGATGGCAGGTCAGTGAGTCTCACCTTCACCAACGGAGACACAAAACACATCAAACCTGACGGAACAGTGGTAGGTCCCTCCTCTCCTCTGTTGCCTTGGCTGATTTAGTGCTCTCTGTCGTCAGGTGTACTGCTACAGCCAGTCCCAGACCGCTCACATCACTCATCCTGATGGTCTGGAGGAGATACATTTCCCCAAGTACGCCACTCCTCCTCCTTACTTACTACTGCCCTTTGCACACACTATACATAGTGTCTCTCTCTCTCTCTGTGCATGCATAAGGTCATCTCAGAAAACACCATTATACAGTCAAAATAGAAGACACACTTGGACCATGGAAATTGTCCTTTTTAACATTTTTTGCTTCCTTGGAATTGCCCTCTATGTGTACCTTGAAATAAAGCTCTTGATTGAAGCAACTGTCATGTTCTGAGTGTGTCTGGTTCCACTACAGTCACCAGTCAGAGAAGGTGTATCCAGACGGAAGAAGAGAGGTTAGGTTTCCAGACGGCACTGTGAAGACAGTCCAACCAAGTGGAGAGGAAGAGAGCTTGTTTTCTGACGGTACCGTCCAGAGACAGCTGGTGGACGGGAGCCGGGAGATACACTATCCTAATGGACAGAGGGAGACACACACACAGGATTTCAAGGTCTGTGGAGTACAGTGACACCTGAATAGGGGAAACCTAGGGCACAGTTTGGAGATACACACATTAGTATGTTTCCCATTATTGAGAGGTGCCCTTTATTTGGAACATCTATATACTACCAGTATAGATAACTGATAATCAGACATGCTCAAGTCTGCTTAGACTTAGAGATCTTGTGCCACAGGCTGCAGTGTCAGCTGTATACTGATTGTAACTGCAGAGGAGGGAGTATCCAGATGGGACAGTGAAGACGGTGTTTCCAGACGGCAGACAAGAGACCAGTTATGCCTCAGGGAGACTAAGAGTTAAGGACAGCAGAGGACATGTACTAGTGGACTCTTGGCAGCAACAGAACCTGATCTCCTAGCACTTCTCATACTGTCTGTTGGCCTCATGTGTTGCCTGTGTCTTGTACATAATTGTGAATGTATGGCTGTAATGGTTCATGGTAGTGAGCTAAGTGTTCCATTGACAATGTATGGCAGTTTCATTGATTCCACTTAGCAACATTCATTTTCATTATAGTGGTGGTAATTGGAGAGTGAATCAACACACAATAAGATGTGAAAGTTTCAGTTAGTTTATTATAATATTATGACAATCAACACCAGTTCTCTCAGTTGGAAGTAAGACCTGCAGTGGAGACAGCATATTCTTATTGGATCCCACCACAGTGGAACACACTTACCTTGTCCACTAGACTGGATAGGGAGTGAGGAGCTGTGTGTACTGTGACCCCAACTCTGTGGCCAGACGGACATTCCAGAACTCCAAAACACATTCCCAGAGTCTCGTCCCACACTGCATTGCATACTCCATCTGGGGTGGTGTACACAACTTTTAATTTTGCACGTATTATTCATTCCCCATTGCGCAATGTGCTGCATAAGCATGAGGTATAACTAGCAGCTTTACTAGAGGCAGACCTTGTCTCTGAGTGGTGGAGGAGAGAAGAGCTGTGGCTGGTAGCAGGTAGGTCTCCCCTGGCCCCACCTCTCTCCACAGTCGGCTGTCTCTCATCCCCTCCACCTCATCCAGTCTCACTCTCTCTCCCAACACTGGAGGTCCAGATCGAGAGACTCATTAGCTCACGTTATTATTAGACCAAACTTCTAGTGTTAGCCTGGGAACTTGCCCCCTGAAAATGTGGGTGGTGATCCCTATTATACCTTCGGAGGAGGTGAGTGAGATTCCACAGCTAGAGCAGGTGATGGCCCTGCCCACCTGCTGTGATACTCCAATTAATGCCAACCAGACACCAAAAAGCTCACTAACCTCAGCTATTGAGCTTCTGTTCTGACCACACCCACCAATCAGTGAAGTCTTACAGCTTCGATTGAGTGTCATCCGCATATTGGCTTTTGTTCTCCTCCGGGGGGTGGCGGCCTTGACCACACCCCCTTTATTACCTTCCTGGAGATGTGGGTGTGGCAAAAGAGGCGGAGTTGCATCGTCGTCTTCAGTTTCCTTGCAGAGAGGGACAGGTTTGGGTGTGGCAGATGAGTCTGTGAAGAGGACAGGGGTGTGGTCTGTGGAGGTGGGAGCCGGGGAGGGGTGAGGTTTGTGAGGTGAGGACATCACCAGCACAGGCTCGTCTGAAACTGACTCGACACACGTGATTTCCACCGAATCGTCCAAATCAACTTCCGTCTTGACCCCCTCCTGAACGGAGGATCCCCCCACTGGGGGCGGGGTCACTGCGGTGGAAGAATTCTGCAGACCTCCAGGAACAGGATACCTGGAGAATTGGCAGTGACATGGGGACAGCGAAATTGGGCAAGATAGGAATAGAGATAGCATGAAAAGCACTAAAGTGCAAACCCTCGGCACACTGTGGAACCCATACACAAGTGCGGCACCACCACAATTTATGGTCTTGACATAAAGAACAGCATGTTATGCACTATTTCCATGGAAAAATGGCCAGCCCCATTTCTGTTTGAGGCGAAAAAATATATAAGGTTGAAAAATTGCCAACAGTTCATCTCTCTATTAATTTTCGTATTACCTGTGGATTGTTTAATGCAAAAAAAAACCTAAGGTTGGAAAAACATTTTAAAAACGGCCAGCCCTTCATCTCTCCAGACAGACGTCTACGGACGCAGTGCTATGCCGAACTGTACGCTGCCCTTTGAGAAACATGGGTCGGTGGTAGATTTGTGGGTAAGGGGAGGAACCAGAGCTGTTCCCAGCCAATGCTCTGGACCACCTGACACTTTAGTGCGGATCGAGGATTCGAACCCGGCACCTATGGTGTCAGTCCCCACGACTCTAACCACCTAGCCACTCGGGCTGGCCTGGAGAGGTGATGAAAAAACGTTCCATATATACCAGCACTCCTATTACATCATTGTAAAAAAGGCGCACACCCCCCGGGATCGAACCAGGGACCTGACGATCAAGAGAGGGGGTGCTTGCTTATCCATCAGACCACCACCATTACTTGAATGGGAACAGTGTAAATTAAAGTGCAAACCCTCGGCGAAGTAGCTCGCAGAGAGTCTGACACGGGCTAGCTACAGTAGTAGATAGCACGCGACAGTCGATACACGCCATTCGTTGTGACTTCAAGATAGACAGAGCAAGCGGACCCGGTGTCGCGGTACATTTCATCCCCCCGAATTTTTATCCGGCCGGATAGATATTCTATCCCCCCCGGATAAATTTTCCTAGGATATTCTATCCGCACCCGGGATATTTTATACCACGTGCTGTGCGTTATTAGGAGTGTCGAAACGCAGGCGGGGTGTGTTGTTTTGAGGTTCTGTGGGGGATTTCAACGTTACAGAATGCGATGACAGCCTTGTTTGGAGTTACACCAGCGGACTGTAGAACACTACCGGATATCCCAGCGAGCGTGGGGCTCAGGTTGCAGGTGAATGCGAGCAGACCCGCGCAACCGCTGTGTCTCGAAGAGAAAGAGAGTGCAGTCGTGCAGATTCAACTCGGTATGCATGAGCAGCGACGGAGCCAACAAAATGGTCCCGCGCGTTTACCGTATGCGCAGAAACTTTTCTTATTAGAGGGATAAAATATCCGGACCCCGGATATTCCACACTAAGAGTATTCTATCCGGCCGGATAGAATATACTATCCCCCGGATAAAATACACGGGGGATAAAATATACTGTGACGCCGGTCCTGTAAGCGCATGCGCATTATCCGCCAGCGATAAAATGGCGACTACCGGCCATACGAAGCGCTCTAGCTCTGCAACGGATCATTTTCAGAGAAAACCCCACATATTTTCTGACCCTCGTCGCCCGTTGGGTAGATGGTATCGTTTCTGGGACGAACAGACACCCGAGAAGTGAGATTGAACCCAACTACAGTACCCTCGCTGCGCATGCGCGCCGATGGTAAAAATAAAGACACCAAGATGAAGAGAGAGCCTACCTGAAAGCCCTGAAGTGTGAAATGACAGAGCCAAGGGAAGAGGAGGAGGAAGGTGAGTTGGAGGCAGAGAGTGGAGGGCGCCATTTTACTCTCCCGTTCCCTGGAAGAGGTGTGCTGCTGGTGACGGGGTGAAGGGGGACGTGTGGGGAGGGGAGGGAGGGAGTGGGGTTAGGGGAGAGAGGGGCTTTGCTGGTGGAGAATGAACTTGTGTCAGTCACAGTACAGGACAGGCTGGAGTTCTCTTTGGCACTGCAGAGATCAAACAGAGAGATAGACTATCATCACCAACTAGATACAAGTGTCCATATTTATTGGGTAATATAGTAGGACCTTAGAAAGTATACACATAACTGCATTGTATGTACAGAGAAAGAAGTGTGCAATAGGCACGTTGTTCATACAATTACATAATAGCTGCACGAGCTGCACCGTCATCAGTGTTTCCTTGACCTGGCGTTGTGTGAGGAGAGGGACATTTGGTGAGAGAACTCTGCCAGACTCCTCATTGCTGCGGGGAAACTCCTCTCGTGATTGAGTCGCTGTCTGATCCACTTGGACAGTCCTGGGTGGGGTGGGCGGGGTCACAAGTGAGGCATGGGCGGAGTCACATTGTACCTCTGGTGTAGCGTACTCCCTTTCCGAACCTGTCATCCACCAACACCAGAGCTCCCCAGTCGTTCCTGAGACCACACCCCCTGAGGTCAGAGGTCAGGGTTAATTAATCGGCACTAACCTGTGTCTGATGCAGCGGCCGAGGGCCTGGTTTATGGCCCGGAATGCCTGGATGTCATACCACTCGCTGCCAGTCAGGAGTCCGCGGGCACCACAGTACTGATTATTGTACTCCTTCTTCAGCTCCACCTGGGGGGAGGGGCGGAGCAATGGGTGTGGTCTGTGGAAATGCCCCACCCACTACCTGCTTGTCTTTGATGCTGGGGAAGGGAATTCCAACCTGTCAGGAACACAACTTGAACATTTTTCCTCTTGTATTTGCGCACTCACAGTGATCACGGCTCTAGCATTGTGGTCGGAGAAATCTAATCCTTCGCTGACCTTCCCTCGGCACACTGCCAGGAACAGAGCTCCAGTCACATGACCTGAGGACCAAGTCATGTGATAGTCATGTGACTATTGTGAGAATCTCACCGTTTCCATTGACAGAGCTGTAGAACTGTCTCATCGCTGCCTCAAACTCTAGTCAGTGAAAGAAAAAAAATGTTTTTCAAGGTGTAAATACAAGAGCCATCTGTTAAAAGTTTGCTGAGATAAAAATGGAGTTGCATGCATATTTTGAACAAGCACTAATTTGCCATTTCAGAGGAATTCTCTCTTGAACAGTATATACCAGCTTTGTTGGATCCAGTTGGTTCAGTGACAATGACCTTACTCTCCTCTATACTGCTCCACAGTTCCGTCGTCTGGGGAGACAGGGAAGATATGGAGGAAGTGAGAGAGGGAAGGTATGGAGGGAGTGAGAGAGGGAAGATATGGAGGGAATGAGAGAGGGAAGATATGGAGGAGTGCGAGCGGGACGGTATGGAGGGTGAGAGCGGAAGATATGGCGGGCATGAGAGAGGCAGCTCTGGAGGGAGTGCAGAGCGGACGGTACTGACGAGTGCGCGCGGGCCGCTCTGCAGGTGCGTGCGCGAGGGAAGTATGGCGCTGCCGCGGGCCGGTCTGGCGGCGTGCGCGCGGCCGTCTGGCGGGCGTGCGCGCGGGCCGGTCTGGCGGGAGTGCTCGCGGCCGCTCTGGCGTGCTGCTAGCGGACGTATGGAGGGCGTGAGCCGGGCCGCTCATGGCGGCCTGCGCGCGGGCCGCTCTGGGGACGTGCGCGGGCCGGTATGGAGGGAGTGAGAGAGGGAGGGTACACACCTGCCAACGCTGTGAGAGCTTGTGCAGCATCTTGTAAGAGGAGAAGAAACACAGAACACCACTGGGAACTACCTGCAGCCAGTGAGTTAAAGTCCTGCTCTGCAGTACTACTAGGTTTTAAAGATGTCGTGTGTTGGCTCATACCTGACAGACTCGTGTGAGGACTGCTCCTACTTCGTCCTGGAACTCATAGGTCTGTACATAGATCATGTGACATGTAGCTGGGTCACATGACAGTCATGTGACTCACCTCAGAGTTCTGGTAGTTGGCCAGGAGAACCCTGCCGTGCGGTCCACAGGAGATCGACCGAATTAAGGTCTGTGGGGGGAGAGATTAGTGGGCGTGGCAGTGGGCGGAGCATTCTACCTGAGACTCTGGAACCACATGTGTGGCTTCCAGTTGAACCTTGAACTCCATTCCTAGCTCTGGAGGGAAAGTAGTGAGAGTGAGAGGTGTGAGGGGTGGAGGTGTGTACCTGATGAGAAAGAGGAGAGAGGAGACAGAGTCCCTGAGGTGAGTATGACACTGTGGGCACAGGACAGCTCCGAGAATGCCTGTCACAGGGAGGGAGGAGCCGATGGTGAGGTTACACTGCTAGTGGCAGACTCACAACTGCAGGATTGAAGCACCACAAGTTGAGAGTATAGAGCCACACCTTCTCCATCACTAGAGGGAGAGACGAGAATGAGAAAGGTCAAACATCTAAAAAACATTTTTGTTGAAAATCACCTCTGGAGCGACGTCTTCTTCTCCAGCCATCATCCTGTAGAGACAGTACTTCACCCACACTGATACATACTCCTATTCTCCTGTTCTCTCATACACTCATACTCTCATACGCCCATTCCCCCATACACCCATTCTCTGGTACTCACGGTAGGTTTGGTGGTGGCAGTCCTCATCAGAGATACCCTGTGGCCACACCCGCTCAGTAAACTCCAGTAATCTACTAGTATCCTGACCTGTAGTCATCAGCAAACTTCTGTCCCTGTCTGAAGAGATAGGAGAGTACCATAGACAGTGCCTTCAGTAGATATATGGCAGCTGTTGAGGGACATGGAACATACTCACTCCTGAGGAGAGAGAGAGATCTTAATAAACTGTGGCGACTGAAAAGTGTCAAAATTGCTAAATCAAAGTTGTAAGTAGTGCGAACTTAAAGCTCTCTTTGCCAAAGAATTACACGAAGAGCAAATCACTGATTATGCTAAGGAGAGAAGCTGGTGGACTCACTCTTCTCCTTCTTCGGCCTTATTCTTCTGCTCATTCACTGCGTCTGTGATGGCCTTCAGATGAGACTGAGAGAGAGAGAGAGAGAGAGCCATTTCTCCACAACACAAGAATACTAAATTGCGCCTCCCCTCTACATTAATCTCTCGTTACCTTGATCATCGCAGGGGTGTGGTCAATAATCCCCATGTTCTTTAGCAGAGGGATGAAGTCCTGGCCAGGCCAAATGCCGCACGTCTGGTCAAATCCGTTGTGAGGAAGAGAAGAGATGGTGACATCAATCCATTTCTTAACACTGACACCCTGCACAGTGGGGTGGGAGGAGAGGAGTGAGAGGACACAGGGAGAGGATGACTTACTATTCCTGTCAGAAACTCGAAACTCGAGCGAAGTCTCCCAGTATAGCTGTCCACTGTCAACCAACAGAGAGAGAAAACATCACTTTTAACCTTTTTACTTTTGCATTGACAGTCTTATAGACACAATTTTTGGTACTTTCGTTGACTATGTGTGAGTGTTACTGCTACTCACAGATCTCAGTGAACTCTTTAGCAAGATCCTCCAGCTGCTGGGAGGTGAGGGAGAGAGACGCAGCCTCTCTTGCAGCGTCCTCCATGTTGTGGGCCTCGTCAAACACCACCACCTGCCCACTCAGCTCTATCAACATCTGACACACACACGCCACATGCCAGGGGTGGGGAGAGGAGGAGAGAAAGACAAGCATGAAAATGACATCTTGTGGGACACAATGGCGTAACAGAAAGATAAGTGCCTGGTCTGCCAGTCACTATGCCTGAGTTTAACTCCTGACAGATGCTGGTTTATCTCAATGAATTTACCCCAAAATAGAACTCTAGTACCTGGTCTCTTATGAGAGTAGTTGTATGGTCTAGTACCTGGTCTCTTATGAGAGGGCCAATGAGGTAGTTGTATGGACAGAACACAATGTGAGCCTCTTCCTTTATCCCTCGGAGGGCAAAGTACGGACACGCCTACAGTAAGATAGAACACCATCATTTTCTCTCCTTTCTTCGTTTCTTCCCTCTTCTCACCTTCACTCTCTTGCCCAGTGTGACGACGTCCTCCATGTCCCAAGCCGTCGTCATTCCATGCTGCAACATCTGCGCCTGGGAACCTAGTTTCTTCGCCACTCGGTAGTAGAACGAACACTCCCCATCCTACACACCATTACGTCATTGATTTAGAACAAAGGCTAAATATAGATCCTACACACCATTACATCATTGATTTATACCAAATATAGATAATACCTCGAGCAATTTCTTGCATTTGTCGTTTTTTCTCTTAGACTTGGAGACCACGGGGTGAATGCAGGCATGCTCCCTACTGCCAAGAATACACATTCTGTCGGACACACATGACACAACAAGAGTTAAAAGAAAACTTTAGAGGGAGAAAATATGATTTTTAAAATGGAAGTTTAATGCAAAATTGCACAGTAACTTACGGAGTGCCGGTGTATGCAGTTTTGGCCAGTTCGTGAGTGATCTGGGATATCTGCTGGTGAGTTCTGGTGCCAAAATAAACCTTGGGAACAAAGATGTGCTGTGGGAAAAAGGAAAAATTGGAGATGCTGGGTTTCGAACCCAGGACCTTCTGCATGCAAAGCAGACGCTCTACCGCTGAGCTACATCCCCAACTGACACCCACTCATTCCTGTGGAGGCATTATAACTGGAGAGCTGTACCTGCCTAGCAGACCAGCTGACTTGGCACAAGCACACAGTTGGCAGGGGGGAGGGGCAGGAGTGGGAGTGGGAGGAAGAGGAGAGGTGGGGAGACCAGTATCCATGACAGACGGCTGCTGGGAGGCAGGCACCGTCTTTGCCTCTACTTCTATCCTCCATGATGATGGTCCTGCCAAGTACACACATGACTTTTTGCTCACCTGCTGCACGCCGCCATACTGACATAAGTAAGTACACACATAATATGGTGCTACACTCACGGAATTGGCCACACCCCCTGGAGTCCGATATCTTTTCTTTGGTCTGCGGAAATCTTCATCCAACTCCGCCTCACACGAAGGACCAGCCACACCCTTTGCTCCACCCACTGTGACTGTTGTATCAGCCACACCCTTTGCTCCACCCACCAGAGAATCAGCAGGTAGTATAGGAATGTACGGCTGCATTGATGATTCATTGCATGGCTCTGTTCCATTCTGAGTGACGAAACTAGCCTCTGTCTTGATTCCATTCTCATATGGCTCGGACTCTGTCTTGATTCCATTCTGACATGATGTCCCAGCAGAAAGTTCTGTCTTGATTCCATTCCGACATGGAGTGGGAACAGAAAACTCTGTCTTGATTCCATTCTGACATGGAGTGGGGACGGCATTGGAGTGGCAGACACAGCCACAAGGAGCACATGCTGCCTTCACATCTTCACCAGTAGAGAGAGAAAGGAAGAAGAGCTCAGTGGAGAGGGAGAGAGGGGAGGTCGTCTCACCTCTCTGCTGGGCCACCCAGGCCAGGGAGGAACAGAGGAGTGCCAGACTCTTACCACTGCCTGTAGGACTCTCCAACAGAGCATTAGCTCCCTGGTTCAAGCTCCGGATCACCTGTACGTAGATAAGATTAGACGGGTGTGTGGTAGCACAGTGTGCTAACCTTTGCCATCATGGCCCGCTGGGAAGGGTAGGGTTTGAAGGGGAAGAGGACGGGCACCCCTCCAATAGGTACCCTCTGCTGCCTCGGATGAATCTGCATCTTGTCGTCTCGCTCACACACAGTACGCAGCCGTCTTCTTCGGGCGTTTGAGCTTCGCGCGTTTGAGCTTCGCGCGTTTTATACATGTGGTAGATACGCATGCGCAAACGAGCCCCGCCCATAATGCCACAAAACACTGTCGTCGATCATGAAGAAGGGGATGCTAAAGATAAACGACAGTTCTGAAGAAGATGGCAAAGACAGTGGGCACCTCAGGAACCGAGTGTCTGTTGACGACCTCATGAATTTCATCGGATTCGGTCCGTTCCAAGTGGTGGCGTTCTTTCTGGCCGGCATCGCGACCTTCTCATACAGCATAGACGCCGCTCTCTTCGCCTTCATAGCTCTCCCGATCCAGGAGGAGTGGAAACTGAGTCCTCTTTACTTCTCCGTCCTCCCTTCTGTCACTGGAGTTGCTAACATCATCGGAGGGTTCTTCTACGGCTATCTCTCTGATACGTTCGGTCGCGTCTGGCCTTTCGCCCTCTGCGCCCTCAACATAGGAGTTTGCTCCTTTGCCTCCACCTTCTCCCCAAACTTCTTTACGTTTGTGGCTCTCCGATTTGCCACCAGTCTGGGTATGACGGCTTGTCTAGCTCTTCTATACCCTGTTCTGGTTGAATTTCTGCCTGTCAAGAACAGAGGCAAAGGTGCTGATCTCGCTCTATCTCGTTCAGGCTGCAACAACCTGCATGACTGGAGGTCTTGCCTGGTGGCTCATCCCCAACTATCAGAGGTTTGGCTGGCGCTACCTCACTGCAGCCACCTCAGTCCCTGCCTTCGTCACTGTCATCTACAGACTAATCTTTTACGTGGAGTCTCCACGATTTCTGCTCAGTAAGGGGAGGTACACTGCTGCCAGGAAAGTGTTTGCTCAAATGGCTCGCTGGAATGGAAAGAACTTGGACGAGTATCTTCCCCAAGAACTAGAGTTCAGTGAGCTGGTAGAGACAGTACCTCTCCAGACAGGCAAACAAAATTGGGTCCAAACTCTGCACAGTTTCCTCCACATCTTCAAGCCATTCTACCTGCGGACCACTATAGCCCTCCTGATCATTAACGCCACTAACGCCGGAACGTTTTGGGGGGTGTCTCTCTTTCTGCCCAGCCTTATCCGCGACATTACATCCAACAACTATTTCATAGCCTTCATGGGATATCTGGGCCAGATCCCAGGAATCCTCCTAATGCTGATCATTGTCGAGTGGCGAGGAGTAGGGAGACTCAACTCCCTCAGGCTCTACACTGCTCTTACTGCCGTGTTCCTATTACTGTTTGGCGTCTACCAGAATGAAGCTGCCACACCAGTCTTCACCATCATGATCTACTTCAGCATGATCCCTCTCTCAGCTCTTGTAATGACGTACAGCTCAGAGAGCTATCCGACCACATTCAGAGCTCTGGCTCTCAATCTCTTCAACAACGTTGGAGCGTTTGTGAACATATTCACTCCCTTCGTTGGTGGCTACTCAACGGAGCTGTTCCGCCAGAGACCATGGCTGTTCTCCGTGGTTTGGGTGTTTTTATACATCATTCAGATTCTGGCTTCCTTTCTCCTCACCAAAGAACCACTGGGAATGAAATTACAAGACAACAATGTTTCCCCAGTCAAAACGTAGGCCATCAATTATTTCGTGTGTCAAATCAGTGTGAATCAGGTTAATTACAAGAAAACAATTTCCTCCACAGTCTTCTCAAGCAGAAAAGCACTCTGCTAATATTGTTTCATTGTACATTCAAGCACTTAGTTTTTCCTTATAGCTAATTGCTTTTGAATGACAATAATAAACAGAGAATCAGTGGAGTGAGAGAGTAAGGAGTGCTATATAGGAAAAGTTCTCAGTCATTGACAGCATCTCTCCTCTCCCTCAGGCTCTCCCTGAACCTGGCCTCCAGGGAGGAGGTCTCACTGATGAGGTCTGTGATGGCATTGGAGAGGGCCTCCTGTGGACTGTAGTCTGGGGTCGTCTGCACTCGCAAAACAAACTTGTGCTCCAGAGGATGCGGCACTTTGTAGCCTGCAAACAGCACCTGTGGGTCCCTCAGTAGCTGTCTGTGGAGGGTAGGGAGCCGGAGGGCAAGGGTGTCACGTGAGATGTGTGAGGACTCACTGCATGAGGATGTTTCCCAGCGTGTGGTCTTCCTTGTTCACCGTGAAGATGGCGGCATTGGGCACCTTCGTGTCTTTGGCATGGGTGATCCTGCGGAGACACAAATGTCGGGCTCAGCGTCTGGAGACTAATACCGGCTTACTTTTTCTCTCCGTCGAGAAGTAGAAACGCCTCGAACGTCGCTGGCGCGTTCATGGCCGGCTCAACACCCGCGTGGAACTCCCGCGAAATGGAACGTTTGACCTTTGTAACCTGACGAGAGAGGCGTGTGGAGCGAGCGCGATGGCGGCGGTGACTGGAGCTCACCTCATCAGCAACAGACTGAACGCGGCTCAGGTCCTGGCAGCCGCCCAGACGGAGCTACTAGAGCTGCTGGGAGATCCGTCCGTCAAGAAGGTCTGGAGGCTCGCGAGGAAGCCATACTCATGGCACGTGATACGTGTCTCGTTACCCAGGTGATAGTGTGGGACCCTGATCTCATCCAGCCAATGACCATAATTGCCGAGGCAACCTTTATCAGGAAAGGGGGTGTGACCAAGATGGTTCGACTCCCGGTCACGGGACTGACCGAGCGTTACGAGGATGCCTCGGAGTTCATCTTCCTCGTCAGACCCACCCTCACAATTGTGGATATGGTCGCCGAGGCAATCAGGTTAATCACCCTGCAAGTGGAGGGGCTCCCCCTAATCTTGTATTTCCCCACAGAACCTCCAAGAAGAAGATGGAGAAGAGGTTTACGGTGGCTTTCACACCTCACAAAGTGGAGTACTGTGTCGCCAAACTCAGGGTGGGGCACACTTTGGGTAGCATCATACCCCAAATTCCCAATCTGCCTGCAGGATCTGGGGTTGGAGCACGGCAGCAGAAGCCCAGTCCAGTTCTACATCAACGAGTACCATCTGGACATCCTTCCTCTCGATAGTGACGTACTCTCTCTTGACATACCCACCGCTTTCAAGGTGAGGTGACCACACCCCCTTAGACCCGCCCCTGACTCCGCCCACCCCCCAGGATCTGTATGTAGATCAGGACCCCTCGCCGGTCTACGAAACTGCCAGAGCCATTGGTAAACTGCAGGCCCTGTTTGGAGTCATCCCCAAGATCTATGGGAAAGGCAAGAATGCCAAGGTAGGTGGCTCTACCTCCTATCTCGCTCAAAACTCTCTTGCTTCCATCTCTCTCCGCTCAAAACCATCATCTGTTCCCAGCTGGTGGCGGAGCTACTGAAGAATGTGCAGGGAGAGCTGGAGAGGACCCAGTCTAAGACTGGTCGACAGGAGGCGGCCAATATCGATTCCCTCATCCTGCTGGACCGTAGCGTCGACATGGTGACCCCTCTCTCCTCCCAGCTGACCTACGAGGGACTCATTGATGAGACATACGGCATCAAATACAGTAATACTCCCCCTCCCTTTCTTCCCTCTTTCTGTCCTGTTTTGATGTCACATTTTTACCTTGTTTTGCAACTTTCCTATTTCTCCTCTTTCCTTCTCTCGCTATGTCTGGTTTTAATGCCACTATTTCTGAAGGTGTATTTACACCTGCAGACTTGGGTCTCTAGCTCTCCGAAAGCTCTTACCTTATAAAACTAGTTATACTGCGAGCTGTGTATCTCTCCACTGACTGCAGCTGTGGCAAAGTTCCCCCGCCACATGTTCTCAGAGGAGGTCCTGAAGAGGGGTGGGGAGTCTACCGGTCCATTTCCAGTCAAACTGGACTCTGACGACAGCATGTTCTCCGCCATGAGAGACCTCAACTTCAGAGCAGTGGGCGTCTTCCTCAGCGATAAGGCCAAAGAAATCTCTGCTCAGTTTGAGGTGAGCTACCTGGCGTCCCTGCCGTGTGCTCTGAGTGATAGTGGAGAGAACGTGTTACTCTTTCTCTGCCCCCCAAAGTCCCGTCATGATGCCAAGACAGTGACTCAACTGAAGTCGTTTGTTGAGAAGTTGCCACACATGCAGGATGCCAAGTTCAACCTCAGCAAACGTAAGTCCAACAAACTCTCCCTCTAACAACCCTCTCTGAGCCTTGTTCCATCTCCAGATACGACTATTGCTGAGTTGGTGAAGGCGGTGACTGATAATGATGACTTCCTCAGCCTCATCCATACCGAGCAAGGTGGTCATTTAATTATACTTGAGTACACCTGCATTTGTACAAATCAAGAATCCACCAAACCAGGACTGACGGTAGTTCTGAACTCCAATCTTGATTCCACCACAGATCTCCGTGAGGAGGACTACAGTGACAAACCACACCCCTACATCGAGAAGTTGCTAGGCAACGCATCTCACCACCCCATCGAGAAGGTTACACAATATGTGGAGCCCTCTGTTGCCGTTCACCCCCTCCCTCCTCCTCTGACAGGTGTTGAAGCTGATCTGTCTCCAGTCCAGTGCCAGTAATGGCCTCAGAGCCCGTCTCCTGGAGCAGTACAAGAGAGAGGTCCTCCATGCTTACGGCTACCAACATCTCAACACTCTCCTCCAGCTGGAGAAGGCAGGACTTGTCCGGGCACGCTCCCAGGAGGAGAAAGGTGGACTACTTAGAGCCCAGGAGACCAGGGGCTTCCCCGCTCTCAGGAAGCAGCTGCAGCTGGTTGCCCATGGCAATGTCGTTGATGACAGGGTGAGAGTTTATCTTTGACCTGCGGCTGTGATGGTTGAACTCTGACCTTTCCCTCCCTGTGGCAGAACCCAAGTCCAAGTTCCATGACGTACCTGTTCTCAGGGTATGCTCCGCTCAGTGTGAGGCTGGTGGAGGTGTTGTCCAGGAAACAAGGCTTCGCTGCTTTTGAGGAGGTCTTTCTCTTTGCTCTCCTCTTTCTCTGTCTGTCTGTTTTACAACTCTTTTAGACCAACAGCGCATGAATTTTTGCGGCGTCCACTCTGTTCATGTGCAACTCCAAGTGTAAATGGACCCAATGTTCCACATTTACATTTTAGCTTGGTGCAGTGTTGGTAGGGTTCCAATATCTTTCCCGCAGGCCACCAGACAGCTGCCAGGTCCGCCAGCCTTCATGATGACTCAGTTAGGGAGACAGAGCCAAAAGAGAAGTGAGTCTCAGACTGTGTGGTCGTTCCACCATTTGCCCTTTGACCCCCCCAGACACTGTGGGTAATAACATGGTGCTGGTGTTCTTCATTGGAGGAGTCACCCTGGCTGAGATATCGGCTCTTCGCTACCTCACCAACAGAGAAGACAGTGAGTTCTGATAACACTCCATGAGACAGCTGCTGTGGCCACCAACATTATTCAAATGTAAAGAAGAGTTCATCCACCACTGCCTGTTGCCTAACCTACATGCCCTAAGGTTGTTTGGGTGGGCCTCAATGATGACACAATATTATGCACACTCCTGAAAATCACTGATGTATGAGTTGACCTAGAAAATGTGTTTGGCATCAGGTGTGATGGAGTATGCTATAGGGGCAACCCATGTGACCAATGGCCCCGCCCTCGTCAGCTCCGTCATGGGGGACACACCCCTCTACCATGCCTCCCGCAGTCTGTGGGAGAACATCACTGACGGTGGGCGGGCCAGGACTCCGCCCTCTTCCTCCGCACCTCCTCCATCACACAGGTTTGGACATGCATTTCACTCGTGCTTGTGTTCAGACAAACTATACTTAGTGATTCACAGTTTCTCCATCTCATCCACAGGGCCAGTTAGTTCCATCATGGACTCCATCATAGATTTCGTTTGCTTTTACAAGTCAAAATTTTCAAATTATTGTCTTTGTGTGACTACGTTATAAAATTGAATCCTACACAAAATACTACTTCTCTGCTACCATGACTGTGTGTGTATGTTACAGTGCAAGGCAGTTACTTAGTTGCAGCGAGGTATATACAGTCTAGTCTGTCCATCAGATGATGATGATGTCATCGTGAGGTGTGGCTAGTTGTGAGATCCTCTGGTTCCTCCAGTTGAAAACAAAACCAGCTTCTTCCGGCCTTTCTTTGCCGTCTTCTTCGAACTCACACCTTTGCAAAAACGTTCAGAGTTCTTTCCTTACTATCAGGAGTTACCAGGGAAATGGTGGCTTAAATTTTTTTCGTACTTTTAACGAGAACATGAGGGTAAAGACAGGCCAACGAACAAGCTTGAATACCACACCTACATATGTACATATTATCATGAGAATGCAGTGAAGTAATTACTAAATTGGGGAGAGGTTACACCACATCACATGTCTGCTCTAACACGGGCAAGATAAGCTGACATGCAGGCAAAAGGCGGATGGCACACCTTGCAAGGTGGAGACCTGAGTTGTGAGCAGAGCCTCTGTGAATGCCTCCTGGAACGAAGGCACCTTCTCTCCCTCCCCTCCCTCCTCTCCTTTCCCTGTCTCCTCCCCCGGAGACCCAGCTGCAGGAAAGAAAACACAAGAGGATCACGTCACACATAAGAAAAAGAATCACATACGTACATACATGTCATACATACGTACATACATGTCATACATACATACATACATGTCATTCATACATACATACAAGATGTTTATTTTCGCAGGGGTTCTTACCTCTTACAACACTAGATGGAGAGGTCTTGATTGGCCAAACAGGTGGGGGTTTCCCCTCAGTGCATCAGCAAACGAGGGGTGATCAGCGGAGCTGTCGTTCAGGACGACCTGACCATTGTCCTGAACTCCGCTCTCCGCCGACGGGGAGGAGCGTCCTGGGAGAACCTCTGGTGCTACGAGACTGAGGTGTGAGGAGTGGGGAGGTGAGGAGGTGAGTTGGGGGAGGAGGTCGTGGATCCTCTCCGGACTTAGTGGCTGGCACGATGAGGTCGGGAGGGGAAACCCCTCTGTGAGTGGGTGTGTGTGTGTGAGTGTTAGTGGGTAATGAGTGTGGGGCAGAAAGAGCTAATTAGCATGTAGTCTGCACACATTGACATGCTTTGAACAACGGGGAACACGTTCCCCTTGCTGTGCACTGTGCACACCCCTCTAATCCAGACACCAATGGGACAGAAGAACGCTGCTTCCATCACTGAATCAAGGATAATAAGAGGGGCAGAAGGTGATATTTTACCACTGGTGAGAGGTGATGGTTGTGTGGCGACCGCAGACTTCTCCTTCCTCTTCTCGTCTCTCCTCTTCCTGCTCCGTTTGCTCCTCCTCTTGTCAAGATCACCTGACACGCACCACACACAGTGAGGTCAGAGGTCAGGAGTCATGGATCTCCCACCTCTGTAGAAGGCAAGGGTCTCGGGAGAAACTACCGGAGGTCGAAGGTCGAGTTCACAGAGAGCAAACTGGCAGGTGACTGGGAGATGACTGAGGTACCTGTAACGACTGCGGGCTTCCTGCAACGATGGAAGGAGAGAGTTACGGTGTAGGATTAAGAGCATAAGATAATATAGTGGGACTCGTCTAATCTTTACACAAATTAGATTTAAAATGTAAACATTATAGACCTAATTTCAGGGGTAAAGAACTGCATTGGTGAAAGAAAAGGTGTACTTTAAGAGGTGTCTTCATTTCAGGGGTATCCTAAGAGAGGGGGTGTGTCTTCATTTCAGGGGTGTCCTAAGAGAGGGGTTTCATGTTACCTCAGTCATAGTGAGTTGCTCCATTTCCACAATTTGAGCCTTGATCACCTCAGGAGCAAACTCCATCCCACCATACTCCTGTACACACAGACAGAGGGTTACAGTTGAAGCTGGACTGTAGGTATTGTTTACCTTGACAAGACAGCGAGCGTTGACAGTGTGGAGGTAGAGATGTTGTCCATCACCAGCTGAAGGAGAAATGGAGACACCACTCAGCCCCATGACCACAACACCGACAGACTAGCATATGCACTTTCGCATGATACACATAAGTTGCTAACGATTCTACTTGATGTCTCCAGCTTAAGACTTTTAATTCTTGGTGTGTGCATATTAAGAGACTCTGTATGTAACATGTGCAGCCTCACATATCTATGGTTTGTGAGTGCAAATATATAGAGGACTAACATTGATAGAAGTAGATGAGAGAGGTGTCACGGACCCTATCACTGTCTGGTGATTCAGGGACATGCTCCATACTGTGCAGGAAGGAAAGAGAGAGTCAAAACTCTGTTGCAGTATTGAGAGTGTGCCCCAGTCCTCCAGTGGCCAGCCAGAGGAAGAAGGTCACAGATGGAGGGGAGGAGGAAGGGGGCATGATATGGCACCACAAACTAGCCACCCACTGCACCACGCCAGCAATGGGGGCAATGGACAGTGCTCTGAGACTACTCCTCACTGAACTCCCACCTCTCTCTCTCTTACCCAGCTCCCAGCGAGTCATCAGCTTGTTCTGTGACCAGAGTATCTTCAGACATACTGGAGGATGCTGATCCACCCTCTCCTCCCTCTCCCTCCTCTTCTCCTCCGTCCTCGAGGCCAGAGAAGGCAGGGGGAGTGTCTCTCTCCACGTAGCCATCAGAGAGAGCCATCCACTGACGAGGTGGGAGAGGAGGTTGGTCCGGCACACCTGAAGACACGCACACAACCACATACAGTGGATCTGGTCACGGGTACATATTAGACCGAGCAAGAGTGTAGAAAGAAAGAGATAGGGGGAAAGGGGTGAGGACTGACCAGACACCATTTTGTCCATGTCTTCCTGAATGCCATGAGAGGTAAGATCTGTCTCTCTAACCTGCATCCACACACACACACACAGTAAATTGAGCCCCAGGCAACAGAGTGTCTGAACCTTCAGTTCCTCCAGGGCCTGCTCGATGAAGCAGTGTTCCGACAGTTCATCACTGGCCAGGGAGGTCAGCTGGGTGGTCAGGCCTTCTCTCTCCGGCCTCACTATCAGCTGTAGAGTCTGCTCCTGGCTGCAGGTCAGCAGCTTTGAGAACATCTCATCTTCACCTGTGACACACAGGGAGACACAACACCTCCAGTATTGGGTGGGTACCAGTGGCTTTAACCACAGCAGTCTTGTAAGAAACACACATCTATGTTAATGCGTGCACGTGGATTTAGTTGAATAGAGGACTAAAGATTATACCAAGTGTGGCTACGTTCCAAATGTGTGTCAATCCACATTCACATTCAGTCAATTCAGGTAATTGGCAAGCAAGCCTGCCTAATTACACCGTCAAGTGAATGGTGTATGTGATAGCACTGCCACATATCGTAATGGTAGCATGATTCAAAAAACAAAAAAAATTAACTGCAAGTGCTGCTAATGTTACTGGAGAAGGTGTGTTGATCTAACCAGAGAGAGGTGAGAGGGAGTGAGAAGAGGGGCTGGGTGTGGCCTGACTCCTAGGTCTGACCAGTGTGGAGTTCTTCTCTCTCACCATCAGCCTCATGGAGATGACATCGCCTGGCGAATATTGCGGTGTGGACAGAGCCATCACACTGAGGGAGGGTGACAGTTTGTTGAGTAATAAGGCAAGTACTTGACTGTATATACCTCTTGAGATCTTTCTTGTAAATTGACTCGTAGCATATAGGACACTTTCTCCACTTCTTGTCCCCCTACACACACACACACACACAGTGGTATGCAGTAATAGACAGTGTGCCCTCTGCTGGCAGGTCTCACCAGAGAGAGGTAGTGGAGGACACAAGACCAGCAGTACACATGACCACATCGAGTTATCTTTGCTGCACAGTGGACCAAGAGAATAATACATCAGTGGCTCGAGAGTTTGATACCGGCTCTGGGAGGGTAGAGGCAGATTGGGCAGGATGGAATCTCGTGGCAGAACAGTCGCTGCAGAGATTGTAAGAACATTAAACACACACAGAGAGAGAAGGGGAGAGGGGCTCACCACTAGTTCGATGGAGTCCCAGTCAACCAGCAGGTCAGGATCTGAGGTGTGGACGCCATACTCTCCTCTGTCACTCACCACAAACTGACAACTGCAGAACAAACACCCATCACTCACAGGGGGACCTGAGCAGTCTCTGTCTCTCTCTCACTTGGCCTGCAGAAACTGCTCCTTGTTGTAGCTCTTTGTCCTCCTTCTCCTCATCCCGCTGGTCCCCTCCCCCTCCCGTCTGCCAGGACCTTCTCTCGGGGAGAGGGTAAAGTTCAGGAGATGGTTCAGAGACAACTTTCTTCCCTTCCTCTCTCCCTCACTGGCCCTCTCCACCTCCTCCTGGTACTGCAGACCAGAGGAAGAGGGAAGAGAGGGAAATCACATTTCTCAAATTTTCTGTGCTTCCTCACAAATATTAGTGAGAGCTATATAGTATGCAACCAAATTCCTCGAACAGGTTTAGTTTAAGTTCCCTACACAACTATATTTCCAGTGTGCCTACCTTATCGCAGTCTCCATTTCTTCCTCGTCCCACCCTCCTCCGCTCCCTGCCCTGTCTGCCGTGGGGAGGAAGCCGTGAGCTGGAAGGATGGTGACGTGTGGGAGTGGGCGGAGCTTCACCTCGGCTTTTCCTGCCATAGCTACACTTATCTGAAAATGGGAGAAAAACACATCGTCTATTCTTTTGGAAGGTGTGAGCTCATGTAATCCTCCTTTACACAAGTCCTTCATACGAATTACCTCATCTAGAAGCTGCACACTACATTTACACACAGTTGAACTAAAGTGTACCTTTACTTTTAGAGATGTGTTTGTGGCCACGATTGGCTGGGTCAGGCCTGGAGCAGAGCGGGCCATCCGCAGCCTCTCTCTCCAACATTTTCCCTACTGTTAGAACTTCTACTGTAACTACTTCTGCTGGGCTGGTGCCGTGGCGACACCAGTCGGGGATGAGGGTAGCCCCTGCCTCGATTGGCAATGCTGCTACCGGGGTCTCGGAGCGCCATTGGGCTAGACCTGAGCCATGATTGGACGGCGAGGAAGAGCTGGTTCCTGTCGAGTTGTGGGAATGGAAGGTGAGCGGGTGAGTCGAGAGAGAAATCTTGGTCCGCCGGTCGGTTCAGTCGCTCCAACACCGCCTACTACTATAGTATGCTGACGACAAGTGTAGTTATGGTATAGTAATCTGGAAAAGATTCACACGATGTTGAAAGAGGTCGAGGTAGTGTCAGCGTCTCTCTCCGTCTGGAAAGAGATTTCGCGGTCCGTCGAAGACGTGACCTCAGGAGCCTGTGTGGAGCTATGGATGTGACCTGCAGCCACCAGCCTCTGGCCAGGTGAGTCTGCTCGGCAGTAAAAACACGTCTTCTTCTATCGTCGACCCCGTCGAGCGGAGACGCCTAATAATGAAATTCAGCTGGATCACGTGGTGCTATTAACACTTTCACGGAATCTGATTGGTCAGTCCGCGACGAATTCAAAACATTTGGCGCCACTTTTTCCTAGAGCTTCGCGCGCGAGTGAGCATATCTTGGGTTGTTGCGGTGGGGCGGCTAGCTGTAAGATGGCAGAGTGTATGGAAGAGTTCGACGAGGCCACGCCGCTGAGGGAGAGCTATTGCTCTCGCCTCACCCATCATGAGTACGAGGAACAGGCGGATAGGTGGGCTCCAATTAGAATACACGCATCTCTTGAGGTTGTTCATTTATGGCTCAGCTGTACAGAGCAGGCACTGCGGGAGCTAATGGAGCAGCTGGATACACAGCCTGAGCTCTATAGGTCCGTGCTACGGAAACGCAGGAGAGAACAAAAGGAGGAAGCGGGCTTGATGTCTTACCTAAAGGTATGAATCCTCTCTCACTGTACAACGCCACTATAGTGTGTTGTGGTGTGAATATGCAGGTGAAGTTTTGGTCAATGGTTGGTTCAGAGGATGCCTCTTGCTCTGTTTCTGACCTGGAGTGCCAGGAGGAGGCTTCTAAACTCAAGTCTAACATTATGAAGGCCCACTCCTACTCTCAGGGTCAGTAGCTACATACACTGTCAGTACATTGAGACCCTCTAGCAAGATAGCACCCACAGAGAGCAAGGGTAGGAGGTACTCCCAGAGACTGGCAGAGAAGAGGAGGTCTGTCTCATCCACTCCTGCCAGGAGAGGCAAGATGAGAACCAAGATTGTCCCCCCTCCCCCCTCCTCCCCCACCACCTCCAATTCCTGTCAGTACTGCAACCACATCTATCCCTGTCCCTTTTGTAAGTCTTCACTGAATCACACTCACACAGTTTCCACGAATGCCGAAGAATCCTTTGCACAGCCAAGCAAGCTTCCTTCAAAAGTCAACACAACGTTTGTGTTCATAAATTTCATCTATATTATATAGGTGGTCCCTCTTTTCTATCTGTCTACACTCCCTCCCTTTCTCCTCAATAGAAGAGAAGGCCTCTCCGTGATAGAAACACTGCCATCGATAAACGGCAGAGGTGAGCTAGCTTATATTCCCTCGTCAAGCAGCGAGACTGTCTTGTTTTACACCACTGCAGCAAGTGCCAAGCTAGAGGCAGTCTGGACTGTGTTCTCGGCCAGTTGAAAAGCTCCGAATGTCGCAGAAGACTGAGGTCCACTGTGGCAAAGTATGAAATCTCTGAACCCTCTCGCACTGGGTTCATTCCTGTTCATCTCCACAGGTCTCCAGGTGGTACTCCGCTGGATGGCTGGGGATCACGCAAGCATGCCACCCCAGATGGGGTACGGCAGTTCAATCAGCTGCTGGTTGATAAATTCCGGAATGTCAAGACCCCACCTAGTCCATACCGGAGTCAGCTCGCTAGTCCTGGAACATTTGACAGTCCACTATGAGAAAATCATCCCTCTCCACTCTCCTGTTGCATATACATCATTGCTGTTTTTCCGTTTTACGACATTCCGTTCGGAAGTTTACCGGATGTGTTGTGGTTGCATATGGATGTATCGTTTCCTGTTTTTGTGATTACTTGTGCGTCATATGCATGCATGGCGACTGTTACGTGGCGGGGGATAGCCTAGCGGGGGACCAGCGCAGTGTGGGGCTTTATGGACTCTGGACCTTTGCTTGTTTGATGAGGAGCGGTGTGTCGGTAGCTCTTGGGGTCTCGCCGCTGCTCCGTGGAAGAGACGCTGGTACCGTAGCCGTTACTGCAGCGTGAAGGTCCTCGAAACACCACGTAAGCTAACAGAGCGAGGCTAGCTATATTATAGCTCTAGCTATTGAAACGAGCCAAGGATTTGTATGTAGCAATACAGCCTATACTGCGGAATGATATTGTGCAGGTGTATGCTGGCACAACAGCGGAAGACAGGACTGGGGGAGTGAGGCATGTTGATCAAGGAATACCGCATCCCTCTGCCTCTAACGCTGAAGGAGTACAGCATTGCCCAGCTGTACATGATCCAGGTACACTACATTGAGCCAGGTATAATGCATGTCTGCAGACGTCCCTCACTGTATATATCAGATGGAGTAGGGAAGCCAATATGTTCTGCAACTTTGAATAAACATTCCAATGCAGTGATGTAATGATTTGTGGTATATTATTGAGGGTTAAATTCAACATAGGCCCTGAAAAAACGGTTTCAGTTACTACTTCTCTTCAACTACTTCCGGCCCCCCATCTTTGTGTCTGTAGAAGAAGAGTAGGGAGGAGAGTGAAGGTCATGACAGTGCAGTTGAAATCCTCGAGAACAGACCATACACCGACGGACCCCATGGCCGCGGACAGTACACTTACAAGATCTTCCACATCGGTAGGTCCTGTGTCTCTGGGTCATTTTGTTCTCACTCTCTCGAAAGAACTCTTTTACTTGCATGCAATGCATCAATATCACTGGAGAGCAAAATGAGACTGTTTTAAATGACCCCAGTGACTGCACAGTACACCCACACTCTAACTATAGCTGCTGCAAGAGTGTACATGTGTATGGTGTCTAATAACAAGCCATCTACTGCCTCAGCTAGCATCACATTGGAGGGTACCTACTGTTGTAATGTGTCATTCAGTAATGATATTGTCTAACTTTCA